TATACGAGTAGAATTGTATAGATAATACTTTATCCATAAAACAATCTAACATATAAAAGAAGAAAGATAGTACGAGATAAAAATGGCCAACTTAGTGGCCAATCAATTATTTTCTATCACAGCAATATCATAAACTAATAACAGTACGTTACCTACATGCTTACGATGAACAAAGCTTGCTATTTCTGACAGATCCTTTTTATATTGTGCATATATCATATATCTCTTGAAAAAAATAAAATTACAAGTCCTCATTCTCATGAGGAATAGTCATGGTAAATTTACTTAAACCTAAGATTTATTCAGTATTTCTGTATCTTTAGACTAATATAATATATTTCGCCTGAGTACCTATGAATAAACTTCAGCTACAAGTAAACTGCATTTACAAAATGAATGCATTTTATATCCTGTAGATGTACTTGATAGTTTGAACTATATTTCCACTTATTATATTTATCACTACTTATACCTATAAACATAGCTACAGTCGATATAAAAAATCGTCAACAGCAATAAATATATTGCCAACCCCTTATTATAATCAAATTAATCTTATTCACTGAACTCACTAGTAAAATGAACAAAGTAGATATGCTGACCTACCTAATAGAGTTATTCACATTGTTGTTACCACCCCACATCCGACCATAATGCTACTCACTCATCTACATTAATAATATCGTCCGTTTATTATTTTTATTTATTTAAACTTATAAAATTGGATAAAAAACATAAAATAGTACAATATAAATTAGTTTTGTGTTCATATATACCGCAAATACCTATAAATTGAATTATTATTTTCAATTATGTATTAGTTTAGTTACACGCATTTTATCGATTTTTTATGAAGTTCTTAACATTGCGTAGGCCGATGCGGTCGTTATACCTACTACATATACAAGAAAGCGCTCGCTACGTCACTACACTGCTACGTATATTATGTAGTTTAATACTTTTATGACTTAAATAACCTTAAGCTTTATAATGATATATTCAGATTAAAAATGATATTTTTATTGATTATATAGTCCAACTGTATATACTACAAGTATGTAATATAATATAATAATGTAATATCTTTTTGGTATTTTCACTCTTTATGTAAGAGCGACAATGATAATTTGTTCAAACAAATATATAATTATTTACATAAAATATCAAAATAAGATATTAATTTCGCCCCAATTTTCTTCGACCCCCTTTATGATTTTACATTACGATTCTATTAATTTATCTTGTATTATTCAGTTACGTTACCGCAGAATGTGTAACTGGCGCGATATAAATAGAGGTTAGACTCGGGCTATTCCGTCCGTTCGCACAGAACAGATCATTCCATTATCTTACCGCAACTAATAAAAACTGAAAGGAATTTCAGAGCTACTGTCTATAGACGTGTATTTATTTTTAGATACATACGTATCTCGTATTGTTAACAATTTGTGTGCCGTCAATAGACTTCCAATTTAAAAACAAATAATATAAAATTTCCAGTTAAAAAAGAAATGCTACCAGAAATACCTGTTTCTGTTTTGATTATGCTAGGTAGCATGTATGATAGAAATATAAACATATACTTCCGGTTGGTCTATAATATTGAATTTTGACTTAGAGAAAAATATTTAAGAAAATTATTAGTTTTATTTTTACTCTAAGTTTCATATATTAATAGTATAGATTATAACATTATTTAGAGCTAAATATTCGCTTTCATGTATATATTGATAATTTTGTCTTTAGTGCTTATTTATCTTACTTTGCGATATTTATTCCGTTCCGTCTATACTAACGTTATAAAATATCTCAGCAACTACTGGCTGTCAATTTAAAATAGAAAAATGATGAAATAAATAAAGTAGGATAATGAGCCATCTTATTATTCTATTGTTCTTAATACTAACTAGCTGTAGTTCGTAGCTTTTACATTTGTGTGTGTGTGTGTGTTAGTATGAAAAGTATCCTTTCTTTTAATATAGTAAATAATCCATATGTCTACTAAACATTCAAATTCGCCTGACTATACAAGCGTGATTCAAGAACACACATCTCCATTGTTTTACATTTTATAATATCAGTAAAATATCTTTACCGTTATAATTTAAAACTAACATTTACACTACGAAGTGCTACCTCAGGAGTACAACATAAATAAAACTTCCAATTGGTATATCAGTAGAAAAGTTAACCCAAGAGTTCACATATACTTTAGGTATCAGTGCTCTCTTGTTTTGTCAAAGCATAATTATAAATAATCATCATAGTGAGCAAATACTTGGCTAATTGATAATTCAAAATAGTTTATTATTTCTTTATGCATGTTTAGAGCAAACAAGCTAACGATCCACGTGATGGAAAAAGGTAGCCTATAGACATAAATAGTACCATGGACATAACAGAGTATATTGTGTCGCCCATGATACTCTTCATGCCTTGCCATTTCCGAGGACTAAATTTTTATGCCTCTGCGCTATCTTATTTTAATACCATATTTGCGGTTTAAAGGGAAGGCCCTTTAAACTGAAACACAACCATGCAAACACAACTGCTTCACGGAACACGAATAGGACAAAGGTACCCGAGCAAAAGACTTTTGAACAAAGTCTTTCTCTTATAATTCAGAATATAGGTAGGTGTTTATTAAAGTAACAAAACACATTAATATAAATACTCGTATATTAAGAAAAATATCTACATATAGTAAGATACATCTTACTATGAAACATAGGAACTATGAAAGAGGATCTGTAAGAATATCCGTAAGAAGTGTGTACTGAATGATACATTTTTACTAGCTTTTATCCGCAAACTACGTGTACGTGGATTTTGGAATTAGCTTCAAGGTTAAGTTGAACACAACTGTGAAAATCGCATCCAAATTATTTCCGTCATTTTCACGTGATATCGGAGCAAACATATCGACAAATAGACAAAAATCCTAAAATTTATTGTTTTCTAGAAATTAGTGTAAAATATTATCTATGTTTATGAAGATCGGGATGCAAAAATTGACTTTTCGCTGGGGTCGTCGTTAAGGAGATGCATTGTAGGATCCCATACCGTAGTATCCAGCATACCTTAATAATATGGATCTAGAACCCTATCCTTTTTGGTTTTTATGTTAATTAATAACACTAGAGCCGCGGATACATTACAACATGCCATAGTCACGAATAAGTAGTATTCGTCATTTTTATTGTTGGTAAACGTCAATAATTGGTACCATATTTACCAATGAAATAAAAAAATAAAATACCTGGCTAAATATTGACCGTTAAGGTCAGTATTTAGCCAGGTATTTTATTTATATAATTATTTTACAGAAGTATGTATGTATATATGTATGTAAATTGTAGAAATCTTTCTGTTTAAGTGATATAGTGATTAAACCAACATAAATTATATAAATATTGATATAAAGAATCAAACTGCAATTAACCATGACATAATATTATATATTTAAAATACATACTCGTAATTTCTTCCACCATCTTTTATAATTTATAGACACCCATTAAAAACTTTTTAATAAAAATTGTGAAACAAAATAAAAATATTTTAAATAATATTGTAAAATTGATATAATGAAAGTCCAAGAGATATCAAGAAGTCATGACTACTCGTACTGGTATGCAGAGTAAGGATGATTCGAGTACTGACTTGAATACCTACTAAGTGGATACTCAGATTCCTAATCGAGTACTCAATATCCAAATATACTCTATTCTAATATACAATTTTCAAATACTTGCGATACTCAAATACTAGTCGCGTGTTCATGTTTCTATTTTTTCCATAATTAAAAAAGAATTGATTATCATCATTTATGATAATCAATTCAAAGATAAATTTCTAGATCGGTTTAGAACTCAATTTAAAAAATTAGTCTAGTTTTATGAAATACTCCAATAAGTACTCGAGTACTCTTCCGAATCTTCAAACTCGAGTAAGGTTTTTTTTTTTTTTGAGTAAGAAAATATTGAATTCTCAGTGGTGGCCAACTCGACTTCCTACTAGTCATAACACAGTAATGAATTATATCAAAATAATAATAATAAAGCTATCTTCTTTGTACTAGATTTTTGTAATCAAAGTTGATGTTTGTTAATGGAACTCCCATTAATTTATTTAGATAAGATTGACAGACAGGATAACATCTGATTGTTTATTCTAGGGTTTGGAAATAAAAACATATGATATAATATACGATGGACTATTTTAATTATAGATATTATATTTTACGTAGCTAAAACTATCTAGATTAAACCGGCCTTCAAGTATAAAACCACTTTGTAGTCGGTTTGGTTTATCCATTTGGTCACTATGATATTACAGACAGGTATATTATTTTATATCACATTAGCTGATGCCTGCGACTTTGTCTGTGTGGTATTTGTTATTTCTGTTTAGTACGTATCGATGTATGTACCTATCTATTATGTCTGGGAATACTGGACCAAAATTAACAAATGACGTGTCGTTCTTACTTTATGCCTTAGGTCAAAATTACTTAAGTAGGTTATGTACTAAGCTGTATAAGTTACTATAATTTTTTAACTATCTCACGGGAACTCTTTAATTTTTCGTGTTTAAAAGTGTATTTTTAAAATGTTGACCGGGGATGTAAAGTACCACCATGCAAAATTTCATTTAAATCGGTCCAAAAGTTTCAGAGATTAGCCCATACAAATAGACAGAGAACCAAAAAATTTGTAAAATCTAGATGTGTCCTATTTTACTTCTCACATCCCTCCTGACTCGGGTGTTAGCATTTTTTATTTCAAAATTATTTATAGGTGTGTTTTATATAACTAAGGTCATCTTTTTATCATTTTTTTTTTTATTAAAATAAAACAGAAAACTATTTATTTTCTTCGGAACTACCTCATCCTGCCCCGTCTCGTCCTTTAACTCATATTTAACCGTTTAATTTTATCATTTGCATCTTACATCGCTTTTCTTATTATCACTTAAATATTTGTTATTTCGTGTTGCAGTGGTAGCTCATACGAGGGTCAATGGCAGAACGGCAAGCGCCATGGACTGGGGGTGGAGACCCGAGACCGGTGGCTGTACCGGGGCGAGTGGACGCAGGGCTACAAGGGTCGGTACGGCGTCCGGCAAAGTACTACCAGCAACGCGAAATATGAGGGCACATGGGCCAATGGACTCCAAGACGGATACGGCTCGGAAACTTACGCGGATGGCGGTCAGTATTATCTAACTTCTTTCGTTGCCAACTGTTGAAATTCGGACGAAAATACATACGTTTACATGGCCATGGCATTCTTACATTGAATCACTTTGAGAAAATGCGTTATTACTTTTATTCAAGCTAATTAAACGATCACAATTAATAAATACTTTCTAATGTTATTTATATTCTTATTAATTACTATTATACACATATAAAGGAGTTTGTTTGTTACCTCTTACGTACACATAATATTTGACATCTTATTTATCCTGATCAAACAATATCTTTCCGTAGCTAATAGATTTATAGACGTGCAAAGCCGCTAGTACCAACAAGTACAGTGAGATATATTTCCGTATGATAGCGCCGTAATTATATATGTTAATCATTTTCTGGCCATCGTCGTATCTATTTTAATTCAAATTTTGTACAAACTCTGTCATAAATGATGTTACTACACGCGCCAATGATAGTACGTCACTTGTTGCGTTAGTTGTCAATGTATAAGTCAAATGTACTGTTTCTTATTTCAACTGCAAGTACACACTTTCCTGAATCATACAGTAAATAATATTCTTAGAAAGTTGTCACTGAAATTTTGGACTTTGATGGAAAAAAGTAATGAAAGATTTTCAAAGCAAAATATTTGAAACGATTTTATGGTAGATCAGAATACTTTAAAACGCTATTTGTGCTAAAAACATAGAAGAAAGGAAGTTATTATCTACTTATTTATGTACAGAAGTACTTGTAAAGAAAAAGCGCTCAGTAGGGATAAGTAGAAATGAATTCCCATTCATCTCTACCAGTAAAGATAGGTGGAATAAAATTCCGCTCTTACCCCTAGTGGAAAACCGTTTGTAGGAACAAGTGGAACTGGCTAATATGAAGTAAGTTCAAAGTTTTTGTTTTTGTTCAAGCAAGTAGTATATTTATAATGCAATGTATTCTGTAGTTAACGTTTTAGTACTCTAGCAGATTTTATAAATAATCACTAAGGAATATTTAAAAATGTGCAACTGTTTTTGAAAATTTACAGATAATTGCAACATTCCCATACTTCGATAAGCTACAATTATGAAGACTTATGTTTTTTTATAATTTTTAGATACTCGTGCATTTAATAATCGTTCCTATCTATTTTATCTAGATATTACAACTGTCAGGTTTCTTCCCCCCATTTTCAGCACCACGTAATTTTAATTGACCATAAAAGTGGAAGTTTCATAAATCAATTGATTTTTTTGTATGTATTATGTATAATCTAAGGCAATAGACATTATGAGACTTTTTAATTAATTATGAACAGATTTTATACTTTTCTAATTTTTGTTAAGATTGAAATCGATTTATTTAAAAAAAAAAACATATTTCGTATTTATTAACTGTGACTAGACATTTTTATAATATATTAATTTCCTGCTAGCTAACTCACCTAATGACCCAGATCGCAGTTGCGTGAACTAGGAAAGAAAACTGTTCGCTTGTGCAATGTTTGCTGTCAGAAAATAATGTAAAACTGTAAACAAGATACATGGTCACATACCTGAATAAAATAATAGCAAAATTCTTAAATAACGTATAAGTTATTATAACGAATAAGGTTAACCAAAAAATAAAAAAATAAGTTTGTCTTTATGAATACAATGATTACAACATTTCCCAATAACTACCCTTGTAACTTTTATTTATTGCAATACCGTTAAATAAAAACCACCAAGCGAATTGTATAATATTTTCACACATACATAATTCCTAATAAAGTAATCAGACGTCATTTGGCGTTGTAGTGAACATAACAATACAAGTCAACCTTTAAACTATTGTAGTACCTTGTAAAACCTTTTTCTGTATGAAGATTAATTGGTCTTAAATATACTTACATAATTATATGTTTATTATTTTAATATTGTAATTTCGTTCTCATAATATGTAGAATAATTTTCAAGCCAAGTACGAAAATAACCTAATACTAAGTAGCCCATTTATGTATTTAACTTAGAATTCCATACAAGTTTATTTGTAAACAAATGTAAATGTGAACGCGATCGTAACGTAAATCTTTATACACTGCACACTAGGCACCCTGAAAATTATTCTTAGAGAATATTATACACAACAATTTTAAGTGGGCCATACTAACAACGGCGTATCTAGCTGTCAACTTAGTTTGAAAAGCTCTATGTTGATTGTCTTTTTCGAGCAAAATTTCTTTAAGAAAAAGTTCAGTGATAATTTCGATTTCACTATTACTATTGGCATGAGTGACTTCTCTTTGTACTTCATCACTAAAAACAAAACACTACGAAATTTAGTATATACGTACTACAAATAATATAAAATAATAAAGGAAGAAAGATACTTTTTATCCCAATCAATGTGCATATCCTGGTCCTTGTTAATTGTGAAATAACTACTATTATACAATATATAATATAACACTTAGCCAACAGTAATGTAGATATTTATTCATTGAACACCTTACATATATTATTGATGAATAAAGAAATAGATATAATATAGTACAAGAGAAGAACTTATTGCTAAAGAATCTCTTCCAGACAACGTTTGGATTTGATGAATAGTTAATTTATATATGTATATCTAAAAATTCTATCTTCTTAAACCAAGTCGCTACAGGCATAAAAAAAGAAAACAGGTATTATTATGCCAATAACATCAATCCCGCCTTTTCGTACCACATTTTATTAGTCAATAAAGTTTAAATAAATAAATCATTATTTTATGTGTGGTTCAGGTACTGACAAAACTTTTCCCTTGCACATTATGCGCTATGGTTGTAATTTGAATTATCTATCGATAGTATCTAAATTGACTCTGATCTAAATATATTTTTCCAAATTGTAGGTGGTTTTATCTATTTATTTATCTATTTTAGCAACTTTACAATTTCCCAATACGCTCACCCAAGAAAACATCAGTACAGTAACACATGTATAATTAAATGGGATTATATTAATTAGATATAACAATAATAGAAATAATATCACTAAACACAAAAAGTCTGTGGTCTTTTGTCTCGTTATAATAAGATACCTATCCTAAATTGACTATCAGGCAATTTGTATGTTACTTATAGTAATATTTTTAGCTGCGGTATGTAGTCTCTTTTCCATTATATCAAATTAAACTACTGATTCATTGACTTTTACTTTCTAATGTATAAATTTACATAATAATCATGTAATAGGATGTACTTTCACTACTCCATTATTATCGTTTCAGTCATTCCATACCTTGCCAAATGACAATGTGCCCAGGGACTAATTAGGATTTTATACAACCTTGAAAGTACGACGAAATTCAGTTCTACGTAACAAAAAGCTCCGTACAATATCATGAAATAACGTCACGCAATTCTCAACATCAATACGTTGACTCATAACCGCATTAATATTAGTCATTAACAGAATTACAAATCTGACTGCAGTAATTTGTTTCTAATAAAAATATTTTTGAAAATTAGTCACAATCCCTATAAGTAGATACCTATAACAGTCGACTGACTGTAGTGATTCGTCAATTCACATCCGGTTTGCGTGAAACCATATACTGAGGAATGGTTCATTCATCGCGTGTTGCCTACATGATTCCATACCATTTAACGTCATTTATAATTTAGTATTTTACCGTAAGCTATAAACGGCACATGTCATAAGGACGTGTAAAAGTGGCACCCACCCGTTACTACCTACCCGTATGAATTGCGTTAGCACGATGCTCTAGGCGCCTCCTATTTACAGAAAATGTTAGATCCTTAACATTTGTAACACTTTTATTACATTTAATAAATCTCGTGCAGAACACGTATTGTATTAATCTCATTATTTTATAACATAGTGGTAGATATAATTCAAGTGCACGTTTCTTTTTGACGGTTGCGAACTCGATCCCCGTACATGAATATTTTTATTTATTTTACCTATATATGTGTTTGTCAATTTTCATTTAATGATCGTTATTTTAAAGGGTATTTTATAAATTTAACTGAATATATAAATAAAATTGAGTCTAACTGAGGACGTTCTTAAAAATGATTTTACCTAAATGCTGAATTATAAATTTCTAATTCGTTATGTACGTGTTTCAAACAACATTGCTCCAATATGATTTTTTAGTAGTTTGGTACTGAATGGGTTTAGTAAGGTGGCCCTGCATACGAGTACACCCCGCCACCGCACGCCGCGGCCCTCGCTAGCGGTTAAATATAGCGCAGGCACGCCCGCCACGCCGCACCGCACACCGCGCGCCGCCTCGACACACAATCATGTCGACCACTGCTTGAACTTCTACTATTAAAAAATAAAATAATTATGCTTACACTGTCATGGTTAATTTTAATATTTATTACAATTTGTAAACACAATTTTTTCCACCGAGACATTTGTCTCATTTTTTTTAAATAAATTATTAACATAAAGATTCGAACAGAGATAAAAAAACTGAAACAAGTACTACACAATTTGTACAAAATCTATGCGTGTTACTGCTAACTGAACTGCTTGGAAGGCTCATTGTGTAATATTTTAGCAGACCTCTCCTCCACTTCATACTAAAATAGGAAAGGCTTCTGCTAAAATGTCGTGAAATCTCATCTATACGAAGGCATACTACTCAATACAAATCTCATAATTTTTTTTTCCTCTTATTTCACAAACAAGCTAATGAGGAATAATAATAATAATAAATACATCAATAACCAATATTCGTACTCGTATTAAATTATAAATTGTGAAAGTTTGTAAAGATGTTTATTAGCATAATTCGAGTAAATTACTGTACTTTGTCTATATAGGCTAGAGCATATTTATGTCTATGCTATTATCTACTATACCATTAGATAATACATTTTTGTAATGGAAAATCTTATAGAAATATGTTTTAAAAATCATATTATATAAGTTACATTCGTTATTATGTATTTCTTATTGAATTCGACCTGGCATAGACAATTACAATTAGAAGGCAACGGTTCAAACTTCGCCCATTTCAATTCTTTTTTAATTATACCATACATATTTTAATATTTCTATATTTATATTACGAATACTCGTATGTGTAACTATAAGTGAACACTATTATTATAAAGAGAAGTTTTAATTAAAGGACTGGATTGATGATTTATACCCACGAATTGAAAGTGCTTGTAAATAAGTCTATTTTAATATAAATATTTTTAATTTAAACATGTAAATTATTAAGATTGGAAGAAAACTACTAATCTATAAACAAACACTTTAAGAATTGATGATTCTGCCATCCGACAAACATTCTGACTGTTAAACAAATTAATTATCTATCTTCACACAAAGTCCTTCACGGGGTAAACAAAGAGAACCGAGAGTCGAAGACCTCTGTCCATACATACGAGTACATCTCCTACTACTTGCAGTTTTAAATTTATCTCATACATTCCGGTTCCGGAGTCATAAATTAACGTAAGTCTCCACCAGTACCTACATCTTACTTACTTACTTATACAAAAGTCCATATCAATGTCCATTTATACAGAAGTAAATTGTCATCAGCTATAAATAATATAATGTATTTATCCATATATTAATATTTTTCAGGAACATACCAAGGACAATGGATGCGAGGGTTGCGGCACGGGTACGGTGTTCGTACATCTGCGCCTTTCGGGCTCGCGTCGCATTACCGCGGCGGAGCGCGACATGGCCACCGCGGCTCGCTTTCGTCGCTCACAGAAGCGGCCGGCACGCCGGACCCTTCGGAGAGGCGGACCACTCGTATGGACGATGCAAGAGGAGGCTTTGTCCTCAAGGCAAGCTCTGACGAACCAGGGAGACGCGGTTCTCTTGTTGAAAAGACTAAGAAGGGATTGCTTTCTGTGAGTTAATTACATTTTCTAATGCCATGGCAATAATATTTTTATTGAACGTTGATTGGTTATTTACATGCATACGAATGCATGCAACTGAATATGCAGGGTGAAATTGAAAACAAATTAGCACTCTTTCAGGGAGTACCACGAAATTTGATAATTTTTTCTGACTATTTTGGATTCATGTTTTTAGGAAAAAAATTTAGTTTGAATGGTAAAATACACTCATTAATGACTTAATTTTCGATATCATCCTGTAGATATATCCTTTAATTAATCATATTCAGATGGCAATATAATAAAAATGCAATAACAGGCGAGACCAAAAAATAATTAGGTACACTGTGTAAAAATTATGAATTTGCAAGTAACTAAAGTTGAGAAAATAGTAAATATTGATTTTATAATTAATATATTTTATTTCAATTCGTGAGCATTCAGAATTTTACTTGGGTTAAATATAATATTTTTCTATCAGTTGTTGTGTACGCAATATTATAGAATCAAATACATTTGTATTTGATTCTATAATATTGCATTATTATAATTATATTATAATATTGCATTTAGATTAAATATTTGTGGATTTTTCCTTCTAATAATGTACAATACTTGAATATAACCTGTATGAGAATGCTCTATCTATCTCAGTCTAACATACCTACATATTACTGTTTCTTTTTCTCTTAAATTATTTATCAATTCATATACTTTAATTTAAGTAAATATACCAATATATATTGTGCACTGCTTATGTCTTATATACATTATTATTATACATCTTATGTATATCAAGTGTGTTAGCTTTTGTAGTTCTATATATATTAAATATACCTACCTATTCCTCAATTTCCTTAATTTGAATTATAGTTATTTTACATACACGACATTCATCTATCACCTCATGAGTATTATCAGTTCATAATTGCTCTGTACTATTGTTATCTTTGGTCTAATGCCTGATTTATTTTTTTTCTAAATTTCATGTAACACACAGAAAGCAAATGAACGAAAATGGCAAAAAAAATTATGCTCTTTTCAAATGCCAGACCACACCTATATATTTTTTATAAAATTCGCAAAATACTGCAATAAATGTTGGTCGAGATACACATTAGTAAATTCCTTGTATGTAACGGCAAGTTTATATGCGAACATTCTTTACCAATAATAAATAAGCAAAATAAAACACTACAACATATAGTTACCGGGGGAAAGAGGTTGTTAGTAATGGAGACTGAGAATCCCATTGCTAGCAATATACCCAACCAGATCGACCTCCTCGCAGTTCTACCTGGAAACTATCATGGTTAATTCCTGATGAATTCATCATGATGGGATAACTGGCCTGTTTTCATTCTCATCTATCACCCTTCACTGGTGCTCCGCCAGCGTATCTCGTTAGCGCAGGCGGAATTATCATACCATTTTCACCGATCAAAAAAAAAACATATAGTTACCATACAAAATATTACTATTGTCTTAAAATAAATTCAGCTCGCAAATACTGCTGTAAATTTATTATATTATGTTGTAAATAGCAGGATGCATTAATAAAACATATATGTATTTGAGATATAAAATAAGTTTAGTGAAAAAATACGAGACATTACTTATAAAAATCTTGCATAGAACAAACTTAAAAATAATACATTGTTTTAAAAAACCTCAGTGTCAACAGCCAGTAATAAAACTCCAACACGCCCTCTTAATCCTGGATATTGACCAGCAACTGTTTGACCGCTGACTGATTGCCGCAATATTATACAATAGCGTTAATATGCCCCGTCAGCTCGGAGAGTAAGGCACGGACGTACACCGCTTCTCTTACCGCCTCCAATAATACTATATACTCCGCTTCAGCGAACGAAGCCTTTTTCACCACTAGCCATAGTTACTAAACAATCACGCGATTTGAAATTATTCATCAGATCACGCCGTCCAGTCACATGATTTGTGGCTCACGAGTTAATTTACAACGAGCTTTCTGTATCCGCACTAGCAATGTATGCCGAGAAAACACAGTTTCCAGAAAAACTCTTTTCACTGCGACACTCTTTTTTAGATGTCTTTTCTATCTACACTTCCAGTACCACGGTCCCTTCTTACGATAAGAAGTCTGCTTCGTATTTCTTAACTCGCCTTTGTTTCCTTACGCGTCACTCGTTCCGGATGTACTCGAAGCTGAAGTGCTTTTCTTCCAAGAAAACAAGCACTCATTCGATTCACCGCGAGTTGTCCAACGCTTATCTTGTAATAATTTAGTCTTCACTAAACCAACTAATATTACAATTCCCGAGTGCTTACGTACCATGATCATGGATTCGCACTTCAAAGCAACTCATCATCGATAGTTTATTCGTACTCGCTAACTGTAGAGCATACAACAAAACTTGATCGATACACGTCTCCATTTCAACAAAGCTCTCCAGTTTAATTGAACAAAGACTACTTAACATCTTCAATCTCACACCCAAGACCTTTGTCATCATATGCACTTTCCAGAGCATTCCAAGCTCAATTTGCAGTTTTAGCTCTCATAAGACGAGAAAAACAACCTTTTCCACCACAAATCAATGATTTTTCCTTGTCGTCCAGCCGTCTTCTCATTTCAGGTTACAAGCTATCAGTTGCACCATATCCACAAATAGATTTTCGAAAATAAGAGCATCCTGCATAAAAATTTTCAATCTACATAGTTCACCTGTCTTTTAAGTTTTTCAAACTAGATTGACAAATTACTCTTGTTAGATATCATGAAAATTTTTTACTTTCAGAGCTGGGCCCATAACCTGTTAAATCATATATGTATTTGAGATATAAAATAATAAGTTTAGTAAAAAAATACGAGACATGACTTATAAAAATCTGACATAGAACAAACTTAAAAATAATACATTGTTCTAAAAAACCTCAGTGTCAACAGCCAGTATTAAAACTCCAACATATTATAGCATATAGAATCTAGTAAATTATACTTAAAACCATTTTTCCATTAATACATGTTTTTATAGATAGAAAACATTTAGACTAATTCAAACAGATATACTCTTAATTAATACAAATTTTTGTATTATAGAAAGATAGAATCTGCTATCTGAGATATTGTGTAGAAACGCTACTTTACTAAAGTCCTTAATTGTCATAACTAATATGCATTGTAAGTATAAATCTTCATATAAAAAAAATAATAGCCAGAAGGCATATCGTCTGTTCTACAATGTCTTCATTACAAATTATGTTATCATTCATTGTATTTTGGAGAAAAATTAAAACATTATTCTGCCTGCTTCATATTCTTTAGACTACGACTATGGTCTCTGCTAGTATTTACTCGTAGTATAAAATTCTTAAGATCTTAGAAAGATCATGTGTCTTAACTCTTAAATTGACATATTTGGCTTAGTACAGACGAACTTGTCGCCGTCTCTTTCATTAGTTATACCTATTTATTAATCCTGTGTAATTTAGATTACCTAACACACACACACATACACACACACACGCGCACATATATTCACACAATGTCATATCTCTTAAACATTTTTAGCTTATAAACTAGATGCTTATAAGCTAAATATATCAAGTTTATGCTAACATATTATTATCGTTATTAACATCATTACATTCTGATCGAGCATTAACAAGAGGAGTCTGAACCAATGTCTATATATAGGACGCTAGATGCTAGTCTATTAACAATAATATACACAATTGCATAATAAGCTATGATAGATATTTGAAGGGGTTATTGAGGTAATTAGAGAATGTATCTGGTCTTGCAGAAGTTACGTAAGCAGCGCAGCGCCGGCGAGCTGGACAAGCGCGGCACAGGGTCCGTCCGCTCAGGAGGCTCAGGGGGCTCAGGCTCCTCTTGGGTGTCTTCGGTAGAAAGCTCTCACTCTGCTATGACCCATGCCTCCCTACAGACAAACTCAAATGCTAGCTTCGTTGTAGAGGTAAGCACATTGTCCTGCCATCATATACTATATACAACACGAAAACGCTTACAAACAACGTTTCCACACTTCAATTACATTATATAAAAATATTTAGTTTTAGTATTCATTTGGTGTGTTATCAATCACTTGGTGTTTTCAAAATCCAAAAATATTTTGTCTACAGATAAGATTTCCCTTTGTGTTGTAGCTTTGTTGCGTTATAGTACTAATATAGTATAAAGTATAATATCTGTAGTTGAAACACACAATTTTAGGAGTTTTATTAACCAAACTAAAACACACTGAATATTATTGTATATGTATCTCGTTGGGCTTAAAAGCTTAAGAAGACAAAGCCAATATTAAGGATTTTTTTATCCGCAGACCAAACATCATCACTTGATATAATAAAACCACTTTCTTAGAATTGAAATAGTGTTACTTTGAGCAGCAATACAAAATTTCGAATAGTTAATTCACAAGTTATGCAATTGCATAATCATAATAATGGAATACCTATAATAATAATATTATATAATAAAGCGGAATAGTTTATTTATTTCAAAAATAAAATTTCAACTTGCTAATCCTTAAAAATTAATATTCGAATTAAAATTTGATAAAATATTTTTGCATTTAATAGCTCATTTTTTAAGAAAAGTATATATACGTTATTTAACATTACAATATAACCACAGGCGTGTAAATTAATTAAAATCACTGATCCGTTCATTTTTATTTAATTTTCCTCCTCATTTAATTTTCTCGAAAAAAAAATTACCTACTCTAATCGAGATAAAAGGCGAATCTATTAACAATTGATTGATCGATTTTTAAAACCTATGGTTTTGGCGTGAATTAAAAAAATGATACATGTTTCAGATTGGTAACATAGTTAAAAATATACTACCAACCTGAAATAACATAATTCATTCCACATGTAATATGTATCTCTTTAATTTTACCAGTACTTAGGTTCAAAGTGTAACTCAATCCATTCTATACTAACTAAATAAAATTTTAATAAAATATTTTAAATATATTTATATTTTTAATGCAGGATGAACATTTAGACGCAAGCGTAACGGAAACTTACATGGGCGAATGGAAAAACGATAAACGCACAGGGTTTGGAGTTAGTGAACGCAGCGACGGACTACGTTATGAAGGCGAATGGTTTGGAAACAGAAAATACGGATACGGTGTAACTACTTTTAGAGATGGCACAAGAGAAGAGGGCAAATATAAGAACAATGTGCTCATCACAAGCCAAAAGCGGAAACACATGTTCCTCATGCGATCCGCGAAGTTCAGAGAACGGGTCGATTCAGCAGTTAATGCAGCACAACGTGCATCAAAAATAGCATTACAAAAAGGAGACATAGCTATCTCGAGGTTAGTATATAGATATATTTCTAATTATATAAATAAATATAATGTATAAATACTTTTTGCTCTAGAGGAGATATTTATTGTTATAACAGAAAAAAATATCATCTAACAGTATGTATTTAATATAATTTAACATATACCTATTTTAATATACTTTTTTTGCCCTTCTATTGCAGAACTGCTACAGCCCGAGGTAAAGCTGAACAAGCTGATGAAGCAGCAGACCAAGCAAAAGATGACTGTGATAATGCACAAGCAACTGCAAAACAGTTTGCACCAGATTTTAAGCACCCTGGCTTTGATCGAATAGGATTAAGAGAAAAATATAGACAAAAGGCCTACGATACGCAAATAACGTCGCCTGTATCACAAGAATCTGAAAAGATCTTGGATGGAAAGAGCATTCCAAATCATATCCCTCCGATGCATTCACAGCTTCCACAGTCTAATAAAGTTCCAAACGCTATACCCTCTAGACGACCATCAACGCAGCATCAGAATACACAGTATCCTAAACCTGTAGACCCAAGACTTGTAAATAATGCTAATTATAATACAGATAACCGTGCACTAGGACCTCCATATGACCAACATTATAACCCAAATCAAGACAATTGGTCATCAGCGAACACACAATCGCAAATTCCAGATAATCAAAAGTCTTACTTGCCAAACGAAATTAATACATATGGACCTATATCACCTAGTGGTCCGCAAGCACCGCAATCAGCATATCGTCTAAACAGGCAGGATGCCTTACAGGGTCAACAATGTATGGATCAAAGTAGTCAACAATACATAAATCAAGGACGAAGACTGTCATCAGCTATCAGACAAACACCTAATCAAAGACCTCAGCAAGAATGGAACACTACCCAAATAGGTCCCAGACGACAGAGCGTTCTAGCTCAACCGACTAACCACCCTCAAGACTCATATATTGACGGAGGTTCGGCTACATATGGAAGAAATGAGTTTCGGAGCGGAACTGTTCATTCTGAAGGACCACTAGACCGTCAAACAATGGTATCTGATCCCCAAGGTTATCGACAGCCTAACGATCCACAGGCTTATAGAGAACCACTGGATCAACACGGATATAGACAGGCTTCCGATCAGCAAATATATCGACAAGCCACGGTTGACAATCAGTCATATCGACAAAGTGCGCCCATGGACCAAGAGAGCAATGGAGTGCGTGACCCTCGACAAACGATGACTGGACAGCGACCAACTATCGATTATTTCGATCACTATAAGAGGCCTCCTAGTAGAGATTCAAGCGTGGATCGATACGGGCGACGGTCGCGACAGGCATCGGTCGAACCAACAAGTGGCGGTGGTTCACGAGCTGGCTCTGTAGCACCACAACCGGCACCGATGTCCACAGCGGCATCGCGGCCCGCCTCTCGCGCTGCAACACCAGCTGGAAATGGACATTTAACCTCGGGCCGGGGTTCTATTTCCCGCGCAAGTTCCCGAGAACATGCCATTCCTTTTGAAGAATCTCTGCTACGAAAGCGAACGCTGGGACAAGAAATATCGCCGTCACCATATCAACCAAAGCGTACAGAGAGTTTGTACGTGACACAGAATCCAGCGCCACCCCCGCCAGCCCCTATGGCTGGAGGTGGAGGAGGAGGGAGAAAGGTACGTATACTGTAATTATAATACTTATTGTGCTTTCTTCTGTCCATTCATTTAATTAGACTCAACATTTTTTCGTGGTTGAAAAACGTCCAGTTTTTAGAAACTCATACCAAAAAGATGATAAGAAACTCTAGGAATGCGAATTCATCCACCTGACCCTCCCTCTATCATAACAATGCTATATTTCAATAACTACTAATACTATCGATATGTTCGACATAGTTTATTAGCCTATCCTAATTTATTGAGAAAAGTCTAAATGAGACAAATTGAATTCTACGAAAAAAAAATCTTCAATAAATATTAATATTATAATTGCATAAAAATATAATAAATTTATAAAGTGGTCAACTCAAATAGTTAACCAATTTATAAGTTAAGTTGTTTGGTTTTCCCATCATGTTATGAATAAATTCAATCTTCACTAATTTAATCTTCACTGAAGAAACTGCGCAGTGAGTTTAGATCCATTCCTACTCAAAATTAAAGAAAAAGAACAAAATTTTACAAATTTAAACAAACTACTTAAATAAAGTAATTTTTTTGAAACAATTTGAAACAGGGATTTATATTTTATGAAAAAATAAATTACATTTAATTTTCAAGTAAGTCGACAAAATCTTGCTACATAATAAACCTTTACAATTAATACAAAAATAATGTAAGGTGCAATTGTCTTACAAAGTTATAAAAAACTGTCTACGATTGCATATATCTATCTGGAATGTAGAAGTCAGTATAATTAAAATTATAACATAGTTTAAATTAAATATTGTAAATGCATATTTATGGTATTAATTATTAAAATTTTTATTACTTTTGCTATGTAAAGTAAATAATCTTCGCCTTTTATAATAAGTAAATAAATAAAGTAATTTGGGTAAATATTTAAAAATTTACGTCAATGAGAATATTTTTATTACTAGATGTGTGTGAGTAAGCTGCGTGATTTATCGAAATATACGCAGACCAAAAGTTTTAACATAGATATGATACAAAATGACCTTTTGTGCAAATGTGTTTTTTTGTGTTTTTATCCTTACCTTGTGGATGCCTGCACTATAAAATAACTCAAAATTTCAATAAATAACTCTTTACTCCAATAAAGTTAGTTTTTTGAGATTTTTTATAATTTGTCAAAAACTGTGCTAGTTAGGTTAGATTCATTCATTCATAGGTTCACAAAACTACATTGGATATTACAGGAAAATATTGTTTTAATTTTCCTGTAATATTCATTTATAAATTGTAATTATTTCAGATTTTTCACATTTCGGAGATGAAAAATATAACCCCCGTATATATTTTTCACATTTCTAATCATGAGAAAAACTATGAGACATAAAAATTATAAAAAATATGATTATAGGATCATAAATATGAAGTTTTTACAAAAAGTTTATATAATAACTCACTTAGACTAATTAAGTCATTTTAAAATTTCGAGTATCCAGTTTAGACCTCTTAGCAATATTTTTACTTTTTATTAATACAAATATTCTTTCATTTATTTTTTCGCCTTAAGTGTAGGTCAATCATAGCATTATATATATAGTTACTGAAAAAAAATGAAAAACATTTATAGTTATAAAAGACGAACGGACGAACAACTTCGCATTTATTATAAATATGAGTGTAAGAGAAATATTAATGAAAATTGTAAAATACAAAAACGTTAAAAAGTAATCATTTGGCTTTTCATGGACATTAAAGTATGGAAACTCCTCCCTCTACCTTATATGTTTATGATAATGTCTTATTAAGTTTATATGTAAAGGCCAAAAAGAGAGTAACAGGAATGAATAAAAATAGAGATGAATGAAAGAAAAACCATATGTATTAAACTGTCTAAGCTGTCATAGCTAAGTTGTCACTAAATGATATGGAGCAGGGGTAAGAACATGTTGGTTTTGGTAACAAGTTATGAAATAAAATATGAACTCTTTAGTACTTACATTACAGCACATTTTATGCAGATGCCTTATTTTTTTATCAATGTAACAGATATAACATATAACATACTAACACGAATATCAGCCGTTAACTGTCCACTGCAGACCTCCCCTTATTGGGGGGATTTTACCAGTAGTTACCACACTTGGCAGGCATGTTGGCAACCGCCGTTATGCTTTGATAACGTTTAAAGAGAGACGCTGCTGCCCATCCCTCGACCATTAAGTTACCTTAGTCGCCTCTTACGACACCCACAGGAAAGGAAGGGATGGTACATTCTGTGCCAGGACCACACGGCAACTATACTAATATTAGTAACGAGTAATAGTAAATAAGTGAGTAAAAAAAGTAGCTAGAGTTTTTAGAAACAACAACGACATGTGCACTCACGCATGTATCACGATATAAAATATATACACTGTGATACCCATGGTATCCCGCATATGTTGTCTTTCTATACACCAAAGTTTAAATTTGGCCTTCTGTAACACAGCTGTAAAAACCGCATCCAATTTGATACAGTTTTATCATTGTATTATATTAGACATAACCTTTATTATGTATGTAATAATATGGACTGGAAAACATATAGTATAAATATCAATGACGAATACATCACTCGACTTTGATTTGCCGATGCTATAGTAATCAAGGCGGAATCCCTAGAAGATTTGAATACTATGTTCAATGACCTCAATAGTACTTCTCAACAGGTAGGTCTAAAGATAAAGATGGACAAGATTAAAATCACATCTAACGTCTATGTCAGACCAGTTACGATTGAGAACATTAGGCTCTAAGTTGTCGACTATTTTGTATACCTGGAACAACTTGTCCAAGTAAGTCCAACTTCGACCGAAGTCAATCAAAGAATCCAAATCGACTGGACAGCGTTCAGAATACTAAGCCACATTTTTTGTCCAAAATATCTCAAAGTTTGTTGATGAAGGTATTTAACCAGTGCGTGTTGCCTATGAAACCGAAACATGATTCTATACGGTAGCCCGTACAAAAGCTTCAAGTTACTCAACGAGCTATGGAGATGGCTATACTCGAAGTTTCTTTACGTGACAGAATCCGAAATGAGGATATCCGCAAATGAACCAAAGTGACCGACATAGCACGAAGGATAAGCAAGCTGAAGCGGTAATGGGCTGATTATATAGCTCGAAGAACTATCAACCAATAAGGAAAAAAAATCTTGAGTGGCGACCCCGTATGGACAAACACAGTGATCTAGTGATGACCCCTCACTAGATGCAGTGACGACCTCAAATGCATTTTTCAAGAATTCAATAGACGCAGGTGGCTCAGGATCGTTCCTTATGGTAGTCTATAAATATAAAGTAAAATAAATTTTATTGCATTTTTATACGAAATAAACATCTAGTAGTTTATATTAATTATACTACACTTCGCAATTTATTTTAAGGCCATAATTATGGTTTCAAACTGAATCGCCTAACTATGTTTTTGGAGGTTTTATATAATTTCTCAAAAATTATGGTAGTTAGAAACATTCTTTTATTATTTATATAATATTCGGATATACTTTTTTATGCAACTTATAATAGCAAAAATTTATAAACAATAATTAATTCAGATTTTCCCCTTTATTTATTTTTTTCGAAGATAATAGAGAACACAAAATCAAATATGTACTATTACACTTAAATCGTTAAATTCTCTTGTTACTCTTAAAATTGCCTCTAGTATGCATTGTAGTGAGCTTATTAATATTTTATTATTAGATCTGATTATTGATCAGTTTTTTGCTTTAATCCAGTGTCATCGTAAAGACAGATAACGTAGTGCGATATCGTGGTGAGGCTAATTAACATAACGTGGTACATGGTGTAGGCGGTCGCATCCAACACGAATGGATACCACGGTGGGACGCGGGTCGGCGGGACGGGAGCTCGACTCAAGCTCAGCCCGTTCTATTTCTAAATTAAGACAGTCACTCGCTGCCGCTTTCCGCGAATCACCTCCTTGCTATATATATCTGAAAATATTCAATTATTTTGATAAACATAGCTAATACACTATCCAAATTATAAAGCTCGTTCAATTATTTTCTATAATGACCAAGGACAAAGCGCATTCCAATCAAAAAAGAATTTGGCCCACAATACCCATAATGATGTAATGAAGTAAACTGTGAAATGTGACTTAAATTTATATTTGTGATTTAGTTAATCGATTGTCTAGTTATATACTCGTACTTTTATCAATATGTGGTACCAAGGGGATGAAGAGGAAGATGACGATCTTATGTGCTCGCCAGCTATACTTGCTCGGAGGGCTTCCGAAAGTTGGATAAATGTGCCTCCTGTAGAGGTAATGTGCAAGCTTAGGTTATTATGTCTCAAGAAAAAACTCCTGCGTATATTTGAACTTCTTTAAAGTAAAACATAAGCAAACATACATAGATATTTTATAAAAATATTTTAAAAGACTTTTTAACTTATAACTACTTATATCTGATTAGCTACGAGAAAGTTCATAACTTCGTCGATATTACGATTTGATGTATTTAATTGAACATCTCTACAGATGCTAAGCACACCGCAGGCATTGCAGCGAAAGAAGTCTTTGCCTGATGTAGCAGGGATGCCACGTTCTATAGATGGTACTGGCATGTCCCGTGAAGAGGTTTCGGCCCTCGGATCCGCTCGCCGCGAGGAAGTACGCCGTATGCATGAAGAAACTGAAAAACTTCGAGCAAACCCATTGCTTTACTTAGTCAGTCCACAAGTCAAGGTATGACAATATTTTGAATTAAATTAATTATAATTCTTAAAACAATATAATTATTTTATTGTACTAATATTAAAACATAATGCGCAGATATTGGTACTTCTCCTATTTTATATCAACAGAGTCACGATAATTTTTTTTATTTATCAAGACACTGTTCTATTACATGTATAATATATAATAGATTAAATATAAGTAGGTGTAACGTATATTTTACTGTACAGTAAAATCTAACCGCTGAATATCAACTTTTTAAAATTGCTACTAGAGAAAATATAGATGAGCTACGAGATTATAATACGAGAACGTAACGTAGCGAACCATGAAACATGTGTAACAAACACTTCCACGAAACTACAGCTACGACGAACTTCGTAGTCAGCCTAGGGCGTAAGCTGTAGCAATACTTTTATTATTGTGCCATAAACCACACTAAACCATACGACAAATTGGATTATAAAATATTATTATTGTATTTTATGTGTGGTATATTGCGTTTCATTGTATGGTATATCATCTGTATCAGTAAAGCATTGTATATTTTAACTTCAGATTTATTGGTAAAAATATAAAAGTGGTAAATGAGTTTGCTTAGTTTTGTTATTGATACAGACATAAACTGGAAGACTCATATAAATAAAATCTACATTCGTTTATACACTTCGCATATTCAAAAAGACAATAAACTTTAACCAATGCGCTTCTTATCACCTACTAACTGTATTCCCGCGTTAATTATTACATATATAAAATATCCTACCTGTGTTAAGGTTAAAGTTACATTTGTATTGTCAGTATAAAAATTAGTATATAATGCTAAAAGCATTCTCTCCCAGTCAACCATAGGGAAGTGTTAGAATACTCGAATGCGGTATTAGTAATTATTGATATACATACATACTAAAATTACATATATAAACGAATACAGTTTACAGTTATTAAGCAAACGGTCCATTTTATTTAATAACTCCTGGTTGAGGTACGAGTAACAAACATCGCCATAATCGATAATGGGTAAAACCAAAGCCTGCATCAGAAGACACTTAGTATCAATAGGCAGAATTTTTTTTAATTTATACAGAGAGCGTAAGGTAGCTGTAATCCTACTCTCCTACTCACCTCGCCAACCTGTAAAATTGTACCATATTTGTTTATATTTATTATTATTGAATTTATCTATATATAATGACAATAACATTACCTATATATTCACTAATATATTAATTTAGAAAATTAGGCACTTAGTACTAGTAGCACAGATAATATACCATAAAATATTAATGATAATTTTAATAATAGATATATATTTTTAATATTTGTTAATTTAATTATAATCGTATTTAATTTTATTATAATTTTTAAAATATTTGTAGTTTAGTGTTATTTAATTCCTTAAAATTGTTTACTTTATTTCATACTGTATAATTATGTTAAAGTAAATGCTGTAAATACCATAAAAGGCATGTGCATTAATATTGTATTATATTTAATGTTTAATATATGTGCTATAATGCAATATGCTGCAAAAATTGGTGTTAACTATAAAAATAAAAAAATACTATAAATAACTATAAAATATATATATATATATATATATATATATATATATATATATATATATATATATATATATATATATATATATATATATATATATATATATATATATATATATATATATATATATATATATATATATTATGGAATACAATAAAATATAACCCAGATATAAATCTTAATAGATTAGATTTTTTTTCTGTAATCTGTAAGACCTATAATCTATTGCCCGTGTGGTCCCAACATAGAATAGGCCACTGCTTTCTTTACCGTAGGTGTCGTAAGAGACGACCAAGAGAGGGCAAAGAATGGTCAGCAACGTCCCTCTTAAAACATCTGCAAAACCTAACTGCGGTTGCCAATCCGCCTACCAAGCGTAGCAACTACTGACAAAACCCCCCAAGGGAAAGCCTTATGTCCTGCAGTAGACAGTTAAAGGCTAATATGATGATGATATGAAACATCCACACTTACTTCAGCAGTTTGAAAAATAATCCTCAATGTGGCTGAAATGAAACATTAATAAAATATTAACGAAATGTTCATATGAGACGCAGTCAATCGAGTCTCAAAATTTTATACAACTAAATTCTTAAAGTAATAGATTTACATTTTATAGAGATTTTGTCATCATACATCCAACTAATTTAAACGAGTCTCTCCACACAAGATTTTACCTACTTACAAATTTTACTTATATTATATTTTAGCTTTGTATAGGTCCCCTTCCTGTATGAGTGTGTGTATATTGGTAGTGATGACATATTCTATTCTTTTAGTCTTTACCATAGAAGTATTTTTGTCTAATAAGCTAAAATAGGATGTGAATCTATAGAATAGTAATAGTCCTTTAAAATCACTGAACAGATTTCAAAATTCTTTTAATTAATAGTTTTTTTTTTTTTTCACGAATATTTCAATAGGTACAAATTTATGAGGGCCATAATAAGCATCTGATAGCTAACAAAATTGTAACTATATATTTAATTAAAACTTCGTATATTGTAACTTATGTCATATCCATATTTTCCAGGACTGGTTTTCGCGACAGCAACTTGTAATCTTAGTGCTGTTCATCAATATTTCCTTGGGCATCATGTTCTTCAAGCTGTTGACGTAGCGTCGGCGAGGGGCGCACGCGCGTCGCGCGCCGCCGCCGGGCTCTTTCCACGAATTCTCCACATATTAAATTGATAATATTGTAAATACCTACGAAACTTTTGAACCAAAATAGCCAAAACTTCTATTCTGACATTTGTCTGACTAGTTCACAAAACTTGTCAGTTTTTTTAAACTGTCCCTTCTTAATACGAGTTACTGTTTTAAAATTTTAATAATAAAAACGACTTAAATATATTTTTATTCGTCAATAAGGACTTCGGTTTTGCTAGTGTAATTTTCTTTGACATTGTATAAGTGTGCAAAGTTTTGAAAATTTTGCAGTGCATCCTGTGCATTACATTCTCCAGTCATTTCAACTTCTATGTGCGAGAGTGATAATTTGTGTCTACTGTAGGTCAAAAACTTCGAGTGTATGGAGCACGTTGTTTTGAAAACCTGCATATTGTAGGTATGTGTCTTCGATGATGTTACTAACGCCTTAATGCTTCAAATTTGAAGACTGGGTAGCCGAGTGTAGGATGCAAAACGTACTAAAAGTACAACATGACATATTTATGTTACACATGGCTTTGGTCATTCTGTTACACTGCATTCTTAATAGATATATGAAAAATAATCGATTCATCGATTTCTTAATTGTTACCTATTTGCCTTTTAAATTTAGTGATAGGTGAATAAAATAAACTGAATCTACTTAACATTATGAACATTTGTGTTCAAGAACATTGTTATAATTGAACCATATATTAATGCAAAATTTAAGTGTTTCTTACAGAAATCAGTCTCTATTATAAACAAGCATCACATACCCTGGTGTGATACTAAAAGCACAAACTATGATAGGGTTATAGGTATTTTGAAGATGTAAATAACGAGTAAAATTATGAATCTTTACAAAACTTAATATATACAATAATGTAGATATGTAACTACATTTTTTGCTTGCTATAATATGTACAAGATGAAATTTGAAAGAGAGTATGCTTTATTATATTTTCCTATTCTATAAAATTGAACGATACGTATGACCTTTATTGAAATTTAAATTATTATAAAATCTTAATATATACCCCAGTTTTTATACAAAATGAAGCTTCGTTTTATACCTATGAAGTCAATTCTATCGTAATCGAAGTTTTTTGTATAAATATAATATAAATATATATATATTATAGTTCTTATTATATATATGTGAAGTTATTGACCATTTTGAAGAATATTGGCATGGGAAGCGTGCGCGTATGAGACTGTTGATACGTTCTGTACAACGAAAGTTGTTGAAAACGAGCATTCGTTGAATGGTTCAAATGTTAAAGTTTGTAAGACAATTTTCACACTTTCATTATATTATGTAAAAATTATAAGTTACTTATTATCTGTAAGAATTTTAATTACTTGTATCGATTTTATCTACGTTTCACAAATAAAATATTTTAACAAAACTAAATTGTTTTTTATTTAATTAAAACATTTTTTAGAATAGCCGTAATAGCATTAATATTTTTAGTATATGTAGATGTAGCGTAAACTTTAATAATTTCATGAACACTACGAATATTAATAAAAGTATTAATTTTTGCATATTAATATTCAATAATTGAAGAATTAGAAATTATCGTTGTTAATTTATAACGATTTCGTTACTATGGACCAATTGACTCCACTTTATCCGCATCGTTACATCCTCTACTAGTGTTCAGCCATTGCATACCGATAGTAAAAGCGAGTGCTCCATTCTATCTTTATTCATTAAAAATACCAGTAAATGACAATAGGTGAAAATAGAGATGAAGATAGATCAATTAAACCATTAATTTTTTTAATTTACCACGATGGTTTCCAGTAGGCTTTGCGTGAAGGACGAGCTCACAAGATATACTGCTAACATTGGGGGCACTAAGCCCACGTCACTAACAAGCTCTTCCCCCAACCTATTAATTATCATTCTTAATTGCCGTTTGTTGTATACTACTATATCCAAATCAAACAGAATCGTAATAAGTAAATAAATAAATCAAATGGTAAATATTTATAAAACTTTTATATAAGGGTAGAATATGGTGGTGAAATACTATAGTAAACATAACACTATGATGTTATGCCTCCATACCTAGTCCGTACGTATAAGGACTATGGACCTCAGGACAGCAACGCATAAGGGCGCCATAGCGTAACCATGATGCTGTTTATGTCTATATACGCTGATTAACCACTTTCTATTATATGGGTTGTTCGCTTAGTGGCATTCTAAAGATTATAAAAAAATAAATAAAGAATAAATAACCATAAAGAATATTACCAAATATACTAAAGACAAACATATATATATATATATATATAGATATTTGAATACTTATGTCTAGTATATGTATTTAAATCACCTCTAATATACCTACTACAGAAAAGTATATATCGATTAATTAGATTAATATTGTACGGTTTCCCGGAACAAGAAAGTAGCTTAATAACCTCTGTACTTGACAAACGCCAGCCGTTTACATATTTTATTTAGAATAAAAGTCATAAGATAGAGGTATATTAAAGGCAATAATATCTATTTAATGACGAAAAATTCTAATAATTCATACGACTATGGTACCAAACAAAAAAATTCGGTAAAAAATATTTTTATTCAGTTAAAAATTATATAAGTGAACAGTGTATAAAAAGTTTTCTTATTCTAGTTCTAGTTTACAATAGAACGTGATAACTTTATTCGACTAATGTTATTTTTGAATATTTTAGATTAATGAAACAAAAAATGACGCCATCGATTTGGATGATTTACTACCAAAAATTGGTGAATTCGGGTTATACCAGAAATTGCTACTTTGGTTGGTTTGTTTACCAGCGTGCCTACCTTGTGGATTCTGTGCATTTAATCAGCTATTTATGACTGATGTACCTGATCACTGGTGTTTGGTTCCTGCCCTACAAAACCTGACCATAAAAGACCGCAAATTATTATCTATACCACATAAGGTAAAAAATACTTTACAGATATAAGTACAACTATTATCTATTTAATTATTAACTTCAGTAATTAAAAAAATAATTAAAGGAATTATATATAAAAAAATATTTCGTTATAAATTTAATAATGTAACTTTAATAAATTTTAAGGTTGATAATAATAACAGTTATGAAAAATGTGTTCGTTATTCAGTCAATTGGTCTACATTTATTAACACGGATCAACCACTTCAAGCAAACACCAACTGGCCCCGTGAGCCTTGTTTAGATGGATATGAATACGATACTTCTGAAGTGACATCATCTGTTGTAATTGATGTGAGTTTTTTTATAACATTTTATGTTTAAATCATTTTAACTCCAGTATCCTCTACAGAACTCAATAAAAAAAATATGATTGTTTTCTTATACATAGAGTGTAATTCGGGTTAACAGTACGCGTCGAGTAAGAATACGCAATGCTCCCTAGAATTTGATTAATTATTTCTTTGTAATGTTTATTACAAAAAAGCTACAGTCATATATATAGTACATTGACATTAATAATGTAGTAAATTATTAAATTTAAAAGTGCATAACGCGTTGTGCGGTATAAATTAGCAATTTATAAATAACAGAAAATAGTTTTTTCATTTATATATAAAATAAAAGTAAAACAGCACACAGCTATATAATTTCTGAAGAACTAATGAAGAACTAAATAATAAGAACGATTTTTTTAATTTATTTTAAAAATAATAATAAATAAATAAGAACGTTCTTCAGATCCGAATAACTCTACTATGAATGTATTAATAAAGAGATATACGAGATAATATACGAGTAGAATAGTTAGATTATATTGAAACCACATACATAAACTTGTTGCTTATGAAAGAAGTCATGTCTATATATATAATGTTAAGCTGGAAATACTTGCATGGCATACTAATTTTTAAGTGATTTCTACAAAAAGAATATTCTCAATTCGTCTGATTATTTTGTGATTATGTTCCACAATCTCGTTACCAAATATGAATCGATTTTTGAAACTCTTTTTGCAATCGATATAATTTACAGAAGCAGTTTTTTTTACATGAAAATTAAAATTATGTCTATGAGGGATAGACATAATTTCAATTTTCATGTAAAAAAAACTGCTTCTTGCAAAGCAAAATTATATGTATATACATGATCCCACGTTCTAAACTTAAATATGTATTTACAGTATACATATCTACAAAACATGCCGTTGTAGGGCATAGACGTAGTTTTATAAAGTTCTACTTTCGTAGGCCCTACTCTACTATATGGGTTCACGACTGAAGTTGCTTCTTTTTGCGAATCAATAATAAGCCGGAAGTATTCTTAATCTATGATAATAAGCTTATCAATCATTAATACCAATCTACACGTATACCTAAATAAAACATAAAATTCTCTTTTTCAGTTTAATTTGGTTTGTGAGTACGATGTTTATCCTACTCTTGGATTAGTTGCTTTAAACGTTGGAGGACCTATAGGCGTTTATGCTTTTGGCCTTTTAAATGATAGGATAGGCCGTAAAAAGTCTTTCTTTGTCTGTCTTACCACATTAGAAATCGGAAGTATATTGACAGCATTTGCAAATAAATACTGGATTTGGGTATTAGCAAGAATAATTGTTGGCTTAACCATTCCTGCTATTTACCAAATACCATTCATAATTTGTAAGTTATTAATTTTTCTTATCTGTTTTAGTTATTGTAATAAGTTGCTTAAATGTTTCATTTTATTAAAAAAAAATGCTTTATAAAACTATTAATTATTCGAAATAATTTTATTTCCAGCTCTCGAACTTGCCGGGCCTAATTACAGGTCATTCGTTACCGTTATGACATGTGTGTTTTATACACTTGGGTTAATATTATTATCAGGTATATCATATTTACTAAGAGACTGGAGATCTCTGGCGCTAGCAACATCCGTACCATTTTTATTTTATTACCTATACTGGTTCGTATTGCCAGAGTCCCCTCGATGGTTACTGATGAAAGAACGACTAGAAGAGGCGAACAGTGTTCTAAACAATATAGCCAAAGTAAATGAAAAAGTATTACCTGAAGAATTTACAACCAAATTGCAAAAATTAGTTCTGGAACAGAAAGAAAAAGGATTTAAAGAAACTAAGAATATCAGCGTGTTCGCATTGTGTAGAACTCCGAATATGAGACTTAAAACTTGTTTGATTACCCTTAATTGGTGCGCCTCGGAAATGGTGTATGTAGGACTGAGCTACTATGGTCCTGCCATGGGTAATAACCAATACATGAGTTTTTTTTTATCATCCGCCGTAGAAATACCAAGCTACATTGTATGTTGGGTACTTATGGATCGAGTAGGACGACGCTGGCCTCTCTGCTTATCCATGATTTTAAGTGGAATATTTTGCATTGTCACAGTATTATTACCTCAAGGTATGTGTACATACATTTTTCGCAACACGCTAATTGCAAACAATTTGCCACACATATATATAGTATATCTCTATACAGATGCTTCGGCAAAAACAGGTCGACTTTTTTATCTACGTGTACGTTAATACTTTAGTTACCTGTGTTATCATAAAGTTAATTTATTCTCAGTATATGGGGGATATTTTGTAAGATTAAATTAAAAAATAAAAATGATTAAATCTTATTGCGAATATTAAAAAAAAAAAAACAGGATAAACAATAATAATCTTGACTGATTACTTTGATTTATACTTGAGTATAGACAAAAACTTTAGTTTGATTTACGGGTATACCAAAGTATAGTCTTCACCGAATGGGCCACCCCATCTTATCCCGTGTGTGTCGTAAGAGTCAACTAAGGGAATTTAATGGTCGTGGCATTAGCTGCATGCATTTATGCATACAATGCTAAATGCTAATACTGCTGCTAAAAGAGGATTATTTAAATATCACCAAAGCCTAACTGTGGTTGCTTACACGCCTGCCAAATGTGGCAACTACTGGCAAAACCCAGTAGGTGGAAGTCATATTCAACAAAGAACAGTTAACATTTATAAGTAATATGTAGATATATATATATATATATATATATATATATATATATATATATATAATTAAAAAAAATTGCTGGCGCAGTACTCTAATTTTCGACATTTTTTTGGCAGCATTGCCAGATACAACTTTTAATTTATAAACTAACTTTATTATTATGAAAGTGATTTCGCCTGGTCGACGATATCTTAGTTGTATGAAAATAAACAAAAAATTCTATACAAATTAAATTCTAAAAAATAACTCATGCACACAAAGATAAAAAATTTGATCTATTTTTGCCGAAACATTTGTATAAAGACATTCTATCTATATTTTTTATTTACTATTGATAGATTCCGCGATTAATCACGATCTCACCTGATGGAAAACAATTATGATCTAAGACGGAGCTCGCAGGACCTTGAATAGCCTATTTACATTTGCACCCAATTGATGCAAATTATTTTTTAGATGGAAAAACATAAGCAGGGTTAAAATCCTACTCCTTGGCAGTACACATGATGAAAGAAGGCGCTAAGTGCTTAAATATTCTTGCTTAAATTGCTAATTGAAACTTTATAATTGAAACAGACGAAACAGTTTAATAACTAAAATAGGTTCATGAGAAATTTGACGTTTTTATGAATAAGTAGGGGGGGGGGGGGATTTTTAAGGATTAAGGGGTTTGACGGGTGATCCCGGCATAAAACAGGCCACCCTTTCTTTACCCGTGGGTATCGTAAGAGGCGACTAAAGGAGGGTGAGGGATGGGAAGCAGCGTTCCTCTTAAAACATCTCCATAGCCTAACTGCGGTTGCCAAACTGCAGTTAGGCTAACCTGCTAAGCGTGACAACTACTAGCAAAACACTCAAAGGGGAGGCTTATGTTCAGCAAGGCTGATATGATGCTGATGATAATGAAGGGGTTCTTATAAGCTAATAAGTCAAATTTACAACAAAAACATAAACTTTCCAGATGCTCTGATGGAAACCCTCATTTTGTATTTGATATCTAAATGTTTTATATCAGCCTCTTTTCTAATAATTTATCCTTACGCTGGAGAGTTATACCCAACGGAGTTGAGAGGCATTGGAATTGGAACATCTGCATATATAGGTGGCCTAGGCTTGATAATAATACCATTTATAAATTATTTGGTAAGAATGAAAATCACTACATATTTTATTTTTTCTCTACCTTTAATTTTTTACATTTTTACATAGAATATCAGTTAACACTGTCAGTACATAATGTACATATATTATATAGATTTTCGATGCTCTTTCGAAATGTTTAGAATTTTTGTCAGTATTTCGTAATCCTAATTTTAGTCATATATATTTTATAGAAAAAAAAGTAAAAGTCTAAAAATAATTACATATATAATAATTACAATGGAAAAAAAAACTAATTAAAACTGTAAAAAAGTGAAAAAAATTGATAAAATGAAGAAAATGGCATTCTAGGATTAAAAATTATAGAATGAAAATTGTCATGATATTTGACTTACCTACTTATTTTAATAATTGTAGTTTTATGTATGATTTATCATATTAATATAACAGTGTATATCTCACATTATGCTAAAAACCGAATTTACAAAACTGCAGTACAGTAAAAATACCTATAGTTTCACTTGAAGGTAAACATTTTTTATTTTTATAAAATAAATGCAAACACAACTTAGAAATGTATAAATTTTAGGGCGCAAGTAATTTGGTGTTGCCTCTAGTAGTGATGGGGATCGTATCCGTAATAGGTGGATTAACTGCTCTCCGGCTACCGGAAACTCTCCACTGTCCTTTACCACAAAGTGCCGAAGAAGGCGAAGAATTCGGCAAAAATTGGACTTACAAAGATTGTTTAGTGTGTGGCAAGAACAGGTATTATTTTTAAAATCATTTTATAAATAAAATAAAAACCTTTAAAGATATCGAACCTTTAAAGTTATAGATAATAACTACTTACAACTGCTCTAAAAAAACAATTCTGTTAACTCATTGTGACGAATACATGGGATTCAACTCGATGATTTTCAAGGGAGATTGCGGGGTGGTCGACCTGTCAGATTATATTGCTAGCAATGAGACTGGTAGTCCGCATTACTAACAATCCCTTCCCCCAACAATTTTATTTCGATACCTAATATAGATATGCAAATACGGGTAGTATTCAATAAAACTATGTGGATAAAGTCAGGTCAGTTCACCCATCGTGGCAAATTCATTACCCATGGTTTCCACAGGAGACCACGTGAAGATCTGATACAGTATATTTCTATCAAAAAACAGAGTACACCGTGGAATATAGAGATTTATAGAGACTAGCATCACCATTACTAACAATTACTTGCTCCCTCCCTTACTGTTTGATTTTTTTTTTCTAATGAGCTGATATCTCAATATCACCAATATACTAGTACTCTATCAGGTCGATCCCCACGTAGTTCCCCTTAGAAACGATCATGATTTATTTCTAAATTTATAATGTTGGGCTAACTGACTTGTTTTCATCTTCACCCTCATCTTTCACTGGTGCCCCGCCAGCAATAGTGTAAGCGGGGTTATATTTCTACTTTCGACTATTAAAATTGATGTACGCTGATGGGCCACTAGTGACGGACGGACACGATGGTTTTTATTTTTCAATTTATCCTTACAATATAATTTTTCCCTTATTAGTAATAAACTGTACATTGTGATGTCCTCATTTACACATTCATAGATTTTTTTATTATTGATTTATTGATTATTCATAGATAGTTTGTTTTTTGGCGAAACATTTATATGAAGGCACTCTATTTATATAATTTAAGAATTCCACCCTTCAGAGCAAAACACAACCTATAAGCATGACTGCTTGATCATGCTTAACGCTACAAGCACGAGTAGAACACAAATAACGACTTTTTCACAGCCTCTCTCTAGTAAGGGTATAAATAAAATTAATTTTGTTTCAGACAAATGTCGAATATTGAATCATATGAAAATATAGACTTAGAATTAATGCAAGCACCGCTTGTCGAAGATGAAGCATCTAATATATCAACTATAAGACGTCATTCCATGCGCAAACTGGTACGGCAAGTCAGCACTCTAGAGACTCAACGAGATCTTGATGGGAACATAAAAATGACATACTGGTTTTAAAATTATCAAGTTAATCTAGTACTGAACTTGATAGGTACTAGTTATTGAACACCAAACCTAATTAGTACTTAATGAAACTTTGCAGGTATAATTCGAAAAGTATATGAGTACTTTATTTATCAAAATATTATAACAAAACCTTTAAAAATTATAGTTAAGAGATGACGAAAAGTTATTAAAGTGAAATCTATACTTATAATAAATGTGTAGAGAGGTCAATTCTGTACATGAAATATATTTCCAAAATAACTATCAGGGGTGATTAGTGATCGATACTGATGGCAAAAATGCAATCAGTAAAATTTTTGTCTGTCTGTGTGTATGTTTGTTATAGAAACAAAAACTACTCGACGGATTTTAACGAAACTTCGTACAATTATTCTTCATACTCCTGGGCAGGTTATAGTATACTTTTCATCACGCTACGATTAATAAAAGCAGAGCAGTAAAAGGAAATGTTAAAAATGTACACTCGTGCGACGCCGGGACGGGCCGCTAGTACCTAATAAATACATATATGCTTTATGGCAAAATCATATTGTGGCTAGTTGAATATTTAAACTTAATTCTAACATTATAAATATAATTTACTAAATATCATCATATTATCCTTTAACTGTCCACTGCTGGACATAAGCCTCCACCTTGGATGCTTTGGCAGTAGTTGCCACGTTTGGCAATCGGATTGGCAAGCGCAGTTAGACTTTAGAGATGTTTTAAGAGGGACGCTGCTGCCCATCCCTAGCCCTCCCTTAATCGCCTCTTACAATACCTGCAGGAAAGGAAGAGGTGGCTTATTCTATGCCAAGACCACACGACAAGAATATACCACATATATTTGTGTATTAAATATAGCTACAGCCCAGTGGCGGATTAACAGTCTTGGCCGCCCTAGGCACCAGGTCATGTAGTAAGTAGCAGCCACTCTTTCTCAGCACCCGTCATATTGAGTACATAATGAATTTTAGTTAACTATAATATCTGCTGAACAGCAGAGTGACAAAATCTCTTTGTCGATATAATGGGCGCTCGTCGTTGCAGATATCAGCTGGTATCTAGGTGCTCCCGTCCATGATGAATTTTGTCAATTTTTTTGCCAACTTTTATCAGAATCAATTCAGAAATTTAGTTAACTATAATATCTGCTAGTTTGTAATTCCGAGATATCAGGGATAGTTGCACATTTAAATAAAACATTTAAAATGGTTTTATTTAATTAATTACAGATTTATTCTTATACAAAATAAGATTTAATAAGTAAGCGCTTTAAGTATAATTATTGAGTTTTAATATTTCAACACCTTAGTTTTAAAAACACCTTTGAAAGTGAATAAGTGTTAGTTGACATGAGTTATCAGCAGAGTTCGAAACAATCCAATTTTTATAATAAATATAAAAGATCCTATTTTTTTATATATGTATATCAGATATATATCCCGGCTAAAAAAAAGAAGCGAATTTATTTCTGTAAGGGGATTACATGCTTATAAATATAAAAGGAATTTGTAAAATAAAATAAGTATTAAAATATTACATTATTATTTAAAAAAAAAAAAAACAAGAATTACTTAGTGTTTTTAATAATATAATAACACAAAATTACTGTTATTATAATTAGTATTTTATTTGAGAAATTTTTTGAATGCCAGGGTAAACATTAACAATTAAAAAAAACAATTATATTTATCAAGATGTGATATATTCATGATAATGATATATATATTTTTATTTTTATGGGGTTATGAACTGTTTACCAGAGGTATTACGCGCGCGTTGCCGACCCTGAAACCTCTTTCTAAATTATTCTGAATTGTAGTTTTTCAATTAAATCGGCAGGGAGCTCATTCCATACGTGTTGGAGAATAGACATCTTCATGAAACCGCGTTGTACGCGACCATTTAGGCTAAACATTAATTTCCAAAATTATTAGTTCAGAAGACAGGAAAAAATCAATTGATATTTATCAAGATAAAAATAAATTTATATATATAGTGATATATATCATGATATATTTCCACTGATATATATATCAGCGAACCCTGCCCTAAGGCCCAGGAGGGCCGGGTCTAGGACGACCAATCGTGACAAAAAATTCACTAATGATAATAAGAAATAACTTAAAGTACGTAAATATTCCAAAGGCTCAAGCTAATTATATTTATCCGGAGAATATGAACAATTTTTCAAGAAAAAAAAGTTCATGTTAAATCTAAATTCACGGAAAAATAGGAATACTTAAAAGTAGAAATATTTTGTTTGATTTATACGATCGCACGTTATAGTGGGCCGCACTGCACCGCGTCGTTTAATTAAAAAAAAACAAATACCCATTGTTCTTGTTTTTTTTTAATTGTTCATTAATAAAATATTTCTCAAATAAACACTAAATAATTCTTTTGTTACTTGTTAAAAGCTTTTTTAAGTAATAAATGAAGTAATAATTTGATACTTATTTTTTTTTACAAATTCCTTTCACATTTTTGAACGTGTAATCCCCTTACAGAATGAACTTCGCTTCTTTTTCTTAGCCGGGATATATGTCTGATATATATCGGATATATACAAAAAAAATCTGATTTTTGATATTTATTATTAAAATTGAATTTTTTCAAACTCTGCCTTAAGGAAAATAGTACAAATAAACTTATTTAAATATTTCGTTGTAAATCTGCAGTAACGCAGTTCACTTAAATAAATTGATTATTGTATCTATAATAAACACTAACCGAAACTGAATCACATATCTAATATTATATATAACAAGCAATTTAATTTATTTATTTATATTTTAACAGTGATAAATAAAAGCACAACGGAATAGAATAGGTACTTTAAATACGTACCTATAGGTATATTACATCTATGTAATGTAAGTGTCTCAGATTTTAGCAAAATGACTTTACAATCATTTTGCCAAAATCTGAAATATTTTATAAAATCTAAAGTATTTTAAAAAAGATTTCTTGGATTAATACTCACTAAATTATAAATTTGAAATGAGTTTTATTTCTTATTTATTTTCATAAACAGATAAATAAGAAATATATACGTAATATTTTCTTTGTATTAAATGTAAACTCAATTTAATAGTAAACGTATAGTTGCTTATATGTATAACTTCACTGGTAATGCATTATAGCACATGAAAATTCTTTTATGTAAAACTTAGCCATCAAAAGAATACTATCTGAGAGGATTTACATGTAAGGGAGCCATCAATTATTACTTTGTAATTTAAATAATAAATACCTGTATTATCTCTTCTCGGCTCCATTCACTTGAAACACCTCTTACAAGGTTCAATGGTGTGATGTTAAAAGATTATATAGAAGCCGGTAAGTTGTGATCATTTAGACTAGAGGTTAATAAATGAATTGGCATCATGGCAAATTGAGAAGAATAAAGTAATTTTATTTATTCCAATATGTTTTACACTCCAATTAATAATATTTTTGAAAAACTGTTTTTTTTTAATTCACCAAATGTAACCAGGTGAAGAGTAGTGCCATCATCAGAAGATTTTTCCTGTCTTACTATGTGTTTTATATATGGACCATAGCCAGTAGGCATACAATTTCCTACACACGAACTCTGAATAGTACTATTGTATGTAGATGAGAACGGTTGTGGAGTATCAAAATCTATAGGAGAGGATAAAATTTCTGGATGAGATTGTTGGGTTTTAAGTATAGTGTTTGAACGATTGCAACTGTGTCAGATGAAGACTTTCTTCTCCGTTTGTTACAATTTTTACAATATTTTTGTAGGCGACTACGTTTAATAAATTAAAACCATCGGTTTCCAATAAACCTACTACCTGACTATCGGGGGATCATTCATAAAGATGGAAAAATGAAAGGATTACCAATAAAATAGCTAGAAAAATACACAAACTACAATAAATAAACTAAATAACAAGTATTAAAGTAATAAATATCTATCAGATACTAGTAGTTTAATACTTGTTATTTATTCAGTACTACACTCGAGAGCAATGAATTAAATTTGAAAGGAATCAATGAATGAAATCAAATTTGAAAAAATGAGACTTTCGAAGATGAAACTACGAAATTACTGTATTTGATTTTACTTTTGTTTCTAATCCGTCATTTAAGTGGATGTATAAACCATATTGATAGTGTTCAATATTTATTAATCAACCTGTAATCATGTCGAACTACAACTGAAGAATGCACCAGAATCGTCACAATGCTGGAAACCGGCCGGAGTCAGCGCAATACAGCCGAGAAAACTGGCTCTAACCTACGTAGACCAGCAACAGACAGAGCAAAGGACGAAAAAATCGATACTTGGTGAACACCATGCTTTGTCACAGGAACTGAACTTACAAATCAGTTTTGACGCCTCGGGGGAAGTAACCCAAGCGCATGGACATTAAAGCGACGACTTGCTGAAGCTAACTTGAAACCACTTAGACCTGCAAATGGCCTTAAACTCGAGCGTGATGATCGTATTTTAAGACTAAGTTATACCCAGAACCATTTAAATTGGACAATTGAAAAGTTATGTTCTCTGACAAATCAAAATTTAAGATCTACAAGCACGATGAAAGACACAGAGTTTATAGAAGACCAGAGGAAAGATGCCTTGAAAATTCTGGACATTTTTTGCTGTTTGCCTGGTGAGCACCTTGGCATAAACAGCAGTAAAAATCTTCTTTATGGACAGAACAGGATTCTCCAGAGTGGCCCTGACCACACTTATAACAATATGGATCTGATCTACATTGATTTTTAATATGCCCATACTTACAGCAATTATAACATTGAATGGTAGGATATATGTACAAATCAATAGTCAATGAATTATAACATATGAAAACTTGACCATCAAAAGTTATAACAACGGATTCAGTCATTATAAATTCAGATTTAGCGTTAATAAGAGACTTTCTCTTCAAACGCCTAACTTTAAAAATTTTGCCAGTACCCAATGGAACTCAAACATTTCCCATAATTTCCTCATCAGACCAGGCAGTTCGGATGCCCCTTATTATTCCCATCCTTGTTAAATTGAATGCTAGTATAAAGGCTTTATAATTATGAGATTTTAAGTCCACACTATTTACAAAAGAATTAACATCTGTATATTCAGAGAAAGCTAATGATAATCTTTACCGCCCTATCTTTTTCAAACTACCATCAATTACATTTTTGAAAATGTTTTACTGAAGAAAACGTCCAAGTGCTATTGGGTGAAGTGAAGAATTATCATCAAGAGATGATAAAAGTATTTGTATGTGAACGGTGTATGATTTTACGGTTATGAAATTGTTGCTGATTTTCCTCGCTGAATTGAGTATACTCACATGAAAATTTATTCTTATTGTTTTCACTTCCTCAATTCCTCCTCCGTTTTTTATTGCAATGCTTACAAATATTGCCGGCTACCGATTTATATTTTCGTTTTGTTCCAGAATTATCAGAAATATTAACAGAGTAATCTGTGTCCATAGAGTCCTCATTATTGCTAATAATTATATGAAGAGCGACCTCGGGGACTGTGCCCCGGGATCATCCGGGGGGTCCATATATTAAAAAGAAATATATACAAAAACTTACCTAGTTTACAGCTACTTTTAAACAAAACTAATATATATAAAAATAAACTAACATAAATGCTATTTGTAACTTATCTGATCGATATTATAATAAAATAGTAATAATAAAGCAGAAAAACTAGACCGCCAAATTTTACCTTTCCCGCCCTTTTTTTATGAAAGTTCTGCTTTCATACTTTTTTCATAAACCATGTCCAGTATATAATCTATTAATGTAAAATTTCTCATTGACAAATAATTGACATATATATCAAACATTTTCTATACCCTAGCCTGCTATAAATTATTAAAAACAGCAACTGATGTAGATCTTATGTCCTTTTTTTACTAATTACATTTTCATAAGATGAAGAAAGAAGGCAACTTGATAATTTACAGTTTTGTTTTGTTTTTTATCATTCCTTCTATGTAATTCCTTCCTTGTTCTTAGATATAAATTAGGAATTGAAAGTCAGTAGACCGAAAATATTAATACCTTTTGGTTTGTCTAAAATTAAAATGGGGTGTGACACCTATTGCGACTGTCGCCTAGCAATTGTTGACTGTCGTTTATTACAAAAATAGATAATTAGTAAATGATTTTAATATTATTTTATTTAAACATCAAGTACGTTTATATATATTGTGTTATTTGTTTGGACCTTATAAACTGTATAAGTAAAATTAGCGATGAGATTCGAGTTGTTTTTCACTCGAGTGACTCGAGTAGTTTTTATATTACTTGATCTCGAATTAAATTTTTGACGACTCGAGTTTCGAGTGACTCGAGTCGATTCGAATTACCAGTGACTCGAGTTGACTCGTTCCACTCGAGTGGTTTATACCGAACCGAGTGAGAAATTCAAATTGTGACAAGTTTACCGCTGTAGCAGAAAACTTTTAAGAGAGAAAATTCTTCCTGATTCTTATCATGCCGCACGCACTGTAATTGTAGATATTCTACATTTAGTTGAATATACGGCTGCTAAAACAGATTTCTGTTCTTTTGTTAAGTTAATTTAGTTAATTAAAAGCATGAATATTGTTACATAAATTGTGTAAGAACATAATAAAACTGTTCATATTTGGATCTCATGAAAGTTCCTTGTTAGAATAAATTAAATTGGATTAGAACTTATTAGTAGTAGATTATAATCTTTTCAGTTTGACTGATAATTGATACAAGAGGTTTCTTAATTATGTATGACAGGTTTAGTTTGAAGGAAAATTCTATATTTTACAATTTGTTTAGAATTTTTTTTTTTTTTTTTTTTTGGGAAAATGAATACACATTTTCTATGTAAAATTAATATTGTTTTATTCGTTTTAAAGTTTTGGTCACTCGAGTATTATATTCCAAGTGACTCGAGACAATTAAAAATCACTCTAGTTTTATCTTCCCTCGAGTGGCATTCGAGTGAGAAAGTTATCAGTAACAAGTGACTCAAATGAAAAAAATAACTCGAATCCCATCACTGAGTGAAATCTACTGACAATTCTGCTAATTCTTGCTACCAACCGTTGAAGAGTTCCCTTACTGTTCAAGGAACAAGGTTCAACAAATATGAAAATTTACTGATCGCGATATGCAGTCTATAGATTAAAAAATTTTGTACAATCTAGTTTACAGATTAAAGGAACTATATCTAGTCTATTTAAATAATCCGAGCTTTTATTTATTATACAATCTAAGTTCATTACAATAACCTTTATCGATTTGTTAGGTATCAATCATTTGTACACCACGATTAATAGGCAACACCACAACACTACTAGGTAAAAAAAAAACTTTATACGGACTGAGTCGCAACTCTCACCAACATAGTTCTTTAAATTATATCGCTTATATTTATTTAATTTTAAAATGTTTCACACGAATAGGAATAGTTTAATATGTATACTAATTGCTTGTTTTGTAATGTTTACGTTGGGACATTCGCATTCACATTCACATGTGGACGAACCGCCAGCATTTAAATATTCTAAAGATGCCAACGAACAATACAAAATAACAAAGGAAGAAAAATCGGTGACAAATTACGATATTTATGTGAAAGCTCTGTCTTCGACACTCTTTATAAGTGTGGTGCCTTTTTTTATCCTTTTTTTTATTCCCATTGATGGAACTATTGAAAAGCAACCCTTACTTAAAATTTTGTTATCATTTGCTTCCGGTGGTCTTCTCGGAGATGCATTTCTACATTTAATACCACATGCTCTTGTTCCTAGCGCAACTGAATCAGGCCACAGTCATTCACATTCACACTCAAATGAATCTGAAACACATGAACCTCATGATATATCAGTGGGGTTGGGTGTACTTGGTGGAATTATCACATTCTTAGTGGTAGAGAAAGCTGTGCGATTATTTAGTGAAGATCATGGACATTCACATGGAACTGAAAAAAAGAAAAATGATGATAAATCTAAAAAGAAAAGTAAAGATAAAAAGGATGAAATTAAAATTGCCGGATACCTAAATCTTGCTGCAGACTTCACACACAACTTTACAGATGGATTAGCTATTGGAGCATCATTTATTGCAGGAAACAGTATAGGATATATAACTACTGTAACAATATTGTTGCATGAAATACCTCATGAAATTGGTGACTTTGCTATACTTGTGCAATCAGGTTGTTCAAGAAAGAAAGCTATGTTTTTGCAACTATTAACAGCATTTGGTGCAGTATCAGGAACATTTTTATCCATTTACCTTCAGGGTTCAAGTGAAGGCCTTGTGTCATCCCTTATTCTACCTTTCACTGCTGGAGGCTTTATTTATATTGCTACTGTGTCAGTCATTCCAGAGCTATTAGAAAGTTCAAACAAGTTGTCACAATCTATTAAAGAAATTTTAGCTCTTTTAGCTGGTGTTTACATGATGGTGATTATAGCTCAATATGAATAAAAACTTAATTACAAAATAGCAACTTTTAATTGTTTATAAATTTATTGTAAATAATGTTTAGTGAATATATATCACTATATTTTATTATTTATCTACTTATTAGTGTAAATAATAAAATATTTGTTTACATGTTCATCAATATTACCGAAAAGTTTTAAGCCTATATAGGCTTAAAACTTTTCAGACAATATTTGCATAGATCATCATAATGTAAACCATTAAAATGTCACATTAATTAAAATGAACAATATACAATACTTCATATTCGTTATAATTATTCATATGAAAAAGTTTTACATTTGATTATTTATGAAAAATCTTGATACAAACCAGAAAAAAAACTGTAAAATAAATAGATACATGAAGGACTTTATATAGCATCCTGCCCTGTCTACTTTTCTAATACTATATATACTTTGCTCGGAGATATAAGTAAACTTGTCTACAGATCTAAAAGCAGTATCTAACAAATTATTTTGTACTTATCTATATTTACTTTTTTTAACTATTACTCTATTAACCAAGAAACTAAAAAAATATATTGTTAAAGCTAAATAAAAATGTATAAATAAATAAATATATATATATAGGTTAAAGCATGTTACTATCATTTTTGTAGATTTATTACTTTTTATTTTTTGAATATAATAAATCTAATATCAATAAACATAATATTAAGCAAAAATATATGTGTACAGAATTTTATTGTTAAATATAATTCTTTAGAAAAATAAATTTATTTCTTTCTTTCTAACACTTTTGTCTCAGACAACACACAAATTGCTGCTTCACAGCAAAAATGGCTACTACATGAGAAATACCACCAATTTCCATGTATTTTTGATCTGAACAAATGCTATTGAGATTGACACTACAATCCCATCAGCAGGTTAGAAACTGTTAATCAAAATAAAATATAAAATTACTAATTAATATAAAACATACAAATCACATGAATAAACTTATCTGCTATTATTATTATATTTTTTATTTTAAAACCTTACTAAAACTATTTGGTAAATATCCAAATAAATTATATTAGTTTTTCAAATAGATTACCTTTATTGGACCAAATGTAGTATTATATATATATATATATATATATATATATATATATATATATATATATATATATATATATATATATATATTTTTGCCCACAACTTCATATCTGTAAATTTAGAAGTAGGTAATATTTTAATGACATATTTAAATAAATCATACACCAAATTTTAATCTTTAAAAACAGAACTGAATACTGCAATTTGTTGCAGTAGTTTTGCATAATGTTAAAACAGACAAACAGATAAAAATTCAAAAAATTGTTCTGGCTTCTATTACCCTTATTAAAATATATAAATTATATTCTCATCAATACATTCACTAGTTACAATTTTATTATAAAACAGTTATAGTATATATTTAAGTGGGAAACATTCTCACCATAAGACCTGAGCAGTTTCGTTATTAATAATATAAAAATACATACTTGTTTGCCTTTTAAAGAGCCAGAACCACTTTGGAATTTAATCTCAAATATTATATATTGTCCTTTGGCTAGTCAAGTATAACAAGACATTAACTGTAATTCTCAAGATTATATATTTCATACAAAAATAGACATCAAATATTATGGGTAAGTACAGAAAACAACAAATAAATTAGGAAAGATTTTTATTTTTTAAATTACTTCTTCTTAGACACACCAACAGTTCTTCCTCTTCTGCCAGTAGTCTTAGTGTGCTGACCACGCACACGAAGACCCCAGTAGTGACGCATCCCTCTGTGGGCACGAATTTTCTTGAGTCTTTCCAAATCCTCACGAAGCTTTGAATCCAAATTTGAAGAAGTCAGTTGACTGTATTTACCATCAACGATATCTTTCTGCCTATTAAGAAACCAGTCAGGGATTTTATATTGTCTTGGATTAGACATAATCGTAATTATTTTTTCTACCTGAAAAGAAACATTTTGATATATACAATTATGTTAAGACTTGGCTAAAGAGTAAATTATTTTAACAACACGAAATAATTATGCAGTATGATAAAATTTTTAAGTAGGCACTATACCTCTTCTTCGGTGCATTCACCAGCACGTTTATCAAGATCTATATCAGCCTTCTTCAAGACAATATTGGAATATCTCCGTCCGACGCCTTTAATAGCAGTCATTGCAAACATAACTTTACGTTTGCCATCAATATTCGTATTCATAATACGAAGAATATGTTGAAACTTATCCGGAATTACCAACGACTGAAATGAGAAAATATTCTTGCTTAATGGTAAATAAAGACAACACTCAAACAATAAAATACTATAAACAATTTTAAATCATTTAAACTGGCTTCATGTTTTTAGATTATAAAGAAATTTTGAGATTTATAGATACCATTTTGGCGAATATACCAGGACAACGTTCTATCAAACTACAATACAAGAACAAAAAGACTCTTTTGGTCCGAATTTGACAGAATGAACTGACAGCGACAGCACAAGTCAATAATATCTCTGGCTAAGATAGTGATTTTTTTTCTTCTTTCTTATGGCACGGCACAAAGTGCATCCGCCAAAAACAATGTTTGGAAAACAGCATTTTAGAGTATTGAGATATACGAAATAAATATTTATCTGAAAGAAATATTTGCATAAGAAGAAAAAAGGCAATTATATGATTTACAGTTTTTATTTTATCATTCCTTCTATGTAATTCCTTGTTCTTAGATACTACGTCTATGGTATCCTTATGATTTTATCTTATTTTTCTAATTCTATTTCCTCACATTCTCCTAAATTGTCCTCTCTATGACCATTCTGTTCTTTTCAATTCCCTCCGTATTCCCTTACCTACATCAGTTCCAGTATTATTGTTTCTTGATAATTTAGAAGCATATAATTTGATTTTCCCTTGTATTCTTATCAATAATATTAAGTTGTAAAAATAAACATATAAAAATTCGCCAAAAATTTCCTTTACTAAAGTGCTCTTTTCCAAACTTTGTTTTTGGCGAATGCACTTTATTCCATGCCATATGAAAAGAAAAAAAGTGACCTGCTTTTTTAAAGCATTTGTACGGAGTGTCTCCATATTGTGTCTCTATTTATATACTTAATCTAAGGATATACTCTTAGATTCGTAAGTATGCACAGATAAGTACATTATACCTAATCTATGAGTACACTAGTGTGCCTGTAATACAACATTTGTCATGTGACAATTTGAATTTATAAGGTACTGAAATTTCAAAAATAAACGAATTTGTTATAATTTTTATTTCAAGTCATTCATGACCATTTATGACTTTATTAAATTAAATTGGACATTCTTTTCTACTTGCATAATTTTTTTTTAATAGTTTTATAATATTGCATTTAAAGAAATAAACGTTTAAACTTTAAATTCATATAATTTGTTAATTACTGTCAACCTATGAGAAAAATAGCAATGGAATATTTTTTGTCCTTTTTTTGCTAATTATATTTGCATAAGAAGAAAGGAAGCAACCATTTGATTTGCAGTTTTATCATTCCTTCTATGTAATACCTTGTTCTTAGCTGTCAACTAAAAATAATATCGTATATATAGCAAGATTATAATGATGAATCGTTTTAACTATAACTGTCATTTCGTGTCATAATATAACACGCCATTTGTTATCCACATGCTTGATCTATGTTCGTTGTCTATAAACGCTCCTTTTTTTATATAGCAAGGGGCTACCTATTATGCCACCAACAAACAGAAAACGAAACGAAATATTAAAAAGCAACGATAAGGAATTTTGTAATAGTTATAATCATAGTTTCTTATTATGAGAAATGAAGGAAGCTAAGCAGTTATAGACTCAAGGGTCAAAATGAACTATCACACATAAAAATGATGTAGGAAAAGAAATTTTTAATGAAATGAGAGACATAATAAGTAAAGATTGGTCATATAAGGAGAAGGAAAACAAAATATGATTTAGATCCCCAATCAATGTAGGAAAGTGACTAAGCACTATAAATACCTTATATGTGGGCCAAAATTTAGCTTGAAATTCAGCAGCAGCTTCATGGACTGGTTTCAACTCAAGTAAACTCATATCAAAATAAAAAGTACACATTGCAAATGGTGTTGCTAAGATCTTTCCAATATTCACAAATATTATTCTCAACTATGTAAAGTTTTGCTAAATGAGCAGGAGCACATACATAACCAATACGCATACAAGACAATGTAGTGAAGACAGATTTATTAAAAAGTAATTTAGAAAACCAATTTTTATAAGATGTACACGGCTGAATTAAGAAATAATTTCTTCCTTTGGTCTAACTACTCATTGTTTGACTAAGAATCCTATTGCTAGCAATATATCCAACCAGGTCGACCTCCTCGCGGTTCTCTCTGAAAACTATCATGGTTTATTCCTGATGAATTCATCATGATGGACCAACTGGCCTTTTTCATTCTCATCTATCACCTTTCACTGATGCTCCACCAGCGTATCCCGTTAGCGCAAATGGGGTTAACATACCATTTTCACTCATAAAAAAAAACTACTCATTGTCCAAACCTGACTCTAAGAGTTACAAAGCGTTACATTAAACAAAGTAACCAGGTCGTAGCAAAAGTCTTTTAAAAGAAAGACATCACTAGATAAGATTGCTTCATTTGCAAGTAAATCAGTCATTTTGTCATTACCACGGATGCCTTAATGGCTTGGAATCCAAATAAAAATTATTGTGTATTCCTTTATTAACATTTTTGTAACATATATCGCATCTCAAAAATTATGGGATAGTATTTGTTTGATCTAAATGGATATTTGGAAAGAGTTTGAAGGGCACTTTTCTACCTATAACGACAGTTACATCTCGTTCTTAAGTTTGATTTGAATTACGTTTAAATTTTTATTGTAATCTGGTAACACTAAACATTTGTCTTTGTCAGTTCAGTGAATTTTGTTCGTCGTGTGCCGGTACATATTACCGATAAAACCGCTCATATTTATCTAATATATTCCGAATTTAACTAAAAAAACTGAACTACAATGCATACGGAAACGACATTAACGCTTATACAAATATTAGAAAAAACTATATCCCCAGGTAAGAATTTTCTTTCATTACAATGAGCATGGCGTTCCATGTAATTGTCAACCGACTTTATCTCGCATTGACATCAATGTTCAGTCTAATTTTATGAGTGTTAAGTTAATTTCTATAGATTACCTAGTTATTAAAACAATATATAAAGATACACCATCCTTTTGAATATTAATTTAATAATTAAGACGAGACACCAATAGATGACATGTCTATTTCTCATGTAAAGAAACTTCTAGTTGTTTTTAACAATTTTCTTATTACAGATTTGCAGAATAATCTGCACATTAAATTTATATATCTCCCTAAAATAATAGCAATTGACATGACACTACTAGTTTATCAAAGATATATCTCTTATAACTTGAAGGTTATAGTAGTAACACTAATGTTTATGAACAGAACCTCCGCACGTGTAATAAGATATTATTGTTACCGTTATTAATTGAATCTCTACAGATCGAAATGAGTTGGAAGCAGCAGAAAAGTATCTGGACCAGGCAGCAGCCACCAACTTCACAACATTCATCAAAATGTTGTCAGATGTACTGGTTCAGGGGGGCAATAGTCAGGTGGCTAGGATGGCTGCTGGTCTACAATTAAAAAACCATCTCACCTCCAAAGACCAATCAACAAGACATAACTATCAACAGAGGTGGCTTGCTTTGCCTGAAGACATCAGATTATATATAAAGAAAAATGTATGTACTAATTTGTCTACGAAGTGAAGTCAGGACTAATAGTTTATACAAATAATTTATTTAAAATCATAATAAGGCTAGTGTAAAATTTATTAAAAACATCACCTCTGTAGCAATTACTATGTCCAATTTCTTGTTTACATACATATGTTATCTATAAATATTGCCCAAGGTTTTGGCTTTTAGTTTTACAACTGGCCCCTTGCCTGAAGTCAATCTAGCAAATTTTTTTTTTTTTTACATATCCATGATCTCAATTGTATTTCATATTATTAATCTATGTATTAAATGCAGTTAATTTATTCAAATTTTCTATCTACATAAAAATATATTATATCACCTGAACTAGAAAGAAAACTGTTCATAGTAATGTTTCTGAAAATAATACTTTTTTATCTTAAAGTGACAAATATAAAATAATATTTCCAGATATTAACAGCTATAGGCACAGAAAATAGTAGACCCAGCTCTGCAGCCCAGTGTGTAGCATATGTGGCTGTTGCTGAACTCCCAGTTGGACAATGGAATGATCTTATCCCCATTCTTGTAGAAAATGTTGTCAATACCCAATCTACAGAATTGAAGAAGGAAGCCACATTGGAAGCTATTGGTTAGTCTAATTTATAATACATTAACTTACCTAACTACTACTAACTACATTAACTTATGTAGTAAATTATATTACAATCTAAAACTTGTCATAAAATTATCTGAATATTCTTTATTTGTTTTTATACTATGTTCTAACTTCCAATAATAAAATCAAAAACCATTATTATAGTGACAGTATTGCCTGTATTCATTATCTTCCTGCCTCTATGCCAATTATTTCGGGTCAGTATAATTTTAAATTTTATTTATATTACACAGTTTTGGCTTTTGGTTTTACAACTGATTGTCTGTCTGATATCAATCCTCATTGAAAATGCATTGGCAAGTGTTGGGAGTAAATAAAGGAAGTTGGTAAAAAAAGAATAAAAGATTTATAGGGAAAGGGGGACCCTGCTGTTGCAGATGGAATACTGGTTAGAAACTGCAGTGGCTCGGGATGCTAGGGTTGTATACCCATTTGCTAAGGGCATGCAGGTATGCAACCCCGGCCTCTAGAACCAGACAGATCTCTAGAAAAGAACACTCCTGCCTGTGTTGACCTATTTAAAAAATATATTTTATATAATACTAGTCTTTGCTCACAACTTTGTCTATATGACCATTGTATTCTCTTCTCCATCCCAACTGTATAAAATATATACTTATACACACAAAAATACTAATGTATGTACTAAATTTGTTGATGATTAAACTGTTAAGAGGAGCCAGAAAGTAATAAACAAATTCACTTTCGCACCTTTTTGTTTTTATTTCCATTTTATTTGCAAAGTTATTTTAATTTTGGTTAACAATAAATAATAATTGTTTTAGGTTACATCTGTCAAGAAATTGATGCAGAGGTATTAACAGAACAAAGCAATCCAATATTAACTGCTATTATTCATGGTATGAGATCGACAGAACCAAGCAATCATGTCCGACTTGCAGCTACACAAGCTCTTCTCAATTCTCTTGAATTCACGAAAGCAAACTTTGACAAAGAGAATGAGAGAAACTTTATAATGGAAGTGGTTTGTGAAGCAACACAGTCAAGTGATATGAGAATTAGTGTAGCTGCTCTGCAGTGCTTAGTAAGTTGTACACACCTTATTACATATTGACTTATTATTGTTCTTATCACTATAGTTTTCTCTAAAGATAATTTGCTACAAAATGTAATTCTTGTTTTACATTTTATTATGAAGGGAAACTTAATATTGCAAATAATAAAAATTCCATTTAAAATAACTCTTGAGTTCTTCATATGGTTCATCACAAACATCCTCCATTTCTATCCCTGTCCACCATCTATTAACCATCCTGCTTATTATTTATATTTAATACATATTCATTTTATTATGTATTCAGTTGATTACTTATTCATGTACAATGCAACAAAACAGTAGCAATAATTAATATTTTAGTTGTGTTATATTTATTACTATTTATTTATTAAAATACAAGTTCTTTCATCATTATAGGTAAAAATTTTGTCTCTCTATTATCAATATATGGAACCATACATGGGACAAGCTTTATTCCCTATCACCTTAGAGGCTATGAAATCGGATATTGATGAGATATCACTACAAGGTATTGAATTTTGGTCCAACGTTAGCGATGAAGAAATAGATTTGGCTATTGAGGAAGCCGAAGCGGTTGAAGCAGGTATGTAAAACATTTATTATATCTTGCTTTTTGAGTATGTCCTTTACAAGCATATATAACGCCATATTTTGTTTTCTTTATAAATTACACAGGTATCATAGATTTGATTCTTTATTTCATTTTAATATTCTTTTTAGTAATTTATTACCCAAGTAATACTCTGAAATAACCAAAGATAAGATTCAGATACTTCCATTTGGATATATGGTATAGTTATGAGAGTATAGTCAGTAGAGCATTTATAAATCTAATTTCTCAAACATAGTTTAAGTTTGGTTAATTTACACTGAAATTAAAATTAAAAATCCAGCTCAAACTGGCCAAAACCAAAATAAAATTCTGTCGAACACTAAAAAAGTTCTTCACATACATATCTACTTTAAGTAACGTAAGCATAAGCAGAGTCAGTTTGAGCCTTTTTTAAATGTGATATAAACTTTTTTGTGCTATTTCTTTGCCCATGTTTAGATATTTTATGGTTAAAAATTTCATAAGTATACATTATATTTTAATGTATAACTACTGGTTTATCTTATGTGTATTTTAGTCTAGAAATAAATATACTATATATAATAACTAAAATGCGTTTTCATTCTTTATGTGTAATGATATTTATGTTATTACTTAGGCCGCCCCCCCGTAAGGACATCAAGATTCTATGCTCGTGGAGCACTTCAGTATCTAGCCCCTGTGCTTACGCAGAAATTAACCAAACAAGATGATTTTGATGATGAATTAGAGTGGAATCCATCTAAAGCTGCATCTGTTTGTCTTATGCTTCTTTCAAATTGTTGTGAAGATGAGATTGTACCCCATGTTTTGCCTTTTATACATTCAAATATTAAAAACGAAAACTGGCGATACAGAGAAGCTGCCTTGATGGCTTTTGGATCAATATTAGGTGGACTTGAAGCTACCATTCTTAAACCCTTAGTAGAAAATGCAATGCCAACTTTGATTGAATCTATGTATGATACAAGTGTGGCTGTTAGAGATACTGCTGCATGGACATTTGGTAGAATTTGTGAAATTGTTCCTGAAGCAGCTATCAATGAGAATTACTTAAAACCACTTTTAGAGAGTCTTGTCAATGGCTTAAAAGCAGAACCACGTGTTGCTGCAAATGTATGTTGGGCATTCACGGGTCTAGCGGAAGCTGCATATGAAGCTGCAGATTGTGGCGACTCTAATCAACCCCGAACATATTGTATGTCCAATTACTTCGATTTCATTGTACAGAGGCTTCTGGAAACTACAGATCGTCAAGATGCAGCACAACGTAACTTAAGGTCAGCTGCTTATGAAGCTCTCATGGAAATGGTAAAGAATTCACCCACTGATTGCTATGTTACTGTACAAAAAACGACCATGGTGATTTTGGAGAGATTACAGCAAGTACTTCAAATGGAAAATCATATTTCAAGTCAAGCTGATCGGTCACAGTACAATGATCTCCAGAGCCTTCTTTGTGCGACACTACAATCTGTTTTGCGTAAGGTTACACCTGAAGATGCACCACAGATATCTGATGCTATAATGTCAGCTCTATTAACAATGTTTGCTGGTAATGCTGGTAAAGCTGGTGGGGTCCAAGAAGATGCACTCATGGCTGTATCTACATTAGTTGAAGTTTTAGGAGAAGGTTTTCTAAAATATATGGATGCTTTCAAAAGGTATCTTTATGTAGGTCTTAAAAATCATCAAGAACATCAAGTATGCATAGCAGCTGTTGGTCTCACTGGTGATATTTGTCGGGCTTTGAAAAGTAAGGTAAGATAGAGAAATTAGAGATACTAACACTACTATTAAAGGTATGAGAGATGGTGTTATCTAGTATCAAATCGAGAATTCCTAAATGGCTATTTTATTTATGAGAGCATTAAAGAAGTAATTTACTATATGACTGGTGTGTGCTTTATTATCAGTGAATAAGTGCAAGTATTTTTATAAATTTAAAAAAATTCGTCGATTTCACCTTTGAATCAATTCTGGGATCCCGACATAATCATAATGATTTATATAAATTAGCATATATTTATAGCATGTACTTTTAATAATTGCAATCAATTTTACAGGTGCTGCCATATTGTGATGAAATTATAGTTTTGCTATTAGAAAATCTAGGTGATCCATCAATACATCGTTCAGTAAAGCCACAAATATTATCTGTATTTGGAGATATTGCTCTTAGCATTGGACCTGATTTTGCTAAGTATTTCGATATAGTGATGCAAATGTTACTGCAGGTATGTATTTTTTTTACGATCTTCCTATTTTATGTAGAGATTAATACTAAATCATAAAAACATCTGGTTTCAGGCCAGTAATGCCCAAGTGGATCGCAATGATTATGACATGGTGGAATATTTAGGTGAACTTCGTGAAAGTGTACTTGAAGCTTATACTGGTATCATCCAAGGATTAAAAGGCGCTAGTGGAGAGGTAAACTACTTTTCTATAAATAGATTTAAGAAAGTTACCACAATTGATGATATCTCATATACCACTTACTTATTATAAGAATACAAAATATCAAAGTTTAAATTGAAATATATCAAATTTATTTAAACTATACATAAATTTGTTAATAGTAAAATACATAAATCATTAATAAGACATATTTTCCCTTTCTATTTATTATAATATATAAAAAAAAATATAAAAAAAAATCCCAATTTCAAAATCTAGAACATTGCGCGACTTAATTGAACTTAACTTAATTGAACGACGCGATTTAATACAAAAAACAAAATACAACAGAAAGTGCTAATTAATTGAAAAACAAGTTTAGGAATAAATAATTTGAAAGTTCGTATGGCCACTTGAAAGGTCGATGGAGCGTTTGAAAGGTTAGAGGGTCGAGGGTCGGAATATGGTCATCCAAAGTAGTTTAAAATAAAAAGGCAAATTTCTACGTCACAAAGATGGCAGTCTTTGTTTTCGGTCTCCATCCTAGTCATTTGTTTTGTCAAAGGCCGTCAGTTTTCTCTGTCAAAAGTCTTATCGGCCAGTGAGAAAACTGGTCAAAGAGGCTGTAACATACCCAAATTAACTGAATTTATTCAGATTATTACCATATTCATACTACAAGATAAAAATATGATAAACAATATTGTATGTTATGCTGTACTTAAACTCAACACATACACCAGGATTATTTTATTCTCAATGTTCATGATAAGTTTGAGATTAGATGCCCTACATCAAAGATTTTAAAATTTATCACTTGTATTTCTTTTTAAATAGTATAATAGGATTAGTAGTTACATAATATTCGTAATACAGGTGCGGTCAGACGTGACTCTGGTCGAGCCCCACGTGCCGGCTATAGTGAACTTCATGATCCAAGTGGCATGCGAGCCGGAGCGTACGGACGGGCATATGTCGGTGATCGCGGGCCTGGCAGGCGACCTATGCACCGTATTTGGCCAACGCGTGCTGCCGCTACTAGAGACACGGCCGCTGCTCGATCTACTACAGGCGGCGCGCCATTCGCGCACCCCGCGTACTAAGGCCCTCGCGATCTGGGCCACTAAGGGGATCCGCAAGCTCAAGCAGCAGCCTACTCTTACTAGCTGGTCGGTATCATTAACATAACAAGCCATTAAATTCTAATTAATTTAAGATTGTTATTTTTATCATAATAACTAGCTATTGCAGCAAACATTGATTATCGCTTTAACCATCACTTATCGAGTCTATTTTTTAGCGAGAGATAATAATGTATTCTATCTCTCAAGCTGTACTGCTAGAAGACAGCATGGAATTTGATCTAACACGGTATATTGCTAACGATGGGCCATGTTAGTCCTCATTACAAACTAACCCTTACCCCTAGCCCCGTCAAGTAGTTTATTTTTAATGGATGATGAATAGTAACTTCACCTGCGGGGGAAGGAATTGGTTATTGAATATAGTGTCATGAATGAATATTATGATACTAGGTTTTTATATATTCAAATTAAATCAATATATATTTTATTTAAATACATTTATACAAAAATTCTTTTAAATCGTCATTTTTTGTATTTTCACTGTAGTTTCAGGAAATTATCAATTGAGAAGAAACTCAACTGTTGTGTTTTCAAAACTCTGTTAACATTATATGCATTTATTTAAATATATTTAAAATAATATGATTGTTGAATATTAAATCCCGTTCATGATTGACAAGTATTAGTACATTACTGCAGCGGCCAGCAACTGAGTCATTGATGGACTAACGTGCAAATGTTGGCCAAGACGTAGCCGAGGCACACATACGTGAGTCTATCAATGCGTAGTTATGGCCAAGGCTTGTATAGTACTTTTCTCAAACAATGCGCCGAAATCAAAAACACAATTTTACTTTTTAAGTTCAATGACGAATAACGAACAATAATAATTTTTCACGCGCCATAATGTTCCTTTGTTTTTTTTAATAAACAGCTTTCTATTTGCAAGCCAGTTCGAAATTTAAATAAAACCTTTTATTAGTTACCTCCTTGGTAGCCATGTTTCGAAGTAAAAGGTCATTCCATTTTTAAATTACAGGACAGATATGAGAATTTATCTAGCCGCAATACATGACAGATAAGGATTTTTATACAACTTGCAGGCCACTGCCCGCTTGTATCTGGCCAGTACGGCAATTTTGATTTATCTCTAAGAAGATTGTCAAAATAATACTCACATTTCCATGCATGTTTGAGAAATATTTATTTTTTAAGTAATCATTTAGTGAGACTCAATAAGTATTTCTTAATGAAACTTTCAAATTTATTCAAAAGTAGATCCTTGATAACTTATAGTAAAACATAATTCCTGTTCCCATGAAGGAAACATAAAAAAGATGTTTTTAAACAGTAAGCTTGTATTTCTAAGTTCTTAAGATCACTATTAGATATTCATATATTCATATTTAAATAGCACTCCATTTTATATTTACAGATTTGGATCATCGCGATGCAGTGCTGACATAATGCAGTTTCAGACAACTTATTGCTGGTAAACTCAATTATATTGGCAGGTCATATCATATTATTCAGACGCTAGGTGCATTTGTGTTGCAGCTGTTACGTCTTGTTGTAATACAACAATGTATATGTTTATTGTTTTAACTAAGTTATTCAATTCATGAATAACAAATCTCTTATTGTTTAGCTGTATAAATGTGTAAACTATTAATAAATGAATTCCAATATTTGTTTCTGTTATTTGTCATAAAGGGGAATTATTTATTGATCGTTTCACAAAGTAATTAAACTACGGCCGCATGTAATGCACCTATCGCAAGATTATTAAAATTATTTAAGTATGCCTGACCATTATATTTCCATAACGATCTTAATAAAGGTTGAAGCATTTTTTCCTATTTGGTATTATAAATACAGACAGTGGCTGTGGTATCTTTACTTATGTGAGTTAAAGTGATACTTTGAAAGAAGTTTGAATGAAAGATGACGTATGTTACTATAGGCATGCACAAGTGCAAGGGATTGTGAATTTTATTATAAATTTATTATTATGTTTTGTAAGACGCATGAAAGGAAGTGTGAATGGTAAAGTATGTATGAGACGATGCATGTATGATTATCACAGATGTTTGTAACTAAGGCATGTGTCGATCTTTATATAAAGTCGGTATAATGTATAAGATTCCGTCATCGTAATTTGAGACTGAAGGACGCCATATTGGTGAAAACTACTTTTTGTTCATCACAGTACAGTGCTGAAACAAATTTTCTATTGAAAAATATGACTGCTAATGTCCAAATAATAAATTATTTCTATATTATTTTTAAATATCGATGGTATTTAGAAAATGATATTTTATACATGACATTTGAATACCCATTTGAAATGTACTATGTTAATATTTATGTTCTGCCATTTATTAAATTTTTAGTGATACTTATAAATAAAATTATTTGCCCATTTTTCGTCATAGTAAGTATTATTGCAAAATAGATAATAATTATAATAGTTACAGAAGGTTTACTAATTTCAAATTTTTTGTACCTATATACATAGTAGGGATTATCTAAAATATTATAAGATTGTTAACTATCAGTTATTTCAGTATCGTTAACCATTTGTGCCATACGCGGTACAATGGTTAATAACAGCGGAACAATAAATAATATTACAATGATAATCTTAGACTAAGTACTGCTCATACGGCGATTGGCTGTAGTAGGATTGGTAGCTAAGTATACATATTTGTTTACCAAACCAAACTGAGTGAATCAGAGTTGGTAGTGCTTATTACACTTATACTTTCGGAAACCTAATTACAAAAGCTTATAATTATTTAAGAAAGATTTTAATCACATACATGTACATAATATATTAAAACTAATGAAATAACTGTTATCTAAAAATAATAACAGGTTATTATTTGTCTTGTGATGAATAGAAAGGAAAATTGCCTTCTGGTCTCTGTATTACATTATTTGTACATATGTAATTAAAAGCTCTTTTGTTACAATTTAATATTAAAATGGCAATAACAGGAAAAAATAATGAAGGCAGGGAGTTATTTCTTCGTAAGGATATTACGGGTTCTTAGGGACTTTTGAAAATTTTATTAAGCAGACTTATGATTTTAGAAATCAATTTAGAATCTCAAGATTTGGTTTCAATAATTTATTTTATTACATTATTCAAAACTTATATGTATTTAAATTTATATTACTTCCCTTTCTTAAAATTCACTATTCAGTCGAGATCTGTTGATTACTTAAATACAATTTGAAAATTATAGGTAGTGCCTTCACGTAATTATGTGCTAAAATAAATCAAAGTGACAAATTTTTGTCCCCATATATAACCGTTTTTGTTTATATAATTATCAGTCCTTTTAAAATATATTACCCACATTATGTACGTTGTAGACTGCCAGTCTTTGTAAGAGCTTTGTAAGTACATTAATGCCAAGTGATTAAATCAAATAGGATTTTGAATGTTTGCTAGTCTGTGAGCATCACTGACAGGGATGATGTTTGCGAGAATTATGCAAGATTTATGAGAAGTTTATCTTTACTCATCTAATCATTTTACGTTATACACACACATACATATATATAGAGTAAAATCGAAATTTTTAGCTGTAGATATGTAAAACTTATAAGAATCCACCCATGCTATAGAATATATTTGTACAGAAATTTCACGAATCAAGTATTCAAACACGACAAGTATTTTTAAGTTTCCCACTAACTTAACAGCTGGAAACGTTATGTTAATATTGGAGAAATCTGTTTCCTTGGCGAAAAATATTTAGTTTCATTGGTAGTAGTTAGCCTGGTAGCCTCTTAAAGAGATGCTTCGAGAGATTTCGATTTTACCATATATATAAAAGCCCTCTTATAAGTGCAATTTATGATTTTTCAAAATATTTCAAAAGTCATATAATACGTATCTACATCTTTCTATTTAAGTATGATAGGAGAATGTGTGAGGACTAGTGCCATGCCATGAAAGGTTCTGAATTAGAATCGTAGGCATCGAGTCGATGAATACCACCCACTTTTCCCGCGCGAATCGAAAATCAATTTAAAATTATTTTGTTACAACTTTTATTTCTTTTTGATTACGACTACTATTCTGTAAACTGTTCTATAATAAATAAAACATTTAGAAGTTGAATATTTTTTATTGTACCTTTATTTTCATTTGCAACATTAGTGGATAGTGGTAGACTTCGAAAAGAAAAGATAGAAAATTGCAAGTAGTGGGAACTAGTGACCTTATTTCTATTAATATACCCTGTCAGATCGACGTCCACGTGTTCCCCTCTGAAAACGAATCTAATAATCGATGAATTCGTCACGAAAAGTTGACTAATCTAACTTCTTTCTCATTTAATCCTCACTGGTGCCACGGTAACCGGGACGGGGTCATCATTTCATTATAACTAATTAAAAAAGTGATTTCGAAAAACTCTAGAAAGTGAATTCGCTCAAATTTTAGCGATTCCCATATCGCGGATTATTTGTCTAAACATCATTTAGGTTATGGCAAGAAGTCAAGACCAAATAATGCCTCCTTGACAAGGAGGGAAAGGATTGTTAGCAATGGAGTTTGACAGCCCCATTGCTAGCAATATACCTTATTAGGTCGACCTCCACGTGGTTCCCCCTGGAAACCATCGTGAACAATTGTTGAATTCGTCACGATGGGCTAACTGACCTACTTCATCCTCACCTATCATTCTTCACTGGTGCCCCGCCGGTGTATACCGATAGCGCGGGTGGGGTGGGTTACCATTCCATTATCATTCATTTAAAAAAATGCCTCCTTAACAGTTTGGATGTTTTTTCGCAATTTTGGACAAAACCTTGAGTACGTTATACCACGTTTATGGATAAAGCCGTATATTATATATATAGGATATCCGGTAGTGAATGGATAACCTTGAAACGTCTTATAGTTCAACTTATGGCCGTCCTAAAAAAATACGAAACCCCTTTGTTATCTTTATTTTAAAGAAAAGTAATTTTTTTTTCTATCTGATTTTACTGTCCTGATCACTATGACCAGAAATGAATGAATTCTATTGGTTTTTTGTTGTTTTATTATTATACACTAACTGTGCTGATAAATAGAAAGTGAACAGCACACAAGACTGCTCAGAAGAGCATTTATCCGAAGATGCAGGGCATACATAAGAGTGGGAGGAAAACAATTTGAAAATTTATTGTAAATTTATGTAAAATAAATTATTTTGAATATTGAATGTTGTTTTTTTATTATTCTCCAATAATGAGATACATTTCAATTTAAAAAATGTTCCCATATTACAAATTTTGATATTTAGTAAAATTTTCTCCTTTTCTACATTAATGGCAATAAGTCACTATTTATGATAGATACAGTTATGACATCTGTATCCATTGTAAAATCTACTTGAAACAGACATTATTTTTCATTATTGGTCACCCATGTATTTATAATTTTTTTTATACCCTAGGCTATAGAGTTTAACTTTGCTTAAAAAAAATTTTTTTTTCATATTTTTCAAAAATAGTTTAAAAAAAACTGCTATATATATATATATATATATATATATATATATATATATATATATATATATATATATATATATATATATATATATATATGTGTGTGTGTGTGTGTATATATTAATCATATAAATAAGATGTTAATATTTTTACCCTTTTATTTGCTATAAAGTTTGTTTTAATTATATATAAACTAATATTCTAAAGAGGAAAGATTTGGTTTTCTGTATGTTTGTTTGTTTGTAAACTCAAAAACTACTGATTTTAAAAATACTAGACAATCACTATCATTATATAACGTTTTTAATAGTAGATTTATATAATGTTTTTTATTGATTATTTAAAAAACTTCTCTTCTGCTAGCAACCTGAAAGATTAGAGCTGAATCTCATGCGGTATTCTCTTAAACTATTTTTTTATGCCACTGAGATGGCAATCAAGCATACGGCTCACTTGATGATAACCGGTTATGGTAAAGAGATTGTTAGTGATGGGGATTTACATCCCCATTACTAGCAATATACCCTCAGGTCGACCTCCTCGCGGTTGTCCCTGAAAATAATCGTGATTAATTGATTAGTGAATTTATCAAGATGGGCTAACTGAGCTGCTTCATCTTTACTTATCACCCCTCACTGGTGCCCTGCTAGGTATACCGATAGCGTAAGCGGAGTTTCAATTCCATATCATCCATTAAAAAAACCAGTTACGGTAGTCTATGAACGCCTGTAATACCAAAGGCGTTTCGTGCTAATAAAACCTCTATAACAAACATCCATTATATGCCTGTTAGTTCTTTCTGACCATTTGATCTATAACTCCTTAATTTTCTTTATTTCTTATAATAACATTAAACTACAAGATCTTCGTTACTTTTTAATATCTCGTCTCGTTTCTTATTTGTTAGTGGCATAATGGATTACACTACCAAAAGGATAGGCCCTTGCTAAGAACAAGGAATTACATAAAAGGAATGATAAAAACTGTAAACATATATATATATATATATATATATATATATATATATATATATACGTGGGACATTCAGAAAGTTTTGCGACACTAAAAAAAAATATTCTATAGGTAAAAATATTTTTATTACATCTTTTCAAAGTACTTTCCACCAGCCTCTATATAAAGTTTCATGCGTCTGAACCAGTTTTCGAAACACTTTTTCCAGTCCGCCGCAGACTCCTCGTTTACAGCCTGCTCGAACGCTGAGAGCGCATTATCCGGCGACGAAAATTGTATCCCTTTGAGCTGATTTTTTATTTTTGGGAATAAAAAGTCACACGGTGCTAGATCAGGGTTGGAGAAGGGTGACCCATGAGTTTGACCGGTGTGCTGTCTAGGAAGTCCCTCGTTTTGATTACAGTGTGGGCGGGCGCATTATCGTGGTGGAGCAGTAGCCCGCGGAACCCTATGTTTAGTCGCTTGTTGCTCACAACAGAGAAAATTTCTGCCAAGCATTTGATAGTATACCATTCGTCGTTAATGCTTCTTTGATTTCGTATAGGAATTGACATCAAGTAGCCAGTCAATTTGAAAAAGCACGCGATTAAAATCTTCCCCCCGCTTCTAGGTCGCTTTACTTTGGTAGGCATTGATTCGTTTTTAAACACCCAAACCGTCGACTGGCGCTTTGTTTCTGAATCATATTGATAAATCCAGAATTCATCACCTGTAACGATGTCGTAAACACACAGAGACGAGTCTGCTTCAAATTTGCTTCATATCATGGCACCATTCCACCCTTGCCTGCTTCTGAACATCGGTGAGGTTGTACGGCACCCAGCGTGAAATTATCCACCGCACCCGTATTAGAGACCGTATTAGAGGTAATTATAATTAGCTCGCAAAAAATGTGGAGGGAAGTTTTGAATTTATAACGTACCTATTTTTACTTAGAAGCAATGATATTTTTAAATAAATTATAATTGGCCAGTCTCAAATACATAAAAACTTTTTCTCGCAATACTTTCTGACTGAACTAATATTGCCTCCTTTCTTCTTATGCAAATATGATTAGTAAAAGGAGGACGAAAGATACACCATCTGTTGCTATTTTTGTCATTTCATTTCAATTTTTTTTTTTGATGGGTGAAAATGGTATGGTAATCCCGCCTGCACTAACGGGATACGCTGGCGGAGCACTAGTGAAGGGTGATAGACGAGAATGAAAACAGGCCAATTAGCCCATCATGATGAATTCATCAGGAATTAACCATGATAGTTTCCAGGGAGAACCGCGATGAGGTCGACCTGGTTGGGTATATTGCTAGCAATAGGATTCTCTGTCTCCATTACTAACAATCCCTTTCCCCCCCCCCCCCCCCTCAGCAAGCTAGTGTTTGAAAATGTTCTATGGTCGTGAAGCCCTATCAAATTCAGATACGACCTGCTTTCATACTTTCTACATAAACTGTGTCAAATATATAATCTAGCAATATAAAATTTGTCATTGACAAATAATTGATATATCAGACATTTTCTATACACTAGCCTACAATTAATTGAAAAATATAGCAACTGGTGGTATATCTTTCGTCCACTTTTTATTAATTATATTTACATAAAAAGAACGGAGGCAATTATATGAGTGACAGTTTTTATTTATTTTTTATTTTTTTTTCTTTTTTTGTGGCGTTCACCCCGATATTAGGGTATTTTGCCAAGAACAAAACGGGACAGTTTTTATCATTCGTTCTAATAATTCCTTGTTCTTAGGTCTATGGAAGTTTTGATTCTGTAGACATAGTCTCTTTAATCTGTAACATAGTCTCTAATCTGTGTTCCTAATCCTATAGAATTTGTAATTATCTAAGTTTGTTTCTAAAAAAATATTTATTTATTAGATATAGGTACTATAGTTAACTAAATTACCTATTTACTTTTTATTTTAAACATCAAACTATTGACTCTATAAAATGGAATCTGTGTATAGTAATCCATTAAGACAAAAGATAAATAAGATTTTTGATAGCCATTTATTAACTGATAACAGTGAAGCTCTCAATAATATTTCTGGTTTGTGCTCATCAAATTCTTCGTATACAAGAAGAGTTCTTTTAAATGAGGTTGAAAAAAAAGATGTACTATTGAACAAAGCAGTCTTAGTCGAGTATAACAAGGTCAATGAAAAATTACATTTACTATTGAATTCCTTAACAACATTAGATGTGGCAGTTAAAGATATGTCGACTAGATTAATTGATACTAAAACTAAAACTCACCATTTGATAACACAAACTACTAAGTTAAAAGATGAAAGAAAGAAAACAGAGAAGAAACTTATGTGGGTTGATACATTTGTAAATAATTTTCAGATTTCGCAAGAACAAAATGAGTATTTATATAATGTATCAATTAAAACGCCCTTAACAATAGACTTCTTCAATACTTTATCTCAAATAGAAAAATTATACAACAACTGTAAAACTCTTGTAAAATGTTGGTATCAAACTTCTGCTTTTGATATAATGGAAATCATTGGCCTTCAGCAAGAAATGGCAATAGAAAAGTTATACCATTGGACTATTGGGGCTTGTGTCAGTGTTGATTCACCAAACAATGCTTTAGTGCCCAAGGCTTTATCAAAATTTCAAAACAGACAAGTTTTGTTTTCAAATATTATTGATGAGTATTGTTCAGCTCGGAAAGCAATTACTGTTCAGTCATTTATTGATGTCTTGACTAAGGGTAATGATAATTCAAAGCCAATAGAATTTTATGCCAATGATGCTAAACGTTATATAGGAGATATTTTGACTTGGGTTTATCAAATTATACCTATTGAAAAAGAAAATCTCAATACGCTTTTTAAACATTGTAACATGCAAGATAAAATGCAACAAATAACAGATGCATTAACCAGCATTATGGAAGCTATCTGCCCACTGCTGAAAGTAAGAGCTGAACTTATATTGAAACCAGATAAAGACCCGCTGGTTTTGTGGTCTATTAACAATTTATTAATCTATTATAAAGAAGTTATACAATCTTTGCTACTAAAAGGCCATTTAATAGACACATTTGAAGAATTGTTGAAAAAAAGTGAGGAAGTATTCTTGATAACACTAGATAAGAAAATTCAGAAAGAATTGAGTCATGGAGTTAAAGCCCCTCCTATGGATTTAAATCCATCTGTTGTTGTAACAGACTTAGTTAGCTTCTTACGAGATTTATTAGGTGTTATGAATATTTCTAACAATATCAATAACAACAACAGAAAAATTATAATAACCCATATTTTAGATCCTTTGTTAAAAGCTGTAAATGAAACTGCATGCCATTTGAGTTCTACTGATATGTCTGTTTATATGTTGAATTGCATTTATCATATTCAATGCACTTTATCATTGTATACTGTTATGGATGATTATAATGAAAGGTTACAGGCACAGTCAGAAGCACAAATTGATACATTAACATCTGAACAAGCTAGTTATCTTGTTGCTAATTTAAATTTAGGCCCAATTTATACTATCTTACAAGAAAAAATTAGTGGACCACTCTCAACCATACCAGGCATGGACACATCAACACTGAAAACATTTCTTAATAAATTTGATATGTTTCTGGTGTCTCCAGATGTTTATATATTGCCACAGTTAAACTTGCTTCTTAGTCACTCTCACAAATCCTATGTAAAAAAACGTGCTTTTGAAGTTATATTGGCTATATATACTCAACTGTACCAAGCAGTTCAAGATCCAAATAATGGATATTTAGATCCTCTTATGATAGTTCGTAGAACACCAGAAGAAGTTATAAGTTTACTGAAGTAAATGTTTTAAAAATTGTAAATAAAATTAACATACTGTTATACATTTATTATATTCGTTTAACAATTGTAAAATAATACACATTTTATTATGTATTATTTTAAATTACTATTGAAGTTATTAGGTTGGTTCCCAACCATGTCTTAGCAATATTCCACTAGTTTCAGTTTCCAATGATAGAAGTATCAATATATTTCCGTGAAAGAATTCTTAGAAAATAAATTATAGTTATAGTAAAATATTAAATTATTGGAATTTTATTGGTCGTTTTATTAGAAAATTACAGTAGTCGGTAGACTCTACATTATAAGCATTATTCTTGCAATATTTCAGATCATTAAGTGAAGAATTAAGCATGGGATGCATCTGCGATCTAGCAGTATGATGCGACTTTACGTCACAATGTTGCGAGTGCTCAATAACTACTAGTGATATCAAATTGAAATTTTTAATAGAATTAAATAATATTGGTCAACAGACTTTAGAGAAAAATACTTTTTTTCTTTGCGAGCAGGTCCAAAAGAGCCAAAACTTTCAAAATAGACCTTTCAGTTCTAGTAGAATATTGTATTTTTACAGCCGTTTCATTTACTCTGAACTAAAATCTATTTTTAATTTTTATAGTTAGATATATATCAAAACGATACAAAGGAACTCGTATGTCTATGAATTTACCAAACTTTTAGACCGCTTTATCTCATCAGTAATAATGTTTTCGACTTGAAATTTAAAATAGTGTAATTTTTTTTATACGGAGTAAAAATTTTTGAGAAAACACGTTATAATTCTACATGCGGCCGGTAAACGAAAGAAAACGAACCTTATCGTAGTGACCTTAGATACCTTTTTTTTTATTACGTTTGTTCCGTTGTGGAACAGGCTAAGGTCGGAGACCATGCTGCCTAGTCTTCAATATGATAATTTGTCTGGAATCCTTAGATACCTTTGCAACTCATTCTTTTTTTTAATTAAATATTTATTATTTTTTTTAATATAAGGCAAAGGACTAATGGTACCCATTATATTTTAAATGGGCAACATTAGACGCGATACCAAAAAGGAACGCAAACAAATTTGGTATTTGCTTGCACTTCGATGTATATATGTGTATATTATATGAAAATTTTGCTTTAAGTAGCCCTTTTAAACCCTAAAATAGGTACCTAAAAATTTTAATATGATCCTACTAATCCATCTGGGGTACCATATAAAATGACTTCATTTATATATTTTAAAAATATCTTTTAATTATTTTTATAGCATATAGTTTTGTCTTATGAGTAAAAAGTTTAAAAAATAAACATTCTCCCATCCATCCCATCTTCATCTTCGAAGTTTATGGAACAAAAACTCTGAAATAATTACAATTTATAAGGATAAATAACATACTATAATAAAACAGCACCGTTTTTTGAAAATTTTTTATAAGACCTCGAGGCCTTATAATAAATTGCACTAGTTTTGCGGTTCAGTTTTTAATCAACTCAACTCGCAATTTATTATTTATATATACCTAGAGACTATAGTATGGGGTATTTAAGAAAAAGTATATCAATGATACTTCAGGATCGGCAATGTACTCGTGACACCTTGGTGTTGGCGTCCATAAGCTACAGTGACCGTTTATCATCAGACAAGCTCTATGCTTGTTTGCTTTGTAGTATAAAAAAAGGACATTACGGGACAAGGAAGATTAGTTCTAAGAACAAGGAATTGTTTTTCTTTTTATGGGTGAAAATGGTATGGTAACACCGTCTGCGCTAACGTGATACGCTGGCGGAGCACCAGTGAAGGGTGATAGATGAGAATAAAAACAGGCCAGTTAGCCCATCATGATGAATTTCATTCAGGAATTAATCATGATAGTTTCCAGAGGGAACCGCGAGGAGGGCGACCTGGTTGGGTATATTGCTAGCAATGGGATTCTCAGTCTCCATTACTAACAATCCCTTTCCTCCCCAAGGAATTGGTTAGTCCTTAGCACCGCTCCACATATGATTTTAGGCTAATGTGGGTCTATTTTTTGACAAATTCCAGACCATTTTATCTGGCATCACTGATCTTTTTTTTTTTAATTGATAACGGCGAGCTAATGTTGCACATTAGGTCACTAACAAACAGAAAACAAGATAAGATATTAAAAAGGAACAGTAAGAATTTTCATATTAGTGATAATAAAATATAAACTGTCTGATTTGTTAAATTTTTATTTTATACGTTTAGATAAAAATAAAAATACCGTCTGCTATCTGTTAACCCTGTACCTAATTAGACTCGATGGGATCAAAAGGGTCACATCCAGAGCCGTGAAACATATTAATAAAAACAAAAAATAACCTCAATTTTGTAGTTATTTTACATTCTCGTTCATTATTCTGATAGTGTTGAGTTATATACTCTAGGATTGATGTATTATTTTTTTATGAAATTATATTAATTATTCTAATAAATATTTGTTTTAACTATGGGGTCTCGTCAAATAATTGAAAAATCTTTGTCGATGTTGAAATCACTACCAAGGATATCATTGTCTAACATTCGTGACAATCCAGGCTCAAGAAAAAATGTTAGTAGCATGCAATTTTATCATACTCATTGGTGTATTTAAGGGAGAATCGAGTGGGCTGTACCCACCCCAGAATTGTGTGTTGACTCCGTCAGGATGTAGACTCCTTTAGCTGTGGGCAAATCTGTCTGAGTATATAATATGCACCTTTTTTTGACGCCTAGACCCGCCTTATGTATTTTTTAAAGTAATGAGTATTAGTTTGGTCAGTTGATACCTTTAGGAATTTACAGTATACCAATGGTTATCTGTGAATATCTCTTTACTAACACTGACAAAATTTTGTATCCTCAACTAAAATAACTAATTTTATGTAATGTAAAAAATATATCTCTGTGCAAAACAGAAAAGAAGATAGATAAATTAGATTAAATTCTACAACTATTTTCTAAAAATCAGTTAGGAGATAATAATGGTAACCATCACTTTATACAATTAACTAGTAATTTCTTTGGAAAATTTATAGATATCAATGAATGAAGGGTATCATGAGTGACACAGTATACTCCGTTATGTCTATGGTACTACTGTTCATGTATATAAGTTATAGTTACCATTTTCTATCTACCTGATACTAATTTCTAATACATGATACTAAAAAATATAAATAAGAATAATTATTTTTTATCTCTACATCAGATATGCAATAGATGATAAAACTAAGTGCCAGGATAGTATTTTGGTTCAAACACTAAGTAAATAATTTTGTGCATACACCCTGAGTCTGGAGATTTGACTAATCCACAAATATATATATAGGCTGGAGTATATCCAAATTAGATTACAGGGTATCATGTTTTATAGCATTTGTCACTCTAGTTAAGCATTGTCAAGTTCAGAACTTTCAAATTAAACTGATTTGGATTGAAACGCAAAATGGGTATCTTTCTATTAAATTATAATATGAGAGCTAATGTATGAAACAAAATTTATTTGCCGGAAACATTGTAGATAAGATGTTAAATTAATTAAATATAAATCTAAATAACTAAACATATACTTTAGTGCTAATTCTTTGATGAAATACATGGATATACTCATATGGTAATGAATTTCCAGAGTATGGTTAACCATTATGAGCAGATCATATGTTCATCATGATCCCTCCCAAAAGTGTGTGGAAATCTAATACACTTTTTAGGAACATTTAAGTTGTCTGGACAAACCACACTGTCATGCAATGACTCAAGCATAAAACCACATTGGCACAATCAGCTAAGGTGTGGAACTATTTCCTCACCTAGCAAGATGCACTATTCCATTTTTTTTTATTTCTCTAATATAGTATTTAAAATTGTATTTAATGATATTTCAGTACAAACGTGGGCGAGGACAACATGGAGGTGATAAACATGGAGCAGGCAATAAAGGTTCAGGTCAAAGACAAAATTACATGAGACTAGGTTATGAAACAGGGAACAATCCATTTTATTTGCGTGTTCCTCAAGAACAATATTATAGGGGCCACCAGTAAGTAATAAATTCTAGTCAAATTTATTATTATGGCAACTTATTTGAAGATGATTTTAAGATTGTATTTACTTTTTATTTCAGTCACAGAAGACAATATCCTCCATTGTCATTAAATGCGCTCCAGGCTATGGTTGACACAGATAGATTAGATGTTACAAAACCAATTGATATTGCAAGCATTATAAAATCTGGTCTTTACACCATTCATCCTGATCAAAAACATTATGGTATTCAGTTAACTGATGAAGGAGCTGATAGATTTGCTGCAAAGTTAAATATTGAGGTGCAATGGGCAACAGAACCAGTAATTGCTGCTATAGAAAGAAATGGTGGAACTATTACCACAGCATATTATGATCCACATAGTCTATTTTTGCTCAAGAATCCAAAGAAATTTTTTGAGACAGGTCAGGCTATTCCCAGGAGAATGATCCCACCTCCTGATGTAATTGAGTACTACAGTAAACCTGAAAATCGAGGATATTTAGCTGATCCTGAAATAATATCACAAGAAAGGTTAAAATTAGCTCAAAAATATGGATATCAGTTACCAAATTTAGAAAGTGACCCTGATTATAATATGCTCTGTGAAAGAAAGGACCCAAGACAAATATTTTATGGTTTGGAACCTGGATGGGTTATAAACTTAAAGGATGAATGTATTCTTAAATTAAAAGATGAAGATTTATTAAGATTCTATGCATCATAAATATGTAATAAAATGGTCATGATAATATTTAGCAATGAACTATGTGAAACTAGATCATAGATATAAGGTGTGAAACTAAGTGAAAGTGAACTCATTTTAAACTAATATATAGTAAAAAGCACATCCCAACTATCATTGTTTTATTATTTATATATATAATATTTTATATATAATAGATATTATATATATAATAGATATTTAAATAAATCTGCAGGTAAAATATTAGATTTGTTTTCACTTCATACTACCTATTTCTATAGAACTTAATGAAAATGTAACTAAGTTTTGTGGAAAATATCACAGAAACATTCTCTAAATGAAATTAGTAACAAATCAAAACAATCAATAAAAAGATTCAATGTTTGTCAATTATTTGTTTCTTTTTTTATTAAACTTATTTAGCTAGACTATTTTTTTTTTTTTAGGATCATAGTGATTAAGAATAGAGAATAACTTTTCTTAATCACTATTTTTTTTTTTTTCATTTATTTATTCTTTTTAAAATGGGATGATTCATTCATTCAAATTTTTATTTGCTACACTTTTCAATCTTAAATTTACTATTCCAACAATATTAGACCATTTTAATGAAATGCTCTGGATTCTGGAATGTAAAACTTATGGAATATTTGCAAGGCAACTGAACTAAAATTGTGTTCCAAAAATATAGTAACATCTATCATACTCTATAATTAACGTTTTTGTTCATAAGCAGAGAACTTAAATAATCAAGCAAAATGTTGAAAATTATTTTTTAAAATTGATAGGTAGTATATACACATTTCGGGGCTTCGCGTAACAGATTTTAATCAACCAGTGAGTGGCATTTTGTCTAGTGGCCAATATGTTTAAGCGAATACAAAATTATTAAAATTCAAATAAAAAAAAATAGAAAAAAATTAAATTTACTTTTTTATTCCAACAATATTTGATATATTTATACATATACATATATTTTATTTTTCATTGTATATTTTTTTTTAAAGTATATGATAATATAATATATTTGGCACTTTAAATATTAATAGTTGTAGCACTTCCTCTAACAGCATGCTTTCTAACTGCATTGGGTTGACTGGAAGAGATCCTGTCAGAGATAAGTATACCTTGCTCACAATATTTATAAATGCATTAATAATGTAATTTACGAGGCCCCTAATAGTTTGAGGATGATATAATAAATGATAGTTGATAGAAATAAAGATGAAAATGGGTTTTTATTCTCACTTAGATTATGATTAGCAATGGAAATTATGTAATACTGTAATAAATACATTTTTGTTATAATTATAACAAAAACAGATATTTGGTTTCCAGGTTGTCTTGTTGATGAATCATATATTCATATTTTCATTGTTTTTTTTGAGATAATATAAGCTGTCGTTACGATCTGGCAGTGAGAGATGATAGGTAAAGATATGGGTGGCAATTAGTTATATTCATTTAATTCATTGCAAGCTATATATATACCTTGTTAGATCGACATTCACAGGGTCTGTCTGGTCTCTGGAAACCATTATAGTTAATTTTGTTACAATGGATCAACTGATCCGACTTCATACTCACTTATTTAACTGACCTTACTGGTGCCGGCCAGGAGGATCGTCATTTCATTGAAAAATAAAAATATTCAGTCTAGACGACAGGTCAATTGCTGGCCTGCTTACAGTCTCGTCTATCATCCTTCTTTGATATTACGTGTACTGATAGCGCAGGCGAGATTATCATTCTATTATTATAAAGAAAGCATCTACTAAAGGATTTCGGTAATTCCACCCCTAAAGGAGTAAAAGAGAAATAGTTGTATAGAAAACAGTCATTTTCAAAAGCGTAGTAAAAATACGCATTACGTATTTATTTATTTATCTAACCCATGATTTTGTACATTTTTATTACATAAATAAGAATAAACATGAAAATCACAGCGTTTTTGAAAATCTGTTCTCTACGAGTATGAAAGCTTATATTGAAGTGCGTCATTTTTTAAGTAAATTAATATTAAAGTTTCTCAGTAAAAATAAATACTCGTACATAATTCGTCGTTTTGGGAAATATGATGTGAATTTACTGGGTACAATACTGGAGTTCTCAGGAATGGCAACGCATGGGGGGTATCATGGGCAAAACAGTATATTCTGTTATGTCCATGGTACTGCTCATGTCTATAGGCGACGATTACCACTTTCCATCAGGTGGGCCGTCAGCTTAATCGCCATTCTAAGTTGTATAAAAAAAATTTAACCCCAAATAGGAGAGATGGGATGGAAACATTAGTATAAAAATTTTAAAAAATTGCTATGCTTGGAATGTACCATTTGTTTCTTGATATTTCCATCAAGATACAAAGATAAGTTTTTTGTATCTAGAATGGAATTTCGTGCTTTTTAATTTGTAAATCATAGATTTTCATATAAACATTTAGTATTTACTTATACTTATGTGCAAGCGAAGCTCCGAGCAATAGCTAGTTAATAGATATGAGGTATAATAAGTGGATAAAATTTTAATAAAAAGCAATTAAAAATTTAAGTACACAATTTATTTATTAATTATAAATATGTTTATAATAATTACAATAATGTTGTAACAAATTTGTATGCTGTTGCCAACAGTGTAGCTATGAATCTAGATAATCATGTAAAAAACAAGAATATCTATATTTCGAGTGACAGTCAAGCGACTATCAAAGCATTTGTATCAACAAGGGTGAATTCAGGGTTAACCTTAAATAATATTCAAAACTTAAATAATTTGGGTAGACATAATAGGGTTAGTTTGGTATGGGTCCCTGGACATACAGGATTTAAAGGTAATGAAAGGGTCGATGAGTTGGCGAGAAGGGGATCAGAATCAAAAATTATAGGTCCTGAGCCATACGTTGCACTTGCATCAAGTGTTATTAACTCACCCCTTGACTTTCACATGGAGTGAGGAAAAAACAGCAGAAGGAATGGAGGACTTTAAAAGTCTTAGGCATACTAAAGTTTTTAAATGACAATGCTGAGGGATGGGATAAACTAGTCTACAGCGGTAGGAGACAACAGGAAACACTAATTATGGGTGCCCTAACTGGGCATATATTATATAAGATTGGTCTATCTTCGGACACACTGTGCAGACTGTGCGGTGAGAAATCGGAATCCATGGAAAACTTGATATGCAACTGCGATTTGTTGGCAAGTATGCGTATGAGTCTACTGGGAACGGCTTATCCAGAGCCAGGGGATTACATATATCTTAAACCGCGGGATATCGTTAAGGTAACAAACAGGATCCATGAAATGATGGTATACGACAGGGGGAAGCACAAAAGATCCCTATAGGTCGACGTGCAACGGATTAGCTGACCCCATATGCGAAAATAAGATATAACAGATTGAAATGATATTCGTTTATAAATTATAGTTTGGTACAATTATGCTATAGGAGAGGACATGTATAATATAGCCATATTGTGTAAATGATTGATGATGACACTTTGCTAATTTTATTCTTTATTATAAATTTGTTGTAGTTTTATATTTTCTAAAAGAATTCTACTCTCTAAATTATTATAAATTTAGTTTATAATAATTTTGTTAATTTTCATAATAATTCCAAATTATATTCTAATAATATTTACATGTAATTTAAATATGAGACTATATTATGTATTATAAATGCTTGATTAAATTTTTCTCTTTGTTATTTTATTATTTTCATTTTAATGAGTCAAACGCTAGGGCTCTACGCATTATTCCTGTTGCACGTAGTGCAATTTAAGAAATTACAATGTTTGTGCCTTAACCCATGTCTTAGGATATCATCTAATAGATGTAACTAGCTGTATAGGCATATAAGTGTTTTTCGGTTAATAATAGAATAATGAAAATCTTCTTTAAAAATTGTATCATAAAATTAGACATACTTTAAAAATAAAAAAAAAACTGTACGAAGCTATTACTTTCCGTAATTACTATAAAAACCTGTACTTTGTCTATCATGCTGTTAATGAAGGCCATGATAAAAATTCAAAATATTACAAATATCGCGTTTTTGGAATTGAAACAATTCAATCCAAATATATTGAATATCAATGCATTACAGAAGGCGACAATTTAATAGTAGGAGGTATGAAAACTTATTATATGTAATTTAGTGGTAAAAAAAAAAGACAAAATAGTGCTTATCTCCTTATCTAGTTACAAATGATAAATTTTATTAATAACACTAGTAAATTATGTGCTCCTGTCCTGAGTCGTTCTATGGTAATTAGGTCACTTCAATTCTAAATGTGCAATAAACTGGCTGTGAAAAAGTTATGAGTGTTTGGTCCTTAAATCTCGTCCAATACAGTTCTTTTTTTCAAACCTTACTTTTTGGAAGTATAAACTGTCAAAGTGTCAGGTTTCATGTTATGATGCATAGAGTATAAAATAAAAAAAAAATACAAAAACATCCTTTTAATCATCCATTCTAAATATTTTTAAATTCATGATGAAGTTACACTAAAAACAAGAATTAATATAATATTAGACCTATGCTTATGTTGTTATGATTATATTATAAGAACTTCATTGGCAATTTGCATATAAGAACAGAACATATTGCGCTTTACTAACCTGATTATATATCACACCATTAAACATAGATCATGTTTGAATTGTGACATGACAAACACAAAATTGAAATTAAATCGTAAAATTCAGACATGATGTATGTATTAAGGCATAATAACGATTTTTTTTTTTTGGCATACACTTAATTAAATCACTTCACTTTAAATAGTATAAAAAAGCACTAATGTAGTGTTAATAATAATATTAAAACCTATCAGTGAAAAATGCCTATTGTCAAAGTTACAAATATCTTAGTATCTGTAGTGATCTGGTTTATATGGTCCATCTACCGGTACGCCAATATATTTAGCTTGTTTGGGAGTGAGCTTAGTAAGTTTTACACCGAGGTGTTCCAAATGAAGTGTAGCAACTTCTTCATCTAATTTTTTTGGAAGTGTGTGAACACCAACAGGATAGACATTATGTCTCGTCCATAACTCGATTTGAGCCAAGACTTGATTAGTGAAGGAATTGGACATAACGAAAGAGGAATGTCCTGTGGCACAACCAAGATTAACAAGCCTTCCAGCTGCAAGTACTATTATATGATTCCCATTATCCAGTTCATAACGATCAACTTGAGGTTTAATATTCACTTTTTTTGCATTTTTCTCTAGCCATGCTACATCAACTTCACAGTCAAAGTGCCCAATGTTGCATACAATAGCATCATCTTTCATTTTTAGGAAATGATCCTTGTAAATTATATCTATATTACCAGTTGTTGTCACAAAGATTTGGCCTATTTCAGCAGCTTCTTCCATAGTAGTAACTTGGAAACCTTCCATTGCAGCTTGAAGAGCATTTATAGGATCTATTTCAGTAACTATTACACGGCCACCAAAACCCTTAAAAGCTTGAGCGCAACCTTTACCTACATCTCCATAACCTGCTACTACACATACTTTTCCTGCAATCATTATATCTGTGGCTCTTTTAATACCATCAAGCAATGATTCTCTGCATCCATACAAATTATCAAATTTGCTTTTAGTAACTGAATCATTCACATTGATAGCTGGAACTTTCAGAAGACCTTCTCTAAACATTTTATATAAATTATGTACGCCAGTAGTGGTTTCTTCTGATAGCCCTTTGATCCCCTCAAGTAATTGTGGATATTTTGTGTGCACTAAATTAGTTAAATCTCCCCCATCATCCAAAATCATATTCAGGGGCTGAAAAAATATAATTCATCTATTAATGACAAAGTATAATAATTAAATATAAACTAAATAAATGGGTAGGTAATATCTGTAAGGATGGTGATTGACCTTTCGCACGTTATCACGCGAAAGGTTTTATTGTTATTACTAACTCAGTTTTAATACAATATAATATTAAATAATGCAAAATAGTAAAAAACATCTATTAACATTAATTATTAACTATTAGCATTATCAATGTACACATGACTACCAAGTTTAGCTTCACGTGAATAATGCTGACATCTATGCGTCTATATGCCTAACATCTAAGGAACGTCATCACTACTTTGTATATTTATTTTTATATTAAATATTTCTTAATTAACGTCGAACAGTTTAGATACTTTTTAGGATGTAGTTATCTAGTTACATTATAGACATACTTATTTGAAGTAATCGTAGAAATGTTTGCATTTAGTACACTTACCCTTCCATCAGAAAAGATAAGAGTTTGTTCAATACACCATATATATTCCTCTTCAGTTTCTCCCTTCCAGGCATATATAGGTATTCCTACTGCTACAAGCGCCGCAGCAGCCTCGTCTTGAGTGCTATAAATATTACTACTCGACCATTGCACCTGTAATAATAAAATACCTATTATTAATATTGTTTAATAAACAAGCTGACGGCCTATCTGATGGAAAGTGGTAACCGTCGCCTATAGACATGAGCAGTACCATGGACATAAAAGAGTATACTGTTTCGCCCATTATACCCCCCATGCGTTGCCATTCCTGAGGACTCAGGTGTTATTCCCCTGTACCCTGTAAATTCACGCCATATCCCACCCTTCAAACCGAAACACAGCCACGCAAACAACTGTTTTACGGTTTAAACACAAATGAGACAGAGGTACCCAAACGACTTTTGTACAAAGTCTCCCTCTGGTATACTCTTTCGAATACAAGAATTTTAAAATCGATCCATAATTGATGGATAAATTGGTGGATATAGATATATATAAGTAATAATGGTTATCATGTCTCTTCCTTTTTCACTAATCTCTATTAATGCGTCATACATGGGTTCTGTCTTTTTCTTTTATATCAACTTTCACATCACAGTTCATACATATATCCACTTTATTTAAAATAGTTTTACTATGATTTTACCATTTATATATATAAAATATTTAAATTTCAGAAAATAATTTCTGTTGTTAATTAAATGTTTTTAAACATTAAGAAGGTCTTAAAAATCGTGATATTATTATAAATCTTTCAACAGGCTCATTGATGCGTCCGTCGACACAAATACGTATTAAATTTTAGACACAAAGAGTAAAATAAGATAATTATTCAAATGATAACAATAGGTACACAAACATAAATTTATTTTTAATACTGAATATAGATTACATCATATTGTTTTCACTGTTAACCTACAGATCAAGGGTGAAGAGATGATCACTTGATAAACGTTCTGCACATAAATAAACTGTATTTCTGTTTACAACAGAGATGTAAATGTTAAAACTATTTTAAATTCTTTTAGTATGAATGAAGTTACCGTTTTTTAACTCCTTCAAGTCATAAAAAATACCTATCGAGTGCAATTTGAACTCACGCATAAGCATGCTGAGGAGGGAAGAGGGGGACATGACCATCCTAGAATTGGTTGGTGCACACCCCAGGCGTAACCTCACAAAAATATCATTCATTATACATATATTAATAGAATATTCTACTTACTTCTGCTCCGAGTTCTATCAGAGTCTCAATAAGAACTGCAGTTTGTACAGTCATATGTAGACTGCCAGCTATTCTTGCCCCTTTCAGGATTTTGCTTGGAGCATATTTACGACGGCAGGCCATCAGTCCTGGCATTTCTTTTTCAGCCAACATAATTTCCTTTCTGCCTAACTCTGCCAACTTCTCATCAGCTTCATGTAAGAAAGTAGTATCTATTATAAATTTTTGGTCTCATAAACAAAATTTTAGGGAACTAGATGGATTACCTAACTTGTATGTAGAGAATATTTATTTATGAGTCTTAGTGTTTACCCACAACTTTATCTGCATGACTGGTTTATATTGATTGATCAGTATAAAAGTAGTCTATTTTTCTTATGCAACTTAGAATGGCAAACAAGCTGATGGCCCACCTGATGTAAAGTGGTAACCATCGCCTACAGACATGAGCATAATCATGGACATAAGAGTATACTGCCCATATACCACCATACCATATATTTCGCCCATGATACCACTCAAGCGTTGCCATTTCATTATTTAGTACTAGTGGGTACTACATTATTTAGTACTAGTACATCTCAAAACGTGTATGCAAATAATTAACTTTTTATTTTATTTATTTATTCTTTATTAACTACATTATAAAAAAATGTCTGGTACAAAAGGCAGACTTAATACTGTATAGCATTCTCTCCCTGTCAACCTTCTTGTGGATTTTGTATCACCTTGTCAATATTATCCACTAATTTAACAAATCCCTTGTACTACTATATACTAAAAACTACTGAACAGATTTAAATTAAATTCAGTACACAGATAGGTACTGAGTAACAACATATTTGGGTACTTTATATACCTATTGATTCACTCAGGTAAAGCCACAAAACGCCTACAGTTTGCATTATAAATGTGAAATAGTTTGATTGAAACTTGGTGCTTTAACAGCTTTACTGATAATCATTCAATTTAGTATACACTACACATACTATCGGATCGGGATGGAGAAGGGCATAGTTTACTATTTGACCTGGTCAATTTGCCAGCCGCATGGATAAAATCATGAGTAAATACCATTTAACAGATAAATATTCATATAAGAGAATGATTTATTGATTGATTTAAAACAGCGTTTTCATGTATGTGAAAAGATACCTAAATTAATATTAATAAGGTGGCCAACTATTTTTTGTTCAAAAAGAGTATACTTTGTAGTACAAGTATTTCATAGGTGAAAAAAAGGAAGAACACCTTTGAAAAAAATTTTTTTTGAAGTGGATTTTTTTTGCTAAATGAGGATGTTTGTCTAATAATGTAGCCACATCCAAACAACTATCATTTTGCATATTAAATTTGACTGTTAAGATAGCTGATAATGATTTTACAGAAAGTCTACTCCAATAATCATTCCCTAGTGAAAATATCCTTTCAACAGCAGCATGAGTGCCTGGACACCATAAGGAAATTTCTACTAAAACTTTTAAATTTTCATGTGGGATATGATCCACTGAAATTCTAATGAAATTCAAATCACTGTCAAAATAATTTTCAATATTTAATTATTAAAATTAAAATAAATTAATCTAAAAAAATGTTTTAGAAATACAAATTAATATAAAATTATACAACTCATTTATAATTTCAGAGTACAGGATTTAAAAAGAGTACGGTTTCCAAAAAATAAGTACAAAACTCAGTAAATGAGTATAGTTGGTCACCTTAATATTAATAATAAGATTTTAAAAAAATGAACGCATGGTGAATATAACCTATAACTATAATTTTAAATAGAACAAAACAATAATAAATAGCCAGTAGTAGATTGGAAAAAGATAAAGTATGTTAATATGTATGATAATTATTTAAATTTTGTATATTAAGTCATAATCATTAAGTTAAAAATTACAACTTACCTATCTTATACGGCGGCTTCATTGTGAATTCTTGGTGGAATTAAATAAACAATTACAAAAAAAGATCTGTAATTTTGTACAACCACAAGCCAGCTATATACACCTAATTATAATTATTAAAAATAAATAGACAATTACGATTGGTAGCTAATAACTAGTAAATTGAATTGGTGTCACTATGAAGTTCATGGGTATCACAGAGAACAGCACGTAGCGATGCGCGACTTTACTAATCCGACTACAAATTATTCAACTAAGCACTTCATTCGGATTATTCAAATGATTTTCAAATCAATCGACTACTAATATCTTTGAATAGTAATCGTCGACGTACGAATTGACCCGGTAGTGAGAATGTGTTAATTTTTTAAATGGATAAAAGTGTTGCCAATAAAATTTTGTAAAAATTACCAATTTTTGATAAAAGTTAATACAATTTTTATAGGAAATTGCGAAAGTATTACAACACGTATTATAAAATTGATATTTCAGTGACATTTTTTTTTTCATTGTCTTTTTTACTAGGATGATAATATAGTAATGAATACAGACTGAGGAATACACTTAATAGAAACATATAGAAACAAATTCAGAGAAAGGACTTTGTTGTAATTAGTTACTAATTAGTAAAATCGTTCCAATGCGGAAATAGTACATTACTAATTTAGTAGTTGAATAATTATATTATTAATTACTAATTATTCGAATAAAACCAATCAGATTCGCGTTTCGCTAACATTAAGTGCTTTAATAGTGTTGTACCACTATTTATACCTTCGTTCAATATTAATATTGACATTAACAGATGCCATAAAAATCTAGATAGTTAATTATATAAAATTTTCAAACTTTACAAAAATCATAGATAATAAAACAAGAACCTATGTTACTTTATTTTACTCTACTACAATTTTAAATCATCTTTTTTGACAGACAAGGTATGTTACTCTTCTTTGACGCATTCAACGATAGAAGCATTGTGCCAAGTCAAACAGCCTTAAAACTACAAAAAAGTACAAAAACCCTTTCCAATTCTAAAGAATATATATGTATTATATTATGTATATAAGAAAAATAGCTGCATAACATTATTTAAATTACATTAACTATAACATAATTAAAATTATATTTTAAAAGGTGACATTCTAACGGGAAACAGCATACTACAAATATAATTAATTAATTATTCATACATAATTTTAAATACTATTTTTATATATAAAGTTTGCGTTAAATATCAGAGGAAAAAGAATAATAAGAATCGAGTGATGTTTTTAATAGCAAGACAATTTTATGAAGGTGTTAATTTAAGGTGATATATAATAATTCTTTACTCATCGGTTTAAAGCTATTAAAAATGAAGTTGAATATTTTGTTTATTTTTTATATTATATCACACTGAACACATATTTATTTATATTTTTATTTATTACTACGTAATTTATCAAAACATATAAGTTGCTATAATATTTAAATAAAAACTTTTAATATTTGTTTTTTTTTTTTTAAATGAGGCCATAACCTAGTCCTATATTCAGCAATGGCAAGTTAATAGCTGATATAATTAGTCCTTGGTATCTCAGAATCGATCCCATTATCCATGTCCTCTATTTGAATATCTATGGTACCTTCCTCAAGTGATAGATTTACGGCCCTGCCCAAGTCCTCAATTTTGGTTTGTTTTAATGATAGATAAAAAATATTTTTCATATTCGAGGCTATAGGTTCAATCTAAGGTTTAGAAATCTATTTATTTATAGAATAGAGCAAAGACATTGGATGAGTAATAGAATTACACATTTAATAGCATATGGTAACACATTTTGTTTATGGTTAACTGATTGATCATATGATCGATGTTCCTTCCACTTCTTCATAGTGGTTTGTAGTTTGGTGAATGATTATTGTTTATTTAAACGGTAGGGAATTTATACCATGAAGGGTTGTATTTTTAATATTGATGCTGGTTATTTGGAAGGGTTGTGCCGTGGGTTCAAATGCGGAATTCTCAAGCAATCGGATTATTTGAACTTGGTCCAATGCGAAACATTAGAAGGTAGTTTTTGTATAATATTTTACTTCCTTTAAGGTGTATATAGTGTAATTCATCTCTAAATTAATATTCAGAAACAAAATTGTACTTATGTATTGTTTGCAGATTTGAAACTTCATTTGCAAGGTACTGATTATGGGACCTTCCTCGCCAATGAGCCCAGTCCTCTTTCCGTATCAACTATCGATGACAAACTTCGCGAGAAACTTGTTATTGAATTCCAGCATCTTAGAAATCATTCTGTGGAACCACTATCCACATTCCTGGACTTCATTACTTACAGTTACATGATTGATAACATCATATTGCTGATTACGGGTACTTTGCACCAAAGACCAATTTCGGAATTGATTCCCAAATGCCACCCATTGGGTTCCTTTGAACAAATGGAAGCCATTCATGTTGCTGCCACCCCTGCAGAATTGTACAATGCTGTGCTGGTGGACACTCCATTGGCTCCATTCTTTGTGGATTGTATCAGTGAGCAGGATTTGGATGAGATGAACATTGAAATCATCCGCAACACTCTGTACAAAGCTTACTTGGAAGCCTTTTATGATTTTTGTAAACAAATTGGAGGAACTACAGCTGATGTCATGTGTGAAATTTTGGCTGTAAGTATAATAATAAATATCCTTTAGCTATAATAGTAAATTTTCTTTTAATAACTCTTAAAACATAATAACCAGAATTGTGTTAAAAAATGTATATTGTGTAGAGATTATCCAAATTTTTTATTTAAATAATATAAATTCTTTTAGTTTGAAGCTGATCGTCGTGCTATTATAATTACTATCAACTCATTTGGAACCGAGTTATCTAAAGATGATCGTGCTAAGCTTTACCCTCGCTGTGGTAAGTTGAATCCGGATGGACTGGCTGCACTGGCACGTGCTGATGACTATGAACAGGTTAAAGCAGTGGCTGAGTATTATGCGGAGTACTCAGCCTTGTTTGAAGGTGCTGGGAATAATGTTGGCGATAAGACGTTGGAAGACAAGTTCTTTGAACATGAGGTGAGAATTACTACATTCATAAAGAAAGATATCATATGTAGACTGATGTATCAGTATTATGTGCATTGTCAATACTCTACATTTTATTAGAATAAAATTAAATCAAATTCAGTTAAGAATTATGATAACATTTCTTTTAGACTGGTCTGTGCTTAAACCAAAAGTAATCAATTGGAAACAGTACCAATTTAACCACTTTGAAAAGGTTAATAAAAGTGTGACATACTTGAAGTAGCAGCTTGAGTTTATGTTTTATTCTATTTAGTTAAATATATAATCCTGATTTTAATATTTATAATAATCACTTCAGCAGAAGAAAGCTGACATAAAAACTAAGTTGTTGCTATATATATGTATGTATATCTTTATAAGAATGTTTGAGATTTTATAGATATATATGTATATTGATATTTAATTTTAAACTACTGTAGTAACTTTTTAACTATCTTTTAAAGAATGTGTTTATTGCTAACTGTCATGAAGTTTGGTGAACTAATGTAATATGATAAAAAAGTGTATTTTATGGATAAATAATTTAAAATATATATTTTTTCAGGTAAGCCTTAATGTGCATGCCTTTCTACAACAATTCCACTTTGGAGTCTTCTATTCATACCTAAAGCTGAAAGAACAGGAATGCCGTAACATTGTGTGGATTAGTGAGTGTGTTGCCCAAAAACACCGTACCAAGATTGACAATTACATTCCCATATTTTAATTTTCTTAAGTTTGTGTATACCTACCTATATACCTAAATGAACGTTAATTCAATTTCTTTGTATATATTACATAACAAGTATAAATAAGATGTCTACTGGTCATTTGTTTGAATGAACTTGCATATAAAAATATTTAGAACATTGTTTTTAACCAGCTTTAAGAGCAGCAGTATCATGTTATTTTCAACATTAAAATTTTATGAAAATATATTAAAATCATTTAATAAAGTGTAGGTATAGAATATTAATTATTGTATAAATATTTATGCTCCTGTAAATTTTTAATATTGGATGCAATATCTCTATTCAATATTTTTTAGGAACTGTAAATGTAATGAAAATGTGTCTCTGCCTACTTCAGAAATGAGGTGATCGTTAATAAACCAGTCCAGTAAAAACGTAAAGATGAGAGTATTGTTCCCTATTTAATGAAAGTTAAATCGATTTGCATTAAATTGATTTATTATTGTCAATCAGGCAAGTAAAAATATTACCATTAGACATTTATTGTTAGAGAACATATAAATTATAATTATTTCCAATTATTAATATAAAATTTAAATGTTATCAATAAAAATAATGGAAATGTAACAAATCTAGTTCTATTAATATTGTTCTATTTTATTGAAGGTAATTTTAGATTATATAAATGTATGCAGTAAATAAATAATTTATGTATCTTATGAAGTATTTTCATTCCATATTTTTCTAGTATACCAAAAATGCCAAAACAGCTAATAGTAACTTGACAGTAATCAGACCACTCTTCATCTTTTAACACACTACCATATCAGAAATATAAATGTAAAAATGGAAACTATGATTTCTTTTCTATGTGTTATTAGAGCTTACAAAATAAATGTTTATTATCATTGTTATTAAAGTGTTTGTTATTTCTTGGCAGATTACTCGACAATAGTTACCATGAAATTTGGTATATAAATACAATTTGCAAAGAAAAAGAACATAGGCAAACCATATAGTTTACCTATGTTATAGACGATGTCGCGGATAAAAATTAGTTATCTATATTGCAATTTTTGCCTAAAAATTATTTACCCAATAACATTATTGTTCAGTTAGCATTCGTTAAGAGTACTACATCTTTCTTTATCGTAGTTAATACAGCTTAATGTGTTAGTAGTATAAATATATTTTGTTCTAAAAAAAAAACCAACATCTAGAAACCTAAACATGGATTGGGAATATATGACAATATTTCATACTTTGGTTTATAACACAAGTGCTGCCCAATTAATTTTCGTCGTAACTGTCATATTCTTTCTCGTCTTTTTTCTATCTTTTTCAACCCAGTTACTCCCAATTACCTTAAGGAACCATTTGTATTTCTCGATGATGTGCAAAATCACGTATTACGCGTATTATATACGCTGTCAGGTTGACCTCCACGTTGACGTTGACTAGCCACTCCTCATTTCCTTCTCATATCCATTTTATGCTCTGTCTGTTTCGTTATTGTGTAAAATAATTATATAATTTGTATATAACTACTATATATATATATATATATATAAGTATATATAGAATTATTCTTTAAGTGTGGTGCAATAATGAATAAATAAAGAATTGAATTTGCCAATAAATATTTTTACACCTTACAGAAAAACAACATGGGAAAATAAGAGTGAACCATATCAATTGCATAAAGAATTATCAAAATTAATTTAGACTTGGTGACATAATCGCGTAACATAGCCATAAAAATGAAAAATGAATTTAAAATCTTTACCTTTTAGATTATTGAAAATGGTAAGATTTTATTTCTGAGCAAATATAAGAAGTTTATTGTTTGGAGTTATTCTCATACAACAATTTATTTTATTGACCAGTTGTTTCAATCTTAATAAATGTTTCAGTTCCGCTAATAAAACTTAACTGAGTAGGTATGTTAATGAAATAAATCATATAGTCTGCTTCAATAGAACTTAATAAAAATTATAAAACTATTGTCATCATATAAATTATTAATTTAACCCTGAGATCTCAGTAGTTTTTATGATTTCAGATGATATAGATTCCAATATTCAGTATGGTCTCTTTAGTCTCTTGGTTCTATTGGATCATTTTTCCTAGATAAGTGGCAAACAAGTTATTATTATAATGAAAAGAAATGAGACGGAGATGATGTGAGTACTAATGAAAATAATTCTATCACTAAATCAATAGGTTTAAATTTTATACATGTTTTCAACAACAAAAATGGAAAAATAAGAATTACTATGTCAAAGATTTATTTTATTCTGATGGCTCTTTCAGTTTTAGCTGTTCTTCAATAATATCTGTAATTGGACCTATATGTATAAAATTTTGTTTTGATGGTTTAACTGTTAATAAAGTTGAATGTTCTTTCCAGAAAATCTCTTTTAGCATGTCATCATGAATATCCACAATTACTGTATATGTTTTATTTGTATCTTGATTGTTTATAATTTTTCTAAGTAGTAATGTTCCTCTCTTATAAATATCAGGTTCATTATTGTAATTTATGTGAAACTCATTATATAATATTTCATTTTTGTTAGCTGAGACAGTGCCACATAAGCGTTTTTCTGCCTGTAAAACAGTAAAAAAATTTGATAAATAATAATATTTATAAAAACCTATTAAGGTTTTTTTACAAAAACTTTTACATAAGTTTATAATTTTATAAAGAACTGAACAGGAAAGAAGAACACTAGAAATGGAAATATTTTCTTTTCAATTGGTCATTCATAAAGAAAATTTATGAGTTTCTAAAGGTACCCACTGGCCATAGTTCTTTAAGGATGATTTAGAAAACTCTTATTTAAAATGATGTACAACATTCTAACCTGTGTGGGGCTCATATTTCCTTTTAATACAAGATTCCAAAAAGTTGTATTATATAAGTTATTTATATGAACATCTGCTTGTCTCCATTTCATGTAATCAATTAAGTTTTCATCAGATGGATACAAAATAATACGGCCATCAAATGTTGGTGGATATTTTAGATTGTATGTGCCAAAAAATTTGCTCCAATAATACACATATGATGAAGAAAATTTGCTGTTTATTGTAGTAAGTAGTTTAGATGCTCGACGATTGTACAGAGTCGTATGCTTTTTAAATATGAAAGAATATTCATCACTTTGTCCAAATGCCATTAATAAATCATGAAATTCTTTAAATACACTAAATGCAGCATAATTCATTAATCTAAGAGCTCTTATATCATTGGGTTTTGAAAAATCATGATCTTCAGAAAATTTATGAAAACATTTTCCATCGAGTCTTACAACAATCCACGAATTGGGTAATAAGGTGTCATCTAATTCAAACATTTTAACATATTCAAAAGAACTTTTTGCCATTTTGAAGGTAGTCAATTTATTACTACGTTTAATTAATATTGTTTTAAATAAAATTTCTCTATTAAAAATTAACGACATTAAAGTTAATTGGAAGTAAATAATAAATTAAAATATTTAAATTCAAATTCAGGTAGGAAGTAATAATTAATAAAGTATATTATATTGAAGAACTGTCACAACTGTATATTATATTGAAGAACTGTCACAACTGTCAAAAGAGTTTTTTTTTTCCTTTCTTATGGTACGGCACAAAGTGCATCCGCCAAAAACAAAGTTTGGGAAACAGCATTTTATTAAAGGAATCTTCAATTTTAAACATAAATATGACTATAATTATTGTTAGGAGTATGAGATGTACGACCTAATTATCTGTGTCTATCGATGACAATGTTCGTTGCTAAGCATCTTGTTGATTGTAACATTTTATTCTGCTTATTATACGTATTTTAATATTTTAATATCGCTTTCTGTTCTCCACTTTAATATGGTAGCAGAGCAAATAATAACGATATAAAATAGCCTCCTATGGAAAAATAGAACAATTAAATAAAGATAACTATGATACTTGGGCCTTACAAGCAAAAGCAGTCTTTGTTAAACAAAAGCTATGGAAATACGTAGTAACTCCAGACATAGAATATGAGGATCCTAAAATTAAAGAAGAAGACTTGCTAGCGCAGTCAGAACTCATTCTATTGATGTCTGCAGCAGAAATTAAACTAATAAAAAAATGTGCAACTGCACATGAAATGTGGCAAAAGCTCAATGATATATATTCGAGCAAAGGTCCGGCAAGAAAGGCTAGTCTATTAAAACAACTAATTTATAGATTACAAAATGGCGATGATATACGTGAACATTTAAATAAGTTTATGGATATAGTTGAAAAGTTAAATCAAATGGATATAAGTATTCATGACGATCTACTTTCAGTTATGATGCTATACACCTTGCCGCCAGACTATGAAAATTTTAGAGTAGCGATAGAATCGAGAGACACGTTACCTAAACCTGAGGATCTTAAGATCAAAATTATTGAAGAATCGGAAGCGAGAAAACATTTATCCTCTCAAGATGCAAGCACAAAATGAAGAAGTTTATTATTTTTTGCAAGATATGTAAGAAAAAAGGACATAATACTAAAAACTGTAAAAAGAAGTCATCATACTACAAAAATAAGACGAATATAAAATCAAGTCATGATAGCAAAGACGTAAATAAAAATAACATTTTTGTCTATATGTATCTAAGGAAGAAAACAAAAATGAATGGATCATAGATAGCGGATGCACTTCACATATGTCTTATGAAAGAAATATATTTCAAAATTTAGAAAACACTTGCAAAACGTTAAAATTAGCGTCTGACGATGGTGCTGCTGAAATAAAAGGACAAGGTTTAGTATGTTTACAGTTAAATGAACCTGAAAAGAAAGGAGAAATTAAATTATGTGACACATTATATGTACCAGATTTGTCACTGAATCTTTTATCTGTTGGTAAGATTACCGAAAATGGGTGTACTGTTCTTTACAAAAAATAAGGCAGTAGTTACTCACAAAGATGAAGGTGTGATTTTGAAAGCACATAGAAAAGCCGATGGTTTATACTATGTTGATGCCAAACTAAATAAATCTCAAACATGTCATTACACAGATCAAAGCAAAATTCATCACTGGCACAGGAAACTTGGTCATATGAATGAAAATGACATGAAGTTTGCTTTAAGAAATAAAAGCCTAAAAGGTTTAGAATTTGGTTTAAACGAGAAACTTGGAGATTGTGAAATTTGTATTCAAGCCAAAATAAAAAGACTACCATCTAAAGCTAATACTGTTTCGTACTACACAACGATTAGAAATCATACATTCGGACGTTTGTGGAGAGATGAAGTCTGAAACTTATGCAGGTAACAAATACTTTGTTACTTTCATCGATGATCTTACTCGGTAATATAGTCGTGTATATTGTATCAAAAAGAAAAGTGAAGTATTATACAACTTTATGTAATTTAAATATGAGATGGAAAATTATACTGGCAATAAAATAAAATGTCTTCAGTCAGACAATGGCTTAGAGTACTGTAATAATGATTTTGAAATTTTTTAAAGAAGAATGGTATAACAAGACGATTAATATATAACTCCTCACCAAAATGGTATAGCTGAAAGAAAAATATTTAGAAAAAGCTAGATGTTTAATGATAGAATCTGGAGCACCGATGACTCTATGGGGTGAAGCTATATTATACATTTCGAATAGAAGTATAAATAAAAGTATTGACAACTTGACACCGTTTGAAAAATGGGTCGGAAGAAAACCGTCTTTAAATCATTTTAATGTATTCGAATAAAAGCGTACATGCTTCTCAAAAATAAACAAAACAGAAACAAATTTGAAACAAAAGCCATTCCTGGTATGTTTGCAGGATATTCTGAACGATCAAAAGCTTTTAAAATTTGGGTACCTACAAAAGGTAAAATTATGATTTCAAAAGATGTAAATTTGTTGATAAATTTTTCTATAAAGAAAACTTTAATTCAAATAAATCAGCAAATAAATTACAACTGGTTATGTAGATCTGCTCTTTGATAATATTGAGAAATTAGAAGAGAGAGATAAAAAACAAACTATAATCAATGAAGAGAACATTGACCCAAATGAAACTGAAAGCGAATATGAATCGATTAACAATGATTTTGAGACAGATGATGAAAGAAATATCGAGCTGGTAGAAGAAACAAGACCTTCGGAAAGCCAAGCTGAAACAAATGATGAAGAGACACATGAAGAAGTTCAATCAGAAGTTAAACGGTCACTTCGAAATCGTAATTATTTACGAGCGCCTACAAGATTTGACGACTTTGTGATGACTGCTTCTGAAGAGGTAATGAACTCACAAAAAGAACCTGAAACGTACAATGAAGCAATGAAAAGTAAAGATAAAAAGAAATGGCTTGAAGCGATGCTGAGTGAAATGACTTCTCTAGAAGAGAACCAAACCTGGGATATGGAGCTACCTAAAGGTAGTAAATAAAATCTTTTTTAATTTATAAAAAAAAACGAATCCTGATGGAAGTATTGATCGATATAAATAGGTTAGTTGTAAAAGGTTTTTCACAAAAATGGTGTGGATTATGATAAGACATTTAGCCCAGTTGTCCGCTTGAGTACAATTAGAGCAATGCTAGGAGTAGCTGCAAAAGAAAATTTATCTCTTTGTCAATTCGACGTATCCACAGCATTCCTCAACGGATCAGTTGAAGAAAAAATATTTATAAAACAACCTGAAGGTTATAACGATGGTACAAATAGGGTCTGCCGTTTGAAAAGAAGCCTATATGGACTTATATATACGTTGCTGGAATACTTGTATACATGAGTTTTTAATAAATTCTAAATTCATACAAAGCCAGTCTGATCCTTGTTTATACATCAGAAAGAATGGCCTGTCGAAAGTGATTATTGGATTATATGTTGATGATGGATTGGTAGCGTCAACATCAGAGAAAGAAGGAAAGAAATTTCTTGAAGAGTTACAAAAACGCTTTAAGATTACGACAAAAAAGTTATTTTGAGAGGACTCGAACTAGAAAGATCTAATGATGGATATATAACATTAAGTCAGAAAGCCTATACAAAGAAATTACTAGAAAAATTTCGCATGTCTGACTGCAAACCGGCTTTAACACCAATAATAAAAGAAAATAGTCAAGATACGTCTCTAGATGAAAGCGAATTTCCTTATCGCCAGGCAGTTGGAGCACTGTCATATTTAATGGTAGGGACAAGACCAGATATCAGTTACGCAGTGATGTTGCCTCCAGAAATTTAGAGAAAACCAACGAAACGGGATGTTATTGGAGTAAAAAGAATACTTCGCTACCTGAAAGGATCAGTAGATTAATATTTAAGACTGATATCACAGAAATTTAAATTGTTACAGTGATGCTTATTGATCAAGAAACTTGTCACTCTACAGGAATAATATTTTAGTTGGAAAAGTCAAAAACAAGGAATAGTAGCCTTATCTTCGACAGATGAACTTATAGCTGCTAGTGAAGCAACACAGGAAATTATTTGGCTAAAAGAGTTACTATCTGAATTAACGGAGCTAGACAAGCAACCAGTTCTCTATGTGGACAATGAATCTGCAATAAAATTAGCTCACAACCCTGCATATGAATATCATAAAAGGACAAAGCATATCAAGCGCAAGCATTTTTATGTCAGGGAATGTGTAAAGGACGGGCATCTATTAGTGAAGCATGTCTCATCGGAACATCAATTAGCCGATATGTTCACGAAGCCACTCTACAGACCAAGATTAGAAGAACTGTCCTCACGCATTGGAATTAGCAGCAGCTATAAATAGTATCGGGATCAAAGAGATGAGATTAGATATACGACCTAATTATCTGTGTCTATCGATGACAATGTTCGTTGCTAAGCATCTTGTTGATTGTAACATTTTATTCTGCTTATTATACGTATTTTAATATTTTAATATCGCTTTCTGTTCTCCACTTTAATAATTATTAACTTTATTTTTAAAGAATTTGTCCAAAAGGTGTATCGGATAATTTGTGATAAGCGACTGATAAGGTAAATCGGGTGTGGGCGGGTTTTATAGCGGGGCAGGTAGCGCAACTCGTGGATACCTTATGGAGCAATTTTTTTTATTTTCCCTGACGCCCAATTAAAATGCGTCATTAAATCAGCACTTAAGTTTTTTTTAAGGGTATTCATATTAAAAGAAAGCATAATTCTTCAGCTTTTGAATGACATATCATTTTTATAATTGACATTTGTCGTTTTAGTAAAATCAATGCATATTTGCGCCGTCAAGGGTTGAGTCGATTTGGTTGCTCGCGAGTGTATAATAAACTGTAATAAGATTTTGTTTTGTTAGGTACATTTAAAACCATGATAAATGATGATTTATTTAAGGTTTGAAAATAAATAAAAATGGCAACCCTAATAATGTATTAGTGTTAGTTTTTTTTTTATGGGTGAAAATGGAATGGTAACTCCGCTTGCGCTAACGGGATATACTGGCGGAGCACCAGTCAAGGGTGATAGATGATGCTTGCATTCTTTCTACATAAACTGTGTCGAATATATAACTAGTAATGTAAAATTTTTCATTGACTGATACATTTGGCATATCAAACATTTTTTATACACTAAACTGCTATGAATTGAGAAACACAGCAACTGATGATCTTTCATCTTCTTCTTACTAACTATATTTGCATAAGAAGAAAGGAAGCAACCATATGATTTAAAATTTTTATTATTCCTTCTATGTAATTTCTTGTTCTTGGGTATTAGTTATATTTAAATGTTTTTATGAGAAATAAAAGGAACCTAAGGAATTTAGATTAGAGGATTCAGGATGGGTTAATAGGAATAAAATTGATGTGAGAAAAGGAAGTTGTAATAAGTTTGGTTTGTTTTTTTTTTCTCACGTATATGACGGTTCTTATAGGTATAGAGTAATATTTTGAATTATTGACATTAGAGTTAGTGTCTAGAAATATATAATCAGTTACATGAAAATATTTAGAAAGCTACCTATTTAAATACAATACATAATATAGTTATTATATTTAAGACTTACATATAACGCAATTAAAAATGTTGCATTTACGCTTTCCAAATATTTTGCGTAACATCTTTTCTCAAGGTAATTTTTTTGTACATGAGTATTTATGAATATGATCATGATCACAAAATAGTTTAATACATTCATAATATTGTCTTCACTAGACTTAAACTTATTTATAATAGTACTTATAAATAATAGTTAAAGATAGGGGGGAAAGGGGTCCCTTTTCTCCATTCCGCCTGTACTATATACGCTGGCAGGGGCACCAGCGACGGATGGATGATAGATGACGATGAAAGCAGGTCAGTTAGCCCATCGTGACGAATTCCACCAAAATTAACCACAATGGTTTCCAGGGGGAGCCCCGTGTTGGTCAACCTGAAAAGGTATATTGTTAGCAATGGGGCCTCTAGTCCCATTACTAACAATTCCTTTTCCCCCCAAGCATATAGCGTTAGGTGTAAATAATATCTATTTTTAATTAATAAAAAAGAGGATGGGAACTACTCATAATAGGACTTCAACAAAATTTATTTAAGACAATTTATATTTGTTATTAATTAATGAAGTACTAAGTAGAATTCTAAGTTTTCGATGCTATTGTATACTTGTTAGTACTTGGTACACCATGTATTATGAGTAGATAAGTGCTATATTCTTTATATATAAATTTGTACTTTTAGGGTTTTTAGTAACCAATTCTCAATCACTTGGATATTCAAATGATTCTAAATCTTACAAGGATGAGAATAGTGATAATCCAAAAAAGGAATCTCAAAGAATTGCTGAATTTCGAAAAAAATTGAGAGAAACTACACCTATTAATGATCTTGGTGAACAGCCATTTATGCATCCAGCACAAAAAGAGGATCCTTTGCCACCTTTTCCAAATAATACAAATCCGAAGACTGGAGAAGTAGGTGGCCCAAGAGGACCAGAACCAACTAGATATGGCGATTGGGAGAGAAAAGGAAGAGTATCTGACTTTTAGAGATTATATTTAAAAATGAAGAAATATTGTTCAATTGCTTATTAAATTATATTTTATTTTAAAAAATATTGGCTGTGACCACATTAAGAGCATTATTCATATAAGTGGCAGAAGCAGATAGTTGAAAACCAGTAACAGTGTATTAGGATGTGTAATAATTACCTAGGCTTATTTTCATGGTATTTACAAGTGATATTTATTTTGAATTATTATAATATATCTTCAAAGAGATGATTGTGTTAATAATAAATGTTAGTTTATGTAAATATTTAATTTTTTATTGTGTATTTGAAGCTTTTCCCATAGTTTTAGGCATTTTTTTATTGGTTGAATCTTCTAATTCCTTAGACTTGTAGTAATGAGGTGCAACTTCTAGCAGCCATTTGCTTTCTATTTCTGTGACTTGTCTCATAAATTCTTTGGAGGTGAACACTAGCTCATGGTATATTACCCAGCGTGGTAATTCTTCAAATAGAGCACTATTTGGATGAATCATTACTGTCTGTAAATTGTAATACAAAATATCAGTTAGCTAAATGTCTCTGTAGGAGTCTGATACAAACAAAATATATAAGTAATCTTGAGTTGACATTTCAATGCCTTTCTTAGCAATTCCCTAATTTTGAATGGTAAACTGTTCCATTATTGATGGATGTAACTGTGTTGGAATTCTTAAAAAAAGTATTATGTGAAGGTGTTTTTAAAAGTAGTCATGTTTGTGAATAAAGTGGTTCATTTCTGAAATACAAATATTCAACAAGCTCACAAAGTTAACAAAAAAATGTATAGATAATGTAAGATGTTGTAAAGAAGTATGAGTATACGGACATTTAGTAAGAGTAACCACTTCTTCGAAGTTTAAACATAAGGAATGCATAAATTTAGCTTTACGTGATAATTTTTATTTATTTTTTATTATTATTATATCAGCCATTAACTATACATTGCTGAATTTAGGCCTTCCTATTGATTGCTTTTGTAAATAGACGTCACATTTGTCAGGAGAGTTGCAAACTGCAATTAGGCTTTGGTGGTATTTTAAGAGGGACACATCTGCCCACTCCTTGACCGTTAAATTACCTTAGTCTTTTTTTTCATATGCACAACGGCTCAAATGAGAGGCTAAGCACGGAAAAGAGTACAATTTACATTACTTTAGTCACCTCTTACAACACCCACGAGAAAGAAACAGGTGGCCAATTCTATGCAAGGATTACACAGCTTGATACATCCACACAAAGTGATAATTTAACAGCCACTAAATAGTAAAAGGCACTATACAGTATATATATTAAGACTTACTTGGTTATGTTTGACAGTTTTATAGTGTCCACCTTTGGAAAATTTGGCAATATGGTAGAAATATCCTGCAGTAATAGCTTTTCGTATATTTGAATCCTCAGCAATACTGGACACCATATCAATTTCAACTCTCTCCATGAGTCCAGCTAGTTGTTCGCGAACATCGCGAGCCCGTTTCATAGATCTATATTGAATGAAATTCTCATAGCACCATTGAACTGAGTAATCAGAATCTACCCATTGGTTGTAAACATTCATTAACGTTAAATGATCACCATTGCGATGAAAAAAGTTTTTTCTTGCAGTATCTGCATGAATTATCTTATCTTTTGGTCGGTAGAAAACTGAACTGTTTACTGACAACATAGCAGCAATTGTGACAATTTCTTCTGAACATTTGTATCTGTAAAATTCAATAATTTGTTAAGATTTCTGCAAAATTATTTTTTTATATATGTATAGTTAGAAGTATATATACACAGTATAGAATAATCATGCCAGAAATGCATAAATATTTATCAAATTTAATTTGAATACTTACTTTTCACTAGCTAATAGCATCTTAGCTAACATAGGATCAGTAGGAAATTCTGCCATACGTCTACCAGCTTTAGTTAGTTCGCCATGGTGATTAAGAGCACCAAGTGCATACAATTGTTCCAAAGCTAGAACTAAAGTCTCATGTGGAGGGGGGTCTAAAAAATCGAAATGAATAAGATCATTGATTCCTAATGCTTTTAAAGTAAGAACAGCGTTTCCTAAATTTATCCTTTGTATTTCTGGGACAGTATTATCTTCAAGTTCATACTTATATGCCCAAGCTGTATATAGTCGGAAACATTTTCCTGGCGCTACTCTTCCTGCTCTACCTGCTCTTTGGTTAGCTGAAGCTTTAGAAATTGGAACTACCATTAGACTCTCCATACCTGTTTTTGAATTGAAGTTATTTTGCTTTGCAAAGCCTGGATCAATTACATAAATAATATTATCTATAGTCAATGATGTCTCAGCAATATTTGTTGCTAAAACAACTTTGCGAGCTCCTTCAGGAGTAGGTTCAAAGATTTTAGCTTGCATATCACTAGGCAAGTTAGCATACACTGGCAATATTATTAATTCTCTTAATTTTTTACCTATTCTTTTTGTTCTTTCTTGTAACATTTCTACACAAGTTTCTATTTCTTCCTGACCTGTAAGAAATACCAATATATCACCAAGGGGCTGTGTAGCATGTATCTGTAAAACTGATACTACACTGGCATCAACATAATCTGCTTCGGGAGCTTTAGTATAGTAGATATCTACAGGAAATCTTCGCCCAGGAATTCTGAAAATAGGTGCATCATCAAAGAAATTGGAAAATTTTTCTGCATCTAATGTTGCACTGGAAATAAGTAGCTTTAAATCAGGTCTAAATCTAGTTATGTCTTTAACAAGTCCAAATAGTATATCTGTATGTAGTGTACGCTCATGAGCCTCATCTATAATCATAACAGTATAAGATGCCAGATCTGGTTCTGATAAGAACTCTCTATGTAATGTTCCATCTGTCATATATTTTATAACAGTTCTATCAGATGTACAGTCTTCAAATCGTATGCTGTAACCAACTTCATTACCAAGTTTGACATTCATTTCTTGGGCTACTCTTGCTGCTACTGACATGGCAGCGACTCTCCTTGGTTGTGTACAACCAATTTTTTTGCCATCTTTTGTAAAACCAGCTTCATGAAGGTACTGGGGAATTTGAGTTGTTTTACCAGAACCTGTTTCACCTTCTACAATTAATATCTGATATTTTTTTATAGCTTCTATTAAAGATTCTCGGAATGGATAAACAGGTAAAGATTTTTTTGTTTCTTCAATAGTCATTCGAATTTTTTGATATTCAGATTTCTCTTTTTCTTCTTCTTGGTCTTTAATACCTTCCAATTGCAAAGCTTGTATAAAATCAATTTGCTCATCCAGTAGTAATTCATACTCATCTTGTGATTTTGCATCTTTTGCTCCAAATTTGAAAAATGCTGATTTGATTTGTTCTTGTTCCCATTTTCTTTGCTCAGAATGTGGTAACTTTTCATTTTCATCAACTTCTATATATTCTCCTGTAAGTAATTAGAATTATTAAATTATGACCAATGAATGGGCAAAATAGATGAATGAACATGAAGCAGAAGCACTCAAAATGTTAACACATATACTAACGATATCATTTGTATGTATTAGCCATACATATATGTCCCTCAACTAAATGAATTTAACATTAATCAAAAGGGATAATGTTACTATAGATTATATTTGTTTAATATGAAGCATATTATCTTCTTATAAAATAATCTATTCCATATGGATATGATAATAAGTTTTTTTTATTATATATATTATTGTATTTATTTTTATAAGTTTTTATTGGTTTAAATTAATTTGAAGAATAAAATCAAGCTTATTATTATTATTATTATTTTAGATATTATTTTAATTATTATTTGAAATATTTAACTGAGAAACATTATTATATGATCTAACTTTTTAAACTGTTAAACTATTACCTTTTTCCCCTTTTCCTAAATCTCGTGGCATATGATATCTCTGCACATTTTCCAATTCACGAGCTTTTTCATGTTCTTTAGCTAATTGTAGTATTGTCTTTTTATGTTCTCGTTCTCTTTTCTCTCTTTCTGTTAAACTGAAATTAAGTGAGTGATAAGTACTCCGAGTTGTTGTCTCTATGGGTATGCATAGAGTTGAGCACAAATTCTTACAGACATCTCTTAATATATGTATTAAGTACCTCATGTATTATGCCAGTCTTATAATATTAATTAAGCAGAATCATATTACCCATTAATACAACAATCATTACTAACTTCCTGGTGCCTTTGGGGATCAACAATAAATTATCTCGAAATTAAGTATAAATATATTTGAGATGGAGAAGGAAATGATAAATTAAAATATTTTGATCACATAAATAATGTGATAGGTAAAAAGTATTAAAAAAAAATTATTAAGGGTTTACCCTGAATTAGTTTATGATGAGGAGGGTGAGACAAGGGGATTCTCAGTTATCTCATTTGAGGATAGAAGGGATTTGTAAAAAACCCTATAGAGACGAATGGGAATCTTGTATCCCCAAGTCACAAAAAAATTTAAGTGCAAAAAAATTTAAGAAAATGTATTAATTATGATATATTTTTATAAGCAATAAAAAGTTTTCACTCAAAAGTTATTTTTAAGAATTAAAACACTGATATTGAATGTTTTTTTATTAGGATATATATAAGGGTTTCCTAAACTTTTAAGATAATGAAGCACCCACCAAATCTTTTATTTTATGTAATTTAAAAAGGGTGTAAAATTTATATCCAAAATATTTTAAAAGCTAAACACTATTCTTTATTTTAACTTTTAATGTAAAGATATTGCATAATAAAATTGTGAAACCCTGGGCATTTTCTACAAAAGCACTGGGAATTGTTGATATAGAACCTAGCGTAAATTAATAGTTATTTTTAATTATTTGTAAAATTTCTTACATGCTCTCATCAAATAAATATTCATCATCAGCTATATCTGCTTCTAGTTCTATAACCTTATCTTCTTTTCTTTTTCCTAAATACTTGCGTCGCGACTGGATACGCAATTTTGGTAATATTTTATCCCTGTCTTCTGTTTCAAGTTTTAATCTTTTCGCGGCCTCTTCATATGATTTTTTGCTGGATGATTCGTTTACTTTTTTTACCTTTTCCTCATCTCGTTTCTTTAGCCTTTTTGCAAACTCATCACGTTCTTTAATATCTTTTAAACGATTTTCTTCAGCACTTCCAGAATCCGAAGAATAACGCCGTTTGCTAGATTTACTCATTTTATGATATTGTTAGTAAATAATAATGAAAAATATGAAAGATGACTTTTGACAGAGGTGCACTTATAAAATGAACTAAAGATATGGGAAAAAGTTACTGAAGTAACGTATAATATTAGCAAAAAAAAAAACTGTATACGGAACTGGATTTTTTATTATTTAAATAATATATATTACTTTATTGGCTGTTTGTTGTTGATTTAATTGAATGAATGTAAGGAAAATGAATACAGATTAGACAAGTCAATAATGACAATGACAGCCACTGTCATTGTGTCGGATTTTTATTACGATTAATTGGCTATTCCTTGTTCTTGGGAATTGGCTTTAAGGTCATATTACATATGCTTGCTTCATAGCAACATTTTTGAATTGATGGAATGCAAAAATCCATATAAAAACGCATCCAACATATAAACAATGCGTCGAACTTGATTATTCACTTTTGCATTAACAGAATCGAATATATATGAATTGTGTAATTGGCCAATTGAACTATAATTGAAAAAAACAATTAATATTATAGAAAGATTGGGTGGGCCGTGTACATTCTAAAATTATTTGGTCCCCTAGAATAAAGAACGGAGCTTTTAACTATATAGTAGGGAAGTCTAATAGGAGATTTTGGTATTTATTCAAGCTCGGCAGACATAATGAGCCAATGACATAAGGAGGATACTTTACATACTACACTGCTCTATGTTGCGCCAATTCACTTCCCTGCGCTGGATGTGTAAATTTTTTAAAAATGAGTTTGTGTAAAGCGCTGCACAAATTAGAGAGACTATGTCTATAGAGTGTAGTATCGGGAAATTGTTAAAAAACTGAAAAGGGCTGTGGGCTTGAAGAAATGTGGTTGATCAATTGATACTTGTAAACTGGTTTTGTTTTTTTTTTTTCAATGGATGATAATGGAATGGTAACCCCGCCTGCGCTAACTGTATACGCTGGCAAAAGGCCAGCGTATACCGTTAGCGCAGGCGGGTCAGTTAGCCCATTGTGACGAATTCAACGATAAATTAATCAAGATGGTTTCCAGAGGGAACCGCGTGGAGGTCGACCTGATGGGGTATATTGATAGCAAAGGGGACTAACCTCTCCTTTACTAACAATCCCTCCCCCCCTACTTGTAAACTGGTTGTCTACCATGAAATAAAATTCCGAATTTTCGGGCTCAATTTCGTGGTTTTTGTTCGTACCGATATCAACCAGTAAATGGAGCTTAACATTTCGTTCATCATAAATCCTATCCTAATAGGTCAGGGGAACGATATTTTAACATTTTTAATAATTTTAAACGACATGGATTATGTAATATTAACATCAAATTTCTGTTTCGTACGTCTCCGAAATTTCAGAAAATATTTCGTGATAGGCCCTCTGTATAGGCGGTATATATAAATGCAATAATATATAACATATATAGCAAAACAAGTTATCTTGTTTTGCTATATATGTACAATCTTGAATGAACTTGTTCATTCTTGAGTTCTTTCAAAATCTTGGCACAAACTCAATGGGACAGCGCAGTGACGCCTGAGTTACTGAGTTGACGCAAAAGTGATTACTTGCTCTGAGACAGTTAGATTTTTTTACGGAAACTGTCCATGAACATACGTGTGCACAATAATATATTAAATAAATATTGTGTACGTGTGCGCAAAATGCCGTTAAAACCCTAGGCTTTTCTGACCTTTTCACTTATTTAAACTAAAAAATTGAATTTTCATTGTATATCGTAAATTGCAAGATGTACTTATATATAATAGACGGGAGGAGGAAGGGATTGTCAGAAATGCGGACTACCAGTCATATTGCTAGCAATATACACTGTCAGGTCGACCTTCACGTAGTTCCCGCTGGAAACTATCGTGCTGAATTCCAGATATATTTATCACGATGAGCTAATTGACCTGCTTTTTCATTTTCACCGATCATTCCTCACTGGTGCCCTGCCAACGCATACCGTTAGCACAGGCGGGGTTGCCATTCCATTATCATCCATTAAAAAAAATTTAATTGACATGGCTTGTGTACTGAAAGTATGCAAATCGCATTCATCGTGTGAAGTACCTAATTGGAAAATTAAATTTTCAAGCAATGGCGCGGTGTAAATTCACAGTGCGTATTTTCTATCCTAAGTAGGTACTTCCAGGTATTTATTTTTCAACCGATTTAAAAAAAGAAGGAAATTCTCAATTCGGTTGTATTTTTTTATGTTTTTACCTCAGAACTCTATCATTTATAAATGAACTAGCGACCCTGAGCAATACTAATACTAAATAGCGCCGCCAGCCCTCCGCCGGTACTGTCGCAACCGCTATGTCCCTGCATTTTAAATTTGTAATATCTTCGAAAATATTTATTTAAATTACATTCTGTAAAGGGCCATATTGATCTATATTCAATACACAATGTATTTAAGATACTTAATTGAATAAGAATTATTGTTGTATTGTTTCTCGTAAAAAGTAAAGGATAAAAATGGTTATTGTGGGTTATCTTTAAGAGATAGACATATATCATTCCGGTCTTTTTTTTAGACCTTCTTAAGGTGTATAATACTGTAGTACATTATTTTGATCTATCTCGTAGGCTTCAGCCAGCGTTGGCAATGTAATCATAAAAAAATGTTTTTATTTACGACGTTACATTAGAAACCTCTAAAATTATCAGTGTTTCTCTTCTATATTTATTTACTTCTATAGTTACGTAGTTTTAAAGATCTTAGCATACATAGGGACAGGCCGACGGGAAGCGACTTTGTTTTAAACTATGTGGTGATTTGGAAACAGTAGTTTGGTTAATAAATCAAAATTATTGCTTTTACCACGATTCAAGTCGGTTTATATTTTTTTGTAGAAAAAAAATATGAAATCCTTAAAAAAATATCACTATGACAGGTATTTTGATTGTAAGTTTTGTCAAAACATACTTACTTGAAGGATTATAGTGAATCATCTTTCATTGCCTATTTGAATATTATTGAAATTATCTATAAATTGACGGAAAAGAATAAATATGTTAATGCTATTAAGAAAATACAACATATTTAGATCTTTATTGTGGTAGGTACATAAGTTGTATATTACTATAATATATGTATACGCGTATTTTTACTATATGTATAGCGATTTAAAAATCTGGATATCCTAAAAATTTCAAATTTCATTCCCTAAACACTCCAATATATTTTATTTCAAGACTGAATGTTATCCAAATTATTTGTTATTTTAACCGATGATTTTATCACAAAAGAGGTAAAATCAGTCAAGCGTGAGTTGAATTCACGAGTCGATAGTTCCGTTCATTAAAATAATATTTTGCCCATTACAATTCGGAGTATCTTATTTCGGACAAATTATGCTATAACTGTGTTTAAAAATTAGACCATATAAGTTTGGAGGTTTTTTAAAGTTTGTTTTAAAAAATTGTAGTTATTTCATATTTTTTTGATTCACATACTTTGGAGGGAAGGTGGAATAAATTTCCTATCACATTTTCTATTACGATGATTTACAGGGGTCAACCAGATAGGGTATATTACTAATAATCCGTTAATTCCTGTTTATTAACAATTTCGTCTCCCCATTAAGAGTTTTGGATTCTCTAGTACAAAAAAAAAAAAGAAATCAATTATTTCCTATGTTATGTGGGTAATAATATCTAAAATTGTACGTTTCAAATCAATAGTATTAATGAGTAATTATAGCGTAGTGATAGAGGGTCGGGTGGACGACAAAGTAGTAAGGGTTCCTTGGTGGTACGAAGGTTTTGGTATGGAACCCTAAAAAAAGTAGGCTTGAAAAAAAATCATAGATGAAAACTTACAATTCTGGCAGAAATTTTTGTTACTTGGTGCCTCTCTTTTATTATCTAGTTGTTACTACCTGAATACTTCTTTTTAGTGTTACACCTGGGTCAAAAATTGACAAAAAATATATTGGCACGTCTCCGAAAATAAAAAATGTACTCAAAAGTTATTGGAAACTTGTAGAAAATAATATAACTTTTATAAGAATTCATGGAGCACCAGTAGACCAGGTTAGAAATTTCTCAAAAAATCATAAGGTATTCCAGTAGACTATATCATTAGGTATTTGGATGAAAATGTAATGGCAACTATGTCTGCGCTATCGATATATACTGGCGGGGCATCAGTGAGAGATAATAAATGGGGATGAAGACAGTTCAGTCCGCTCATTATTATTAATTCACCAGAAATTAATCACGATGTATTCCAAGGGGGATTGCGTGAAAGTCAGCCTAATAGAATATATTTTTAGCAATGGATTTTTTTTAATGGGTGATGATGGAATGGTAACCCCGCCTGCGCTATCGGTATACATTGGCGGGGTACCAGTGAGAGGTGATAGGTGAGGATGAAAAGGCAGGTCAGTTAGTCCATCGTGAAGAATTCAACGATAAATTAGTAACGACAATTTTCAGGGAGAACCGCGTGGAGGTCGACCTGATAGAGTATATTATAGCAATGGGGTGGGGACTAACCTCCCCATTACTAACAATACCTTCCCCCCTAGCAATAGGATTATTAATTGACATTACTAACAGTCCCTCCTCCTCAGTCGATTATGGTTAGCTCCAGGTTAAGATAAGGTTGTGGGATGATGAGAGATTGAAAGAATTGTATAGTAACTGTGTAATTATCAGACAGAAAAATTATTGGAATCAGAAGCGTCTTAGTTTTTAGGAATGAAAACTCACGAAGGGTACTAAAAGTGGCACAGTGTGTACTCCAGTGTACAGCAACCTTCTTCTTTTTGTACTCAATTGAAAATATATTTGTTACTTATATATGTTTAGATAACTAATGATATAGATCTGACTAACAAGACATGTCTTATTACTGGAGCGAATAATGGCATCGGTTTGGAAATGACAAAATGTTTAAATTCTAACGGTTGCAATGTACTAATGGCGTCTCGGAATAGTTATGCAGCTAACAACATTATTAAATACGTGGTAGAAAAGAATGATCTGCTACGATTTTATGATATTAATCTCGCTTCTCTTAAGTCAGTTAAGAACTGTTGCAATGCAATATTGAAAAATGAACAGTAAGTCATATTTATTATAATAAATATATAAGGATATCGTAACAAGTACGTACCTATATATATATATATATATATATTTAGAACTTTGTTATTTATAAACTGATTTGGGATTTTTTTTATTAGATAGGTTATACTTTCTGATTGGATAGAAATTTCATTAAAAACGGCTCAGCAATTTAGTTTTTTAATTAAAAAGAACTGGTTTATGATTATCATCATATCATATCAGTCGTTAATTGTCTTCTGCTGAACACAGGCTTCTACTATAAGATGAGGTTTTGCTAGTAGTTGCCACACTTGGCAGCTGGGTTGGCAACCACAGTTACGCTTATGGTGATATTTTAAGAGGGATGCTGTTGTCCATCCCTCCACCATTAAGTGCCCTAAGTCGCTGTTATGACACCCATGGGAAAGAAAGGAGTGGTCCATTCTACGTCAGTACCGTATGGCTATCAATAGTCAATTTAATTGAGGATTATGGTTATAATTATGTTTAATTCAATTTTGCCACGATTAAAGTCGGTGGTTGATCTAATGATAGGGTATTTTTAATGAATCATAATGGAATGGTAACCCCGCCTGCGTTAACGGTGGAGGGGCAACAGTGAGGAAAGATAGATGAGAATGATTTAGATGATGAGATGTCATTTAGTCCATAGTGATGAATACATTTAGAATTCAATACGATGGCTTCTAGGGGGACCATGGGGAGGTCAACCGGAAACAATATATTGGAACTGGTAGTCTGCATTACAAACAATTCCCGACTTCCCCCCTGACGACAGTGTAAATTGTTAGCAAGGGGGGTTGCTAATCTTTGTTTTGCTTAACAAATACCAAAAGAAATGTTAACGTAGGCTGACGTATTAAGTTTTGTTGGATGGATTATACAGAATGAAATATAATTTGTATAAAGTGACTTTTGTACACTATTATTATTTTTCTATTTTTGTGTTAGAAAAATTGATATGGTTATTTTAAATGCTGGAGTATTTGGTTTGCCATGGACTCTTACTGAAGACGGACTAGAAACAACATTTCAAGTCAATTACCTTAGCCAGATCTACTTATTAATGAATATTGAAAAGTTGCTTACACCAGATGCCAGGGTCATATTCGTGTCGTCCGAGTCTCATAGGTCTGTATAAAAGATTGTATTGTACCTATGAGTTACGACAACATATTATTATTTTCTTTAAATACATATTATACGAGTTTAAATATGAAGGACAGCGATGTGAGAGGATATGTATGATGTTCTTACATGGATATGAATGTAGTATAAATCTGTCGTCTGATGGCATAGATGATTTCTATGCCATCCCTACCAGCATATAGTGGGGCTATTATTTAATTTTCACTCATAAAATAAAATCATAAATGTATTTTATTACCGACATATCCAATTGTAAATTTTAAAATAGAGGTATTATCTAACTCTATTATAAAGTATGCAGTGTGTGAAAAAGTGCTGTTTGTGAAGAGTGGTGTTAAACTAAGAATAAGGACTAAATATGTTTATTTTCAAAACTCAGCTATTGTATTTGTTGTTACCTTCTGTCAAATTGTATGCTGTTCTAACACTAACATTTTATGATGTCATAAAATAATGAATAGATACATGTACCTATTACCAATTTAAAAATCAGGTGATATTTTAAAAACTTTTTTAAGGATAATACATTTATTTTAACATATCACATAGTAAGCCATAATATTCAGAATACCCTCTTGACATTATATAAATTAGGACAATAATAAATTTAAACCGTTGTAATTCTAATTAGGCAATTATCACGTTAATATTTTTGAATAACCTAGTTACTAAGTTTTAATTCTATAAATGACATCTAATCAGTAACATAATTAAATGAATTTGAAGTTTAATAAATCATAATGATACTTTCTAATTATAAATGAAATTGAATATTCTATACTTAGTAAAACTACACAAGGACCGATTTCTTCCCTTCTCTTTCTGTCGAGCGACTGACTAAAAAACCGCCTTTAGCTCGTTGTCTAATACTTGCTTCCCGCTTATGGCGTGGCGGATGTTGTAGTGGGGAAAAATTAATCAATTTCTTACTGTTTTTTTACACGACGATAACAATTGGATACATTTTATTTCGTTGTAATGTCTATAGTAAAAATATATACTGAAGAGCCACATAATTTGACAGTGCTCTGCTGCATGTACCGACCTTAACCGTCGCTTTTTATTTTATATACATATACTTAAACAACTTCAGGAACGTGAATTGGACTTTACATAATACTTTGGCGCCAACTGAAGATCTAGTTTCACTTCCGAAAAACAAGTATACTTCTATAAAAGCGTACAATATATCTAAGCTTTGTGGTATTCTGGCAATGCACTACTTGGGATATCGGTGGTTGAACACTGGCAAGGCAGTTTTCTGCGCACACCCAGGCACTTTTGTGAAGACCAGTTTATGTCGCAACTAGAGATGGGCAATCCACCTGGGTGGGTTTAAAGTCTGGTGGGTAAAAACCGGGTGTTTTGGGTTTATTGGGTTTAAACCCCATAATCACCCAAATTTTTGGGTGTTTATGATTTTGTACTTCATCATCGTCATCTCAGCCGCAAGACGTCCACTATACTGGACATAGACAATATTATTATGCAGCCTACAGAATAAAAAACTTTTAATTTGATTTTGAGTTTATTAAGAAAGAGATGAAAGTAAAATGTAAAACTACAGTAAATCACTGTCAGATTCAGAGTTATTACAATCGATGAATTGTATAGGTTCGATAGGCTATATTTCGTCTAAACTGTTATGTTCATTTACTTGCTCAATGAAAGCTTCTAAGGTATTTTCTTCATTAAACTGAATGTCCTCGCATTCAGCTTTATGTTTAAGATTCCAGTTTAACAAATGAATGAAATTTTTTCAGTTCTTTCAGTTGTAAGTCGATTTCTTTTGTTATTATGTATGTAGCCACTAAAGGAACGCTCAGTGGCTGCCGAAGTACAGGGAGCTGATAGAATACGAATCGCTACTTTGCTTAACTCAGTGGAACCACAAATACTTTTCCACCATATTAGGGGCTCAATGCTATCTAATGAGCTCCATACAAATCCTCTGGCCCAAAAGTTTTCTTTAGCTTTATAACACGCCAAATCTGCCATTACATTTGACAAACTTAAGTGTTGGCTTAAATTGTAGATAAACTCCATACCCTTAAGTTCTTCCTCTTGAGTAAGTTCGACTCCTAGAGTCCTGGGGTCTAGAATATATGATGCAAAATGTATTGGCCTCATTGCCATATTGCATCTTGAAGATACTGATGTTAGAATCTGATGTTTGCTTTCTTCGCTCAATGTCGAAATCTCATTTAATGCAAAACGTATCTTAGCTTGTACATCTCTAAATGTAATGTATGTGCGATGCAAACGATTCTGGTCGCTCTCTAAGTAAAATATGCTTTCAGTGACTGGTTCCAAAATACTTATACATGCCCCTGTCTTCGTCCAGAAATCATCACTTAGAATTAAATCTTTAATATCTCTTGAAATTACCACATCTTCTCTAACTGTTAATATTTGCAAAGCTATCTTATTTGCTTTCAAACTTTTTAACGAAGTAACATGACTTCCCCATCTTGTAGCACAAGGCAATTTTAGTGTTTGTGTATAATCTTCACCCTGCCTTGATTTTATCAACAAGGAACTTAATCGTTGACTCCTTTTAACAGTTTTTATTATATTTATGGCTTGCATAATAAACACAGTTTTCTTGTATCTTTACAATATCTTGGCACAACAAGTTAAGGATATGTGCACAGCAACCGAGAGGAACAACATGTGGATATTTGAGTTTTGTTAATTGGAATGCCTTTTGTATATCTAGCGTTATCGCCAATAAGTACAAGAAACTTATTTGCTCCATACACTTTCATTACTTTTTCAACTTCTTGGCTAAGGTATTCACTAGTGTGAGGATTACTTTCTGTATTCAAACTTTTAACGTATGCAGGTTGAGGTTTTGATATACTCGTAAGAAAGTTTATTATTCCTTCATTTCTTAAATTAGACCAGCCATCGCACTGAAGGTGTAAGTAACTACAAGCATTTAGTTCCTCATTTAATTCAAAACGCATTTCTCTATATATTTTATCTAAGTATTTTGTCGCTAAAGCTTTACGTGAAGGTATTTTAAATTTTGGTTGCAATTTTTCGAAAAATAGTATCCATAAAGGATGTTGAACAAACTATAATTTAGTACCTGTTACAAATATATCTATCGCTAATTCTGTTTTTATATGATCATCGGTGTCTTGAAACTCAGCATTTATTGTAGTGTTAGCAGACGACGAGGGGCTTATAAAAGAATCATTTGTCTATCTCTGACAGTCCAATATATTGGTTTTGGACGAGCTATCTTTTATAAGTTTCATAGAGTCTTTTAATGTTTCTGGAGATTTTGGACAAGTGATAAGATGTTGAAGCATTTTGGCAGCATTACTGAATTTGTAGACCTTATTACAAAGCTTGCAAGAAACAGACTTGTTTGGTAAAGTACGGTAGTGCTCCCATATGCGTAAATCTTTAGGTCTCCCCATTGAACCTAAAAAAATGAACGATGATTAGTTGGTCTGACGAAAATTCAACAATAGAGTGCCTATTTTTTTACAATGATTATTTCTTGTTATTTACAATAAATTTATTAAAAAAATAATAAAATAAATACAAAAAACCTTTGTAAAATTACATCTCATCCGAGGATTAAACGCAGACGCTAGTTTATTATCGTATTGTTCTGTATTTTTCTCAGCAACTTCTTTAATTCGATTAGGTACTTACGCATATTATGTTAAAAATAAATATCTAGTACACATCTTAGGCTATCCACCATTATTATCCAATGACGACTCTGCTAACTATGCACTATCATCCAAAATACGTGTATGGAAAATTTTATCCCAGTCGGTTGAGGATTGAGGATAATTGCATCAACATACGAACATACCTACATACTTTTATTTATAACGCAAGCTAAATAAAAGCTTGTAATAATACATCTAATTTTAAGTTAAAATTGTTAAGTGATCATGATATAATTGTATCATTCAAAAATCCACTTACCTTTAATTATTTCTTGTTAAGTATAAATATTATTTCAAATCTGCTCCCTTAATATGCACTTTTTTACTGCTTTTCCTACCTAACACGTTACCAGGAAGTCTCGTTACCAGAGTCAGATTAATAGTGAACACTTTTGACAGTGCTTGTCGTCGCCTCATATTCAGCGTCGACGAATAGGGGAATCCCCAGTCATAATGTATTGCATGCGTGGCGGTCTTACTTCAAATCCATAAACAAAGAGATAATTACAGAACTCGATACTCGATGGCGCTGTTTTTGTTTGAAGAAAGTTTGCGGGCTAAAATACATAGAATTTCATCAATGACTTCCACAAAGAACAACATTTTGTTTTTTCTAAGTCCGTATCTCTTCTGTATATTTCATAAGATATAAGCTTTCTAACATTGTTATGCAACGTGATTTTGTCGATGTCTTGCTAGCAGGGTTGACAGATATATGATTTAAATCGTACTCATACTATTATTTGTCTATTTTTTAATGTACGATCGTAAAGATTATGATCGTAATTCGCACAAAAACATACGACTTTTTGGTTACCTGGCAACATTTTTATTATGAAACGAACATGCTCACATCATCAGTCACATGCAACAATTTATTGGGGATTACCCCTTGACATCTGGCATATAATATTAAGTCAGCCACAGTTACTGACGTTCGATATTTAAAGTGTATTGTTTTTGTGCTAAATATTTCATAAAAACGTTATTTAATACTTTGTGGATTATTAATTTAGTTGATAATCACTGGAAGTAAAATGGATGCTAATTTGAGAGATCAAGATCTTCGTATAAAACAGTTAATAAAAGAAAATCGTAAGTACTCTTTTTATACCTAGGTAGGTAAGGTATAATAAACACAAAAGGTACTTAGATCGCGTGTGTTCGAAGCATTTATTCTAATAAATTTAATTTAAAATTGTAGAAAGAAAAAAATGTCTGCCAAGCTTAGCCGTGGCCGATCTCCAAATATATTTGGCGATAGTGAAAGTGTCCAGATGATTTACTTGAGCGTCGTCGCAACAAAGAAAAAAACGAGGATAAAGTAAAAGAAAATTTACTGAAAGAAGAAACAAACTGTTCTAAATGCTTAATTTATGGATAAGAGGATAAAAGAAATGAGTATTTCGGACTGTTAGTGTCTCAAGAATTTAAATATATACGGCCATGTGTGCGAACGAGCTTTTGAAGAAATTTATATAATATCTACGGGAACAACTTCAGGCCAACATGTTGATCAACTACATGAAAACACTGAAAATTAATTACTTTCATTTTATTATATATAGATTTTTAAAATTTCCTGAAATATTATTAGTTAACGTTTTATTTAATATTGTAGAATTATCAATACAATTTATAAAAATAATTTATTGGTATTACTGGCATATTTTCAAAAAAATACGTAAAAACCTATTTTTTTGGGTGAATGGGAGTTTATGGGTGTTTCTGCGCAAAGCACCGGGTTTGTGGTGCTTTGCCCATCTGTAGTCGCAACTGGTGGATCTACGAAACGCTCTATACACTTATGAAGCCGTTTGCAAAATCTATTGTAAGTTTCTATATACCTAATAAAAGTGCTCATGGCGTGATTTCTCGATAAAACTTATACATATTATAATACTCGTATTTGGTTTCATTTTATTGTTTTATTATGATTTTATTATATCTGAGGATGTGTGAAATGTGGCAACGCCGCAATTAAGTCAGTTGTCGTTTGCTTGAGTATCTCTGTCCCATTCGTGTTTCTACTGTGAAGCATTTTATATGTGTATTTTTTTTTAATGGATGATAATGGAATAGTAACCCCACCCGTGCTATCGGTATACACCGGTGGGGCACCAGTGAAGGATGATAGGTGAAGATGAAGTAGATCAGTTAGCCCATTGTGACGAATTCAACAAGAATTGTTCACGATGGTTTCCAGGGGGAACCACGTGGAGGTCGACCTAATAAGGTATATTGCTAGCAATGGGGCTGTCAATCTCCATTGCTAACAATCCATTTCCCCCCTTTATATGTGTATTTGAATTTTTTTTTATTTACATGCACATTAGCGTGTTTGGGATTATTTTCTAAAGGTGGCCTGGTCCCTTAAAAAAGGCAGGTTTGTACTCTCAGACACGTATGTGAAGTTTCGCTTGCATCCTGAGGTGGCCACCAGCCAGTTCTAGGTTAGGCACGGCTCAGAAAATATGCCTATGTACATAAATGCATATAACACAGAATACCTATACCAATATAAATAGATATACTCATGAACACAAATGTTTATATAACGCGAGGATTGAAGCTGCAACCATGGGAAGGTGGGGGAACGCGAACTTGATGATTGTTCAGAACGTTTTGTGTGAATTCTTTTAAATTATATCATATAATGAGTATTATATGATTTACATTCTTTTTTTTATGTATATACTTAGAATGGCAAACAATCTGAGGGCTCATGTGATGGATAGTGGTAATCGTCGCCTATAGCCTATTACTCATAGTAATATTATGGACATAACAGAGTATACTGTTTCGCCCATGATACCCCCCATGCGTTGCCATTCCTGAGGACTCAGGTGTTATTTCTCTGTGCCCTGTAAATCTACTGCCATATCCCACTCTTCAAACTGAAACACAGCCATGCAAATACAACTGCTTCACGGTAGAAACACAACGGTACAAAGTCTCCCTCTGATGACATTTACATATTTAAATACCGGCACAGAAATGGTATTCTGAGCTTTATCGTCGCCACTATTATTCTTTAATGATAGCTGTAACATTCAATTGCAAGTATTTATATTTATTTCCCCTTTATTTAGAGTCAAGCAGCTAGCACTCCAATTTACTGTGCCATCTCACCAGACTTGAAAGGTTTGTCCGCTCTATATTACAAGGATTGTCAGCGCTGCGAGGAAAGTGATCTAGCGAAAGATCTCCACCTTTCATTCAGGATGCATGATTTAACGCAGGACATATTACGTGAACGAGTCAAGTTTATCGATGATTCAGTTAATATGGTGCTTAAATCTTCCGGTTTGCAAGACCAACCAAAGGAGATTATAAATGATAACCTCGTTTCTAATTACACAGGACAAATCCAGTAATTTTTTAAATTTATTAATTATCATTTATGTTAAATATCCTCGATGTATGGTTTGTTTTGTGGGATTAAATAAAACTACTCGGTAACGTGAAAAGTTTTCTTATTAATAATAATATTTAATATTATAACGCGAATTACAGTTTTTTTTCTATAATATCATAGAAAAACATCTTAATAAAGACTTAAACACCAATTCTTATAATTTCTTATATCAATATAATATAATATATGTAATAGGTATAAAATACAAAATCAGTGAGCCGCGATATATGCGAGATAAATATTAATAGGTCGTTCATTACAAAACTTCCAAATATTTGGTTATCTCCTGGAAGTTTTGGCACGAATTCTATTTATTTATTTATTATACATTGTAAGCAGGAAACGTGTAAACTCGATTATCGCCTTTTAGTACTGAAACGCGGGAGATAACGACACCAGTTTTTTCTTGACTTACAAGAGGGACACTTGAGTTTACTCGTTTCCCGCCTATAATGTGTTAACTTATTTACAGATATATTTAATGAAAGCTCCCAAACTTACATTGCTTTTTTTAGCAATGTAAAAGAGATGTTTCAAGAATATGTACTTTATATGCGCCATGTTCAAAATTTCCAATTATTTTCTTATACATATGAACGGATAATGAACTCTGATAGTAAACGGAAACATTGTTCAACGTGCAATAAGCTTCTTTCTTCTTCTTAATTAAGCTATCACGAAAAATTTTGATGATAAAAAATATTTAAAACTTTAGAAGTCAAATATGATGAGGTACGTGCAAATTTTTTTGTGATACATTTATGTGCAATTTCTTCTATATTTAATGTTTTAGTTTTAGTAGAGCACTTTTTAAATAATTAGAAATAATGAACATGGCCCAATTAGAAGATTAACAGACAATAAAAAGTGATAACGACGTTGACATTTTTAAGAAGGCTCTTAAACTAATAATACATGTTGCGATTGCATCATAAATACCTAAAAGGACAGCAGTCTTTGATAAGTATAAATATTTGACATGAATGATACAGTAGGGTTGCTTATACAAGTGAACACAATTTATACTGTATATATAAGATATACTGAACAGGACAAATATATTTATAATAACTAAAATCAGTGGTGTAATATTAATTAGGGAAGAAAGCGATCAATGAGTGAGAGAGAATATATAATCCTGAACATAAAGTGAGGATTTCAAATGACACGACTTGGGTATCGAACTTTTTTTTCGGGATTAGTGCGTTATACTCAACGCACTAATCCCGAATGCGGTGTGCTCAAACAAGTAAATAATAAATAAAAACTTGTCAATTATGTAAAGATTTAAAGATAATCGGAAAATCTAAAAAGATATTTGTTTAAAGCAATTTCTGAGCATTCTTTTGTAAATGGATAATATTAGTAAATAGGATACAGAATTATAAAACATTTTTTCTAGAGAAATAATATTATTTTAACAATAATAATGTGAAATGTATCATTATTGTTAAAATAATAACACATAATTTATACATTAAATGCAATTTCATCATTATCATAAGAAGCCACCTTAATGTCTCACTTAGGCACGGGTCCTTCTTTTATAAGGAGGATATTTATATAGCACATCACACCGGCCAGGTGGCTATACAGATATTTGACTTTTCTTCTTTTTTGTACTGATATATTACGCTTTTCTCCTCTGGCTATTCTTTATGACATTACTGGGGAAAAATATTAGTGGTAATACATAACTTCGTTACCCTACCGATGGGTTAATAATAAATAATGCAATTTATTTATTATTCCTTAAATATTAAATACAAACATTAGATCTAATTCTGTTATATGTTTTATATTTTACAAAATTATAAATAGCTATTGTATTTAGCAGTTATCATGATACAATCGATATTTCACTGTTTTGTTTATGAATGTCATCTACTAGTAGAGTAGAATCCGTTTCTCAACCTGTTTACGACAAATGGGGCACACGGTGATGCGGTCTCCGCACATCTGACACATGCCGTGGCCGCACAGGAAGATCATGTTTTTCAGACGGTCCAAGCAGATCGGGCACATGGTCTGCGAAAGAAGAATGAATGAGTCACTTTAGTATCTGATTTATAATTTCAGCTATTTATTGTGGACATGAGGGATGCCTTTACGAACAATATTTAGGTGGAGTGTTATTCACCAAACACCAATACGCCAACTATCAACAAATAGCATATCACTTTTATCTCTTACGATAATTGACATTAGTGAATAATAAAACTGAATAGAACTGATTGACTCGTGTTAAGGTGTCGTCTTGCCGTCGCAAAAGTTTCTAAGCTGTCTTTCATCATCATCATCACTTCAGCCATTGTTATACAAGAAAGCTAGAGTCTTTCCGTAGCTTCCTAGACATATGTATACGTATACGTGCACACTGGGTTACGAAACAAGTGACAATCATTTTAAAATGAATCTAAAAATATGAATTTGATAATACAGAGGTTTGAGGAATAGATTTTGGGATCTCTAAATCAATGGCGCGTTGTTCGACTGAGCCGATATCGCCATTGATTGCCTAATCAAAGTAGATTCAAAACTGCTGGTCTGGAATCGTGAAGTTCTGTGTAAAGGCAACTTCTCTAAATGTAAACTGATTAGATTGTTTACCTGTTCCTTGATATCCTGCAACTGTTGCTGCAGCTTTTGTACATCGGCGGGGGGCGCGGGCGGGGCCGGTGCGGTGGTGGGGGCGGGGGTTGGTGCGGGGGCGGCGGCGGCGGAGGCGGGGGGCGCGGGGCCGGGCCGCGACCCGTTGTTCATGAGGTGGGCCGCGGCCTGTGTCGGAGCCGGCTGGCCCTTATTCACCTGCACCTGAGCTAGGTTGCTACCCTCTTTTTCCACTGAAACAAGTTAATTCGACTATTTGTTTTATCTACATTTGTATTATTTCCTGGCTGTTCTAATTTTTAAATTCGTAAAAGCAAATCAAATCTTACTAACACAATAAAGTTGTAGTTAAATGATGTCTATACATGGAAGATATTTAAGAAAAAAATACTAAGAGGGGTCTTAATAAGGCTAATAGATGCCAAAACAATAATTTTTAGAAGTTAGGGGTGATAGGTGAGGATGAACGTGGGTCAGTTGAATTAACCACAATGGTTTACAGCGGGAACCGAATGGAGGTCGATATATTGCTAGTAGAGAGCTCTACTAGCAATATATCGATCTAGCAATATATCGATCTAGAAATATATTACTAGTGGGGGGAAACGGATTGTTAGTAATGGAGACTGAGAACCCTCTTGCTAGCAATATACCGAACCAGGTCGACCTCCTCGCGATTCTCCCTGAAAACTATCATGGTTAATTACTGTTGAATTCATCATGATGGGCTTACTGGCCTGTTTTCATTCTCTTCTATCACCCTTCACTGGTGCTCCGCCAGCGTAACCCGTTAGCGCAGGTGGGGTTACCATACCACTTTCATCCATAAAATATTACTAACAATGCCTTCTCCAACGTTTGATAGATAGGTTGAGAGAATAGTTACAGTCTGATTTGGTAAGCGGTGCGGCGTGCGCGTGTGCCTGCACGAGCGGATGCTGGTGCGGGAGTTGTGAATGCTGCGCGTGCGGCGCCGTGTTAGTGTGCGCGTGCGGCGCTGAGTGCGGGTGCGGCGGCGGCGGCGGCGGCTGCAGCGGCGTGCGGCACTCCACGCACTTGCGCATGAGCGGCGCGCACGCCGCGCATGCGCACACGTCGCCGCACGGCCGGAACACGACCGTGGCCGGCGCCTCTGAGCACACGACGCACTCGCCTACGCGCTGCCGTGACGTCACGCACGCACGACACACCAGGCATTTTTTTACCTGCGAATGTCAAAAAATAGATTTGAACGAATGAACATTTTTTAATATGTGCCAACCAATCAATATATTTGTCAGGCATTCTGTTTTTTAATTAGTGCCAATTATCTAATAATTTGCTTTGTTGGCAGTAATTAAAGAACAGAATGCCAAGCAAATATTTATTTCTTTAACAAGGATGTGTTTCTTATATGAGTTTCTTATAATACAGATTATCCTTGTTTTAAACAATGAATAACTAGGGGCACAACACAATCATCCCTAAGTTAACGCGCTACGGAAGTTGTCTTCAATTTAAGATTCACATTATATAATGAGCCATTTACACACATTTGCAATGTGATGGAAAATATGTCACGATATGTATCTTCGAAACTTGTAAAACCAATGCGTATATTGCTCTTTCGTTCTGGTAAAAATTTATTTTGTACTTTTTTAAATGTCAGGTGTATGCTACGGTTTAATTTGTAATTTTCACATTTAATATGTTATGATAATGATTAGATAAGTTAGGAAATCATGTTACATCATAAAGCAAAGTGCAATAATTTTTATTTTTATAAAAAAAAATGACTAAATAAATAAAAAAAAGTTATGTAATTACTCTCGCTGCACAAACGTTGCAGCAACATATGTGACCACAGGGCCGAAACAGGGTATCTCGTTTGGCGTCAGAGCAGACGAGGCACTCGTCCGCAGTGGGGTCCACCTGGGTATTGTCCCCACTCGAGGGTTCCATGGGAGCCGTCAGCGAGGCGCTACCACACGCAGTACTTATAGAGCTCGGTTCACTCTCTGATAGAACACTACTTCCTAATGCTGCGCCTTCTTTGCGACATGTTGTTAACGTTTTGCAGAGATTAGGATCTGGGCACAAGTCTAAAGGTGTTTGACCTGAAAAACAAATATCGTATGTCTTAGTCTTTTTTAAGTTTTTAAATTTAAAAGACTTTTACCTTTTAGTTATAACAGGAATATCGTAGCCTAATCATATGACTGCCAATGAAAGAAAGAGTTAATAAGTTTTTTCATACCACGTGTCATGTATGAATTATAACCATATGTATGAGTTTATTACGTATAAACTGTATTATATTGGATGTCGAAACTTAGCAGTCGGATTTTTTATGATTTAGTTACCATAAGTTTATTTAGCGAGCAATGTTTATGTTAAGTAATTTATTTAAAAGTAAGCGAGTTCTGTAAACAGCTAAAACTTTAAATTATATCGAAGACAATGATGGATGTCTGAATATATTTTATTACAATTCTACAACGCCTACGCAATAAGAGTAATATTATACGAACCTTTTTTATTTTTTATGGTAAGATCGGCCCCGTGTGTGGCCAAAAAGCATGCGATAGAGGCGGATGATTTTTTATCGTGTGTGTGCGCGAGGCCCGTGAGCAAGGCGGCGCCGCGAGCATCCTGCAGTTGGCGGAGCTGCTGCAACGTGTGGTGTCGAAGCGCCTCGTGTAGAGGTGTGTCTCCGTCCTGAAATATGTACACCAGTTAAGTGACATGTACATCATTAAGAACATTAGATAAAATGGAACAGTAGGGGATAACAGATTTTTGGATTGATAAAATTGTATACTTAACTATTGGTAGGTATATTACCTACTTTACGTAAAGTGATAAACGTTGTTTAGAGACATGAACTATTTCAACTATAAGTTCATGCATTGGCATATATGAGGAGAACTGTATCCGATTAGGTAGCGATTCGCACTTAGTAATTTTATTGGCATATCTTACTTCTCAAAGCGTAACAGAGCTTGCAAGCATAGTTGGTATGTTACAGAAATACGAGTGGAACAAAGGTACCATACAGGTAATTTTGTACAAATCTTCCTTTTGTAGTAACAATTTCATAAAGGATTAATTTTGATGTTCCCAATGCAATCGAAAACATTTATTTCCGTGGTGCCATATAAAATGAACATTAAATTGTTCTCTAGACATCTAGTGGTTTTTCATTTATAATTTTTTTTATGCAACTTAGAATTGCAAACAAGCTGATGGCCCATCTGATGGAAAGTGGTAACCGTCGCCTATAGATATGGGCAGTACCATGCGTTGCCATTCCTGACGACTCTAATTGAATTAATTAATTAATTGAGAATTATAATAATAACATATCTGTACAGATAACAATAGCAAACTAGTTTCTTTATATTATAAATGTCACATTATTTGGTACGAGTAATTAAGAGCTGATTTTATAAAATGACTAATCAAACATTAATGTGATATTTTGTCCGCGGAGGAAAAAATCCTTTATGTCAGTATGTCCACGTATTTTCACGAACACGTATATTGTAGGGTACAATTTAATGCAATGTTTCGTTATAGAATATTAAGTAAATAAATGCAATACAATATGGCATTAATTGTCAGGTCTTCAAGCTAAGATACTCTGTAGTTTAAAGAATCAGGCAAAGAACATCCCGCTCAAATGTCAAGACAATGTTGATTGTTTTTTTCGACGGGGGATTGTCCATCAAGAAAACGGTGACCGAACACCCCCCCCTATTCGCCGGAACCTGACTTCTTCTTGTTCCCAAAAACCAAATTGGTACTTCGGGGGCGGCATTTGGGGGACATAAATCAGATAAAAAAAGCTACGACGGGGCATTACAACCAAGTTCATTCTCACAGTGGAAAAATTGAAGGGGATAAAATTGATTTACCTGAATAATTGTAAAATAAAATTTTTAAAAACTTTTATACGTACTTTGACAAACCTCGTATGGCATTAAGAAATCTGTAGTTTAAAGAATCAGGCAAAGAACATCTGGGCGCACGACCTAAAACACCCAACCTGAGCCAATTCAAAAGTTCATTTCCTAAATTGGCCTGACCAGAAATCGAATCCAGGACTTCGTCTATGCAAAGCAACGTGAAAGCATTAGGTTGCGACAGTCGTTAAATATTATGAAATAAATTTGTAAAATCGGTCCATTCGTCCTTGAGTGCCGCGTTTTTTAATGGGTGATAATGGAATGGTAACCGCGTCTGCACTATTGATATGCATTTTTTTTCTGATGGGTGAAAATGGTTTAGTAACCCCGCCTGCGCTAACGGGATACGCTGGCGAGGAACCAGTGAAGGGTGATAGATGAGAATGAAAACAGGCCAGTTAGCCCATCATGATGAATTCATCAGGAATTAACCATGATAGTTTCTAGGGGAAACCGCGAGGAGGTCGACCTGGTTGGGTATATTGCTAGTATCGATATGCATTGGTGGGATATCAGTGAGAGATTATAGGTGAGGATGAAATAAGTCAGTAAGTCGATAGTGACGAATTTATAAAGAATTAATCACGAGGTATCCAGGGGGAACCGCCTGGAGGTCGACTTGGTAGGGTATATTGCTAGCAATGGAGCTGTCAGATCCCCAATACTAACAATTCCTTTTCCTCCTGAGTAATGTACTTACCAACAAATAGCAGTCGATTATCATTTATACGTTAAATTTCATTACCTTATCACAGATATTAAGGTCCGCTCCATGGGCGACAAGTAAGCGAACTATTTGCGTATGTTGTCGTTCAACAGCCAAATGTAACGCCGTCTGTAGGTTGGCGTTTTGGAGGTCAGGGCGCGCCCCGCCGCGCACTAGCAGCTCGGCCACTTCCGCATGGTTGTTCAGAGCCGCCAGGTGGAGCGCCGTGTATCCGTCGTCCTTAGCATCGTCTACTATCCACGGACGCGGCAATTTACCCAGCATTATCTTCATAGCGCTGAAAAAATAGAGAAGTTCCATTAAAAAAAACTATAACGCTAATATATTCTATCGGTGAATGATAAAAGAATAAGCGAAGCCGAGGTAGGCTTCGCTTAGACGCAATTTGTATGTGTCCGAAAAGTATTATATTTATGAGTTCGGTAAGTATCTTAGGTATTTGTCTATTGGAATGTGATATTATATTGTAATTATTTAAAAGCGAATTATATATATATATATATATATATATATATATATATATATATATATATAATGTATGTGTTTTATTATGTCAATGTAATCAAAATAATCCCATAATCCCAAAACGGATGCACTATACAGATACACATATTATAATTAATTGATATAAGGGATTTTAATGAAAGTAATAATATTAAAATTTCTGTCTATATACTGGTGCTTATATCTTGCAAAAACTGCTGCACCTAAAAGTGATCTACTCATATTTCATTAGTTTTCCTACTTCTAAAATTTACGCGTATAATGTAGTCAGAAAAAGCTAGTTATATTATAAATATTATTAGATTATATACTCTAATATAAATCACATAGTTCAAAGAACCGACAATCGATGGGGAAAAATGTTCTTGAGTGGCGATCTCGTACGTGCAAATGTAGTGTAGGACGATCTCTCACTATATGGAGTGACAACCTCAAATGCATTGCACTTTTTCGTACTCGATTTTAGTTATGAACGTTAAGACATTACATTTATCGTATATATTAAAATTTTGTCCAAAACTTTGGAATTACATTTCATATATTAAGCTATAGGTACAAAATATTTACAATATTTTGTATCTATAGCTTAAGATTCTAGTAAACATCATTTACATTTTTATGTAGTACTTATGACTTTAACGTATGCTTAAAATGATCCTATATATTTGATAGTGAATAAAATCACATCTAATAACAATCTCGTTACATCTGTCTTTCTGTTCATATTCATATTTCACAGCATCATAACTTTTGCAATTTAAGTTACATGCCATAAAACTTCAAGGAAAGATCTAGAACGGCGGTAAAGTATAGAAATATTTGTGAAGTGGCGGCTTTGCTTAGGCAAGAACTACGATAGGATATTACATTTTTTTTTTTTTTATAGTGATCTAAACTTACCTTTGATAATGCCTTGATACGGCACAATTAGTATTAGATCATGTATTAAGTTAAAAAAAAGCCTGTGAATAATGAACCTCACTTGTAGTAGTACAAGTGTGAAGTGTACTTGTAACAATGAGAATAGAAAAAGGGCATGAAGTTGAATTTCAAATTTCACCAATAGTTAACAATCTCCTGTATCAACAGAATTATTACCATATTTCATAGTTTTACTCAGTTTTAATCAAAATTTAAGGATCATGTTGGAGTAATGATGGATTTCTCATATAAATTTTAATCTCTAATTTTAGTTACTTAGACAATAATTTTTTTTTTTTAAATACTGATGAGCATCAAAATTTCAAGTTTCCAAATTTAAAATTGATTACTTTAAAGAGAGTGAATTTTAAAGAGGCGAGAAATAAGAACAGAGTTTATTAAAACTCTGTTCTTGAAAAGGTCGGTTACATCTTTAGTTCAACGCAATGAGTCAGAAGGTAAAAAATGAAAAAAAGTAGGTAAAAAAGTTATTAACTTTGTATGGATATTTTTTTCTGAATTGCTCAAGTAGCTTGGAAATAGCTTATTCTCTAAATAAATGAAAGCATAAGAAAAAAATATACTACGGGAATAAATCGGACTTAAACATTTATTAGCAAACAAGCGCACTAGCTTCAACCAATTTTCTAATAAAATGATGCTTCACGTTAATACATTTCATTTTTGCATGAAACACGGTGCATTCTCAGATAATTTCTGTGCCGACTAATTATCATTAAACACTACAATCTTAACTGCTTTGTTTACTAAGCATTCGTACAAAAGTGATTTAATAAATATAGCTTCCTTACAAGCATCAGAAAGTGCTACGTACCCTGATATTCTTGATAAAGTTACAGTAAGTTGTTTTCTACTTTCTAAAGAAGTTATGGAATTACAAACTTTGAGAGCGTACTCAGTATATGACTTTCCGATCAACACCGTTACTGGTCCATTCTGCATTCATATATCTAACGGTAATGTTTAATCCAGATTGTTCATAGATAAGGCAATAATTAATGGTTCCTTTTTAATAGCGCAAAACTCTTTTCGCCGCCTTCCTGTGAATATCTTAGCACAGCGCATGCAGCGCTAACATATGTGCTATACTGAGAACTAACTGCTACATACGTCAGGTAGCCAATGATACTCCTGTAATCCAATATTTGCATTCTTCCATAGGCGTTTGAGCGGGCTTGTATTCTGTCATATTAAATTTCTCCAAAGTTCGTTAAATGAAAGTAAATAGATTCAGAATAAATTTATCACCTTTCTTATAGATTCGTATTCCTAAAGACAGCCAAAAACTTTAATCCTTAAAGGTTAGAGTTTTTGGCTGTCTAACTTATGAGGTATGTAAATAAACGTAGAAAATTGGACTCTAAAACGAAAATGTTTATAGGTTATTGCGAAGCAAGTAAGGGATATCGGCTAATAAATTCAACGATAGATTCCGAGAAAACAAAATTCTCCAACATAAATTCCTCTAAAATAAGATACCACTATATTACAGAAGTTATAATTGGAGTTTTGTTCAAATAGTTTGATAAATTTGAAAGTTGGTGATCTGAAGACATCATAGATGAAGTGAATATAGAAAACAACTTTTATTTACAAAAAAATGATATTGCTATTCACATATTCATGGTGAATATATTGTTTATAATTTAAATACAAAAATACTCAATAATGTAATGTAAGCAAACGCATAGGTCTCCTTCGTCAACAACGAAGCGGTCATTTTAAATTTAAAATAAAACTTTATAACTGTACATTACGTAGAACAATGTTTTATGCATTGTCTTCTAGATTTATATAGTGGAATACGTCACTGAGTTTCAACTAAATGGTTTTATGCATTCATCTACATTCACAAGAAAACATGTGTCTTTTTTGTAAGACGATATTCAGTTAATTGTTGGGGGTAGCGAGTTTAATTTAGACTTTTTTTGTAATTAATTTAACACCCCCCGCAAATGTCGCCTGGTAACATGAAAAAGTTCTCCCGTTGTGAACTATAATTATAAACTATTTATTTTTGTAACTTATGTGAAAATACATTTATATTCACAATATATATGTATTCAGTAGTTTAAATTATGAATAGTGTGATCCATCTCTATAAAAAAAAACCACATTACTAAATTACATTATTAGATATTGGTATGGTCTTTCTTATCAGACCAATATCTAATAATGTAAAATTAATTAGAATAAAAAAAAAAACATTATATAGTTTTCTGTGGATTAAATTTGGACCAAATTTCATTTAAATCCGTTTCAATTTTATTCTATACTATCATTTAGTACCTACAGTAAACATTAAGAGCTCTAAAATACATATATTCCAACTACTTGGTGTAATAGATATCAAAATCTAAAATCTGAAATGCTGAAATCGTCGACGGTGTCGGGGTGGATGAACTCTACATGAAAATAGCTCAAGAGATCGAGTTTGAATCATTTATATGCTTTATATCTTTGCAGGCACTCTAAAGTAAAACTCTTCGAACCCTTGAACTACTACTGGAAGCGAAACGTTATGACGTCAATCTATGGTCAAGCAGTAGCCCTTATTCGAACCAACTCAAACAACAAAACCAATTGTTGAGTTGAACGTCAGCAAACTCGTCCGAATCCAACTGTTGTAGTAATCGAGTAGTTGACAACAATAAATTAGGCGGTACACATTTAATATGCTGCGTTACATTTATACAGTAAAAACGAACGAACTAATTAAATAAGGTCAAACGTCGCGAGCGACGACGGGCGCGGCGGCGGCGGCGCACGCTCGTCCTACGTACACCAACAGTTGGTAACGCGCCGCGCGCCTCGCGGCTCCATAAACATTCTCTAGACGCGTTTATAATCATAAAATGCAATGCGCTTTATATAGTTTTAATCATTTAATTATTTATTTAGTAGTGAATTCTATTTAATAACAAGGTAGTGGTGTATTAGAAAAAATCTTTGGATACTGCACCTTTTTGTTTTTATTTTTTATTTTTTTCTATAAATGGTGAGTTTATACAATTAAAAAGATTGTTGTCTAATGTAGAAACAGTGCAGACACAGTATTTCCAATATATTTTACACATAAAATGTCTTCACAACACATTCCCTATAAGCTATAATAGCTGATCAAATGCAATGGACTTTATATAGTCCTATTGATACACTTATTTAGTAAATTCTTTTTAATAGCAAGGTATATAGTGTATTACTTCTAGAAAAATGTCTTCTGGATGTTGCAGTTTTTTCTTAAATCTTTTCGTAAGGTGAGTTTATACAATTAAAAAGTTTACTGTTTATTGTAGAAACAGAACAAGCACAGTATTTCATATATACTCGTATCCTTTCCATAAATATCTTTACAAAACATTTCCTAAACGCGTATATAATGATAAAATGTAATGTGTTTTAGGTATATAGTTTTATTGATAGTAGGTGTAGTTATTTTATATGTAGGGTACATATAAAATGTATCTACAAAATTTTATCCTTATTATGTTCAGTCCGTTTTGTATAAGGTAAATTGGTAAGGGCATGCGAACTGTTAGAATTGATATACATACTTATGTGTTAATGTAGAAGAATTTATTTGTTACATGTTATTACCACTTACAGTATGTTAATTAAAATGACACTAGTGACAGTATTTATAATGTTTTAAATATTTTTCATGGAAAAAATTTTAACATTACCAAAATAAAAAAAAAAAAAATATAAAATTCATGAAAAAAAAAGAACAACCTGTATTTATATCAATAACACTAACATACAAATAGGATTGTGCATACCTTGTACTGTGTAGTGTCTGTACCAACGACAGATATAGGTAGTCTTTTTTTT